CATTCAAGTCCGTACTGTATATTAGGATGTCGTCTAGATATACAGCTACTTTTCCAGCGGCGATGAGATCGACGAAGATGGAATTCATGAGCGTTTGGAATGTCGCTGGGGAATTGGTGAGGCCGAAGAACATGACGTTCGGCTCGAACAGTCCGCGGTTGGTTACAAACGCCGCTTTCCATTCGTCACCTTCTTTGATACGGATATTGTTGTATCCCCAGCGGACATCGAACTTCGTGAAGTACTTGGCTTGGCGTAGCCGGTTGACTATGTCGGTAGCAAGCGGGAGCGGGTATCGGTTCTTGATCGTGACATCGTTTAGCTTACGATAGTCTTGAACCATCCGTAGCTTGCCGTCCTTCTTTTTGACGAAGAAGACAGGCGAAGCGATCGGTGACTTGGAAGGCACAATGTAGCCTTTCCGGAGGTTCTCTTCTAAGAACTTGTCTAGTTCCGCTTGCTCGTTTACCGGCATTGGATACACTTTCGACCGTAGCGTCTCGGGCGCGTCTGGCTTTAGGTCGATCGTGTGATCCCACGGCTTGTGCTCGGGAAGACGTTCCGAGTCTGCCTCCGAGAAGACTTTGGCGAAGTCTCGATAGTGCTCCGGCACCATCTCCTCGAAGGTCTTCTTGGACTTCTGCTGATTGGCTTGGGCTGCCAGTGTGGTTGAGTACGTTACACCTGCGCAGCACCAGAGCTCATCGGCCAAGTCATCTATAACTCCGCGCTTCTTCCATTCGCGCCGGAGTTTCCTCGTCCCGGCGATCTTCTGAAAGGGGAGATCATCGTTCTCAGATGAAACCGGCTCCTGCGGTTCCTCGTCGAACGTGACCGTACCCTCCTTCCAGTTGATGCTAGGATTCACCTCTCTTAGCCACGGAATACCCAGTATCATATCTTCCTTGTTCAGATTTGTAACTAAAAAATTGCACACCTCATCAAAGCTACCTACTTGTAATCTAAGACGAGCGTAGTGAGTGATGCTACCAGCTTTGTTCTTACTGCCATCGATGTTATACAAAACGATCGGATGTTTCATAGGAACGGTAGTTACATGATTTTCTAGTACAAAACGAGAAGAAATGAACAACCCCGTAGCGCCTGAGTCAATCATGGCAGCTACTTGCTTTTCTCGACGTTTTCCGGAGACCGATACATCAATACGTAAATGTACATCTCGAAGCTCTGATTCTGGTATAGTACAACTAGCTATGCGAATAGAACCGAAGAAACGCCAATACCTGTCCCACGACCACGACGCCGCTGCCACGGTAGCGTGTGGTCGATCTAAAAAGCCTTTTTGAGGGCTTCGATCTGCGCTGCGAGCTCAGCTTGCTGCTTGAGCATCGCGTTCACCACGTCGGTCATCTGCGAGGTGGCCGCCACTGTCTTCTCCTCGCTTGTCGACGAGGAAGTTTCCGGAGAGAAGATCTCATCCACTTCCTTGTCCGTAGAGGACGTCAAAGACGTCGCGGCTGCCGTTGCCTTCTTTGGCAACCCGAGGAACCGTCTTTGGCAGACCGGGGTCTTGTGCCCAGTTCCACCGCACCAGTCGCAGACGTCGCGCTCGTGACCACCGTCTCGCTTGACGTGATCCTTGGAGCCGCAACCGAAGCAACGACCGCCCATGACCTTGAGAAAGTCCGCCCGGGTCTTCCCGTTACCGCCTTTCGGTGCCTGCAGTGTCGCGTCGATGTCCATCGCGTTCGGATCCTTGCTGATCACGAACGGAGCCGCTGTTGTCCTGACCGGGGTACTCGTTGACGAGGTACTCGACGTTTTACCAGCCTCGCGGGCCTTCTCGGCACGGCGTTGACGCAGCCGTGTGTCGAAGTCCGCAGCGACCAACATGAGTTCATCGAGCGTCTTGGTAGAGCGCTCGGTCGTCGGGAGGAGGTCCTTGATGTCGTTGCTGAGATGCTCGTAGAAGCGATCTCGCAAGTCACCGTCCGAGTAACCAGTCCGTTCCATGACCTCACGGAAACGCGCAGCGTATTCCGGAACTGAGAGCTTGCCCTGATACAGCTCACGAAGGGCCTTCTTCGCGTCTGCTGACTCGTCCTGGGTCTCGAACCGCAGCTTGAATGCCGTGACAAAGGCATCCCAGTTCGTGAACGCAGGCTTCTCAGCCACCATTGCCTCGATGTAGGGCGTAGCCCAGACCGCAGCTTCATCTGTCAGGAATGACAGAGCCGATCGTACCCAGCGCTGATCATCACGCTGCCACAAATTACCGACGCGCGTGTTGAGCTTGCTGCCCATCTCCTGCGCATAGAGGGAGAAGGCAGCCACGAAGCGTCTGGCATCCGGGCTGGACTTGCCGGAGTAGGTACATCAGGATTTCGTGCAATTCCTCTGAGGGCCCTGTCAGGGGCTTCATTAGCGCTCAGAATGCTTCAGATCGCATCAGAGCAGCTCATCTGGCCAGCCCTCAAGATTGCGACTTTTTGTGAATTGTTATCGTCAGACAGAATCCTCAGACAGCCTCAGGTGTTCTCAGAGTAGCCAGAATACTCGTCAGTGTGTCAGATACACCAGAAAGACTTTATCACACAAATATATTTGTTGTACTCTATACGACTCATTCGTCAGTGTCTACTCTAGCTAGTATAGTACATTCGCGCAGGCTACTGTCCTGTCCATGCGCGTCGTGTTAGCGGTGTACCAGCGTAAGCTCAGACTCGCTCTTTGTGTACTTGCTGGTCGATGTGTACACTGTACAGCTCGTTGCGCTTGCGTCTCCTCGCGCTCGCGTCCGCCAGGCTCATTATCTTGCACCGTCCATCCAACTGCGAGGATGTGCGCCGCGCTCCTCGCAGTCGACAAGGCTCCGCTCATTTGACGAGTGAATACCGCTGCACCGGCGTGCATCCAATGCAAAGACGGCGGAACAGCCTGCCGCGCGACGCTCGAAGAACAAGCGCACGCGCACGCTCAACGCGAGCCACTGCCTACTCCCGCCGCCGCCGCCTCGCCGTGTTTGCATGGACAAACCTGGGTACACGCGCACCAAGAACACGAGCACGAGCTCGAGGCTGCTGCCCTTGCAGCCCAGACAGGCGCGCCGAGGCACCCGACGGAGACGTGTCGCGCAGCGAGAACGAATGACCGCAGAGACTCGCGGGTGGAGGAGCTACCAAGCGTCGGAGATGGGCTGGCTGCCCATTTGTCGTCTGCGTACTCGGTAGCATGGCTCTTTCTCGACGTGTGATCCTCTTGAGCTGTCTAGATTACGCCTAGCTTGAGCGTGCGTGTCGGCGCGTGCCGCATCGTAACTGTGTGAGGTAAGTTCGTGTTGGCCATGCCCATGCGCGGCATGTCCAGGTTTGTCCGCTGATGCTTACCGGGCTTGTGTCAACAACTCCGTGCCACTTGGGCATCATATGCCAGCGTTGTCTTCCACTGCGCTGGTCCTTTCTCGTACACACATGCACCACGGCCGTCTCTCCCATGTCCGTCTCCGTCAAGTTGTCCTGGACAGTGGGCATATGCTTGTTCAGTTTGTCTGCTGTTCAAGTGGACAAGCGAAGTGTACTCACTGAATTCGCCGGCCTGCAGCCTGCTGGCCGCCCATTCTTTCTGTCATAATCCTCCGGCACTCTGCGGCGTGTTGCTGGAGCTTCAAGTTGTTGCGGCTGTTGGGCAACGCGATCGCGGGGCGCGCGGCAGGTCGATTCAGTCGACGTCACTTGCGGACGGGCCCGCAATTTTATTCTCGAGATTGGTGGCAAGAAGGGAAGGGCGATGCGAAGGTCAGTGGTGATGAGACATGTGGTGATGTGAGGTGAGAGCGAGAGGAAGGTAGCGAGCGCGTGTGTCGTGGCTGAGGCGCTTAGCACTTCAACCGCGACCTGCGCCTCCGAGTCGTGACTCACCGCATCCACATCGTCTCACTCAGCCGCCCCAGCCGCCGTCGGACCATTCCACCCACTCTACAGCTCGACGTTCAAGCCCGACACTGCGAATAGCAAGCTGCGCCAAACACAACGGGGATGCGAGGGTGGCAGAGACGGAGGAATCGGGGCATGGCAGGGAAATTACCGCTAAGTGTTAGCACTGCAACCGTAACTCACAGGCTCCACGTCGACGTTCATCGACGTTCATCGACAACGTTCAACATTCAACATCGTGCGGTGAGTACACTCCACATGCGACGGGAAAGTGAGGGCAACACGGAAGTGGAAGATCGGGCACAGGAGCGATAGCTCAGGTGAGTGTTCTATCGGAACATACCTCTTACGCTTCGAGTCGTTCTCTAGTTGACTTGCACGCCTTGCGCATATCCCCGCCCGCTCACTGGACTGCGCTCACTCATTCGACCGCCCACTCACTCGGCTGGCCACCCATCGCTTGTCCGCCTGCACGTATGTTCGCTCGTTCTTTGTTCCCTTTCTTGCTCACCCACCCACTATGTTGCATGCTCTCGGATTGCCTGCGCCATCACCCACTTATCCATACATTCTCCCGCTGTCTGCCCGGTCATCCACTCGCTCAGCCCTTTCCTTCTCCTCTTTTTCTCCTCTTTTAGCACATCCCCTTCTCGCGGGTCACAGACGGGCTCGCGGTGCTGCGCAAGTCCCTCCGCTCCGAGGAAATGCACGCTCTGGGCACCTCGAAGACGCGCGCGCTCGTGCTCGTGCAGCGGCAGTCTCACTTGCTCCCCTGATTGGCATAGAGGCCGAGCTCGGCTGTGCCGTCTCCCTGGCTGGGCGAACAAAGGCAAGATTGACAAAGGGCGCAAGAAAGGCACAGACCCTATCAACGTCGAGATGAAGCGTGTCGCGCAAAAAGCGTGCACGCAGGAGTACGGCCGACTCATGCACAAGTTACGCTCCTTCGCCCTTCGCCGCCCACGCCCTTCCGAATCCGACCCGCCCTGCAGCGCCTCGGCCTCCACTGGCACGACCCCTCTGAGGCATAACTCTGCCGCCGCTCCTCGACCTCGGCGAGCACACGCTCGACTTCCGGCATGGGACGTTCCCCATGCTGTGTGCCTTCCGCCCAGATGTGGACCAGCACGCGAAACTTGTATGTAGACCGCCCGCTCTGTGACGCACGCCATAACCTCGACATGCCCAGGGCGGTCAGCGACTGGCACGCATGGCTCCGGACATGGGCGTGCATCAAGAGCGAGCGTGGGGAGTGTAAACGGGATGGCACAGGTGTGGATGGAGAGGGTGCACGAGATGAGGTGTGCAGTTCGACGAGACCGCGCGCAAACACGCCCCATTTGTGCGCTGTAGAGATGTAACACAATGATTGTAACTTTCAAATATATTGCCTTTTCGATCTTCTCTAGTGAGGTTTGTGCCAATTCTAGAGTAACTATTGTCTGATGTACTGCGCTATCTGGCACTGTCTGAGGTCAACTGAAATGATCTGATAACGCAGGATGCCTGAAGTGTCCTGATGCCTCTGAAGGCTGGCTCTCAGACACACATACCATCAGAGATTGCACGGTTTCCTGATGTAGCCGGGCGCTGAACCGTGCTTTTGTTGTCGGAGGGCCGACCCGAGTTATTGGCGAGAGCAGCGACCTGCGTGGTCAGCTGCCCGAGCGTTGTCTGCGTCGCCTGCAGGCCTTGGGCGAGACCTTGGATCATCTCCAAGATCTGGGCGCCGGTCATTGCGTTTGCCATGTCGTCGACGTTGACTGGCGGGGAAGGTGCTTCTGTTTGGGGAGGTGCGGGCGCTGTTTCTTGCGCCGGAGGGATATGAGTGTGAGAGGATTCAGCTGCTTCTTCGCTGAAATCCGATTCTTCTTCGAGATTTGCGTTCTCGGGGGTGCACTCCACGTATCGGGTACTGCGTTGATAGGTGTTGGTATACCTGTTCGGGCAGGGGTGGGTTTTGCACGCAAATAGTTTGCCGGCGAGGGTTACGTATGTATCCTCGTTGTCTTGGACGTCGTAAACGTGCCGAAGACCGTCGCAATCCAGGGTGTCAGAAATATTGAACAACCTGCTTCCTTTGGAGACGCCGTAGGCCTAACCCCCGTATCACGTCTCTTTGGGATTAAGGCTATCTAACACTTCTATGTGAGGGACCCCGAGGACCCTTATCCTATCACAGGATTCTTAGAGCACAAGCGTACGTACTCAACAGAAATCCGCTGGCTGCTTTATGCCTGTTACGGTATAGCCCGCAGGTTCCAGGAACCGCTTTGACAGCTCACGCAACGTAGCTAAGCTGACTGCCTTGGATACGCTCAGTCTCCTCGACCTATTGCGCCTGTCTGCCTACAGAAACACGAGTTCTGTGGCGCTAACCTTGGCTTCCGCTTGCCGCTTTTCACAGCCTCCCAAGGTCTAGAAGACCAAGACTTCCACGTAAATCTACACCCGACCTATAGCCTATGGTAGGGCCGTGTCCAGATGCAGGGCTTAGGGATGTAACCCAAGCGCTTACGTTTCCGTGTGACTATGCGCGTGCGCACGGGGTACCAACGCTAGGAGTTCTGTACTATGCTAAGGGTTTAGGCGACGACGCGGCCAACTGCGGCGTGTCAGGTAAGAAGAGGTAGGAGCTCGTCCTAATGTCGCGGAGCTAGGTCTGACGCGACTAGAAACAGAACTGGGAACAGAAACACTTGACCTCAAGGTGTTGGACCGAGGTCAACAACAGTCTAACAGCGTCGAACGCAATGCTAGCAACTCCAAGTTAGTTACATTGCACTCTACTTAGTACAATGTGAAGTGCTTACCTAGCAACTCCAAGAGGACGAGCTGGAGTGCTAGGCAGCGTACAGGACCCTATATATACTGGCTAGGTTGAGGGCAGGTCTACCTACGCTGGATCCGAGAACTGAGGTCATGTGTACGTATGAGTCAGAACGAGTCAGAACGAGTCAGGTGGCTAGGCGCTGCCGCAGGGCACATGATAAGTTACATAAGCAAGGCCACATGATGAACGAGTCACAAGACAAACTCTAGCACGTGATGTGTCACGTGGCTAGTCAGAAAGCCGTTCCAGGCGAAGTCTACCGTACAGCGTATTGTACAAGTCCATAGGAAATGAGCAAAAATAGGATAAAACAAAGTAAAAATACGGGGCCTCCGTGTCATACCATGACACCGCCCAAGAAGAGACCGTTGTCAGCACCGACGGCTGGATTGCCACCCGCGCCGACGACTGGTCGGTTCACCACAGGTGCGATACCACGCTGGTTCCATTGATGTACTGCGCGGGGGACTTGTTGGTTTCCAGCGCCGAAGAGTTGCTGGTTCCTTACCCCGCCGAGTTGCTGAAGTGGATCCATGAACTGTTGCTGGTTGTGTGTGCCCGCGAGCTGCCTGTTCGCTATCCCAAGACGAGGCTGCATCCCCATATCCCAGAACTGTTGGTTCTGTGCGCCCGCAAACGGCTGGAAGCCTGCACCCATAGTTGACCGGTCCATCATGCCCTGGAAGGATTGACCGGCGATGGGAGCGCCGAGCATCTGAGCCATTGCAGCTTCAGCAGGACCGAACAGAGCTTGCCGCTGGCCAAGCCCGAACGGTCCATCGAAGTCTAGGATGGGTTCGCCCAGTATTTTGGGGAAGATGAAGTCGTTGGCCTGCATGTTACCTGCCATCGGGTCTTCCAACCTCCAGCGTCCGCCGGGCGCAGCTTGGTGTTGAAGCATGGGATTGAGATAGACGTTGTGGCCCAGCATGCCACCCCGTCTGAAACCGGCGGGGCGGCGCCACTGCACGCGGTCGGGCACGTCGTTGTCATCTATCTCGCCCCGGTCGTTGTCGCCCATCGTGGAGTCACCATCGGCATCCGTTGACGCGTAGTTGGATCCCTTGTCGATCTCACGTTCGCCGTCAGCGTTCGTCGTGCCACCGTTGGAGCCAGCCTGGGAGCGGACGTGGCTGGAGCGCGCAAAGCCGAATCTCTTGTGCATCGCTGTAAAGGCCGAATGTTTGCGCATTGCACTGCGCGGAGTCGGCTGCTGGCGGGTCTTTTCCTTCGCATGCCGTGTCGCGGGAGCGACACCATTGACGTGCGTCATCTCTCTGACTCTCCTGCCGCGCGGCGTCCTCTCACGAAGCTGGTGTACCTTCGCGTTGGCCCGCAGCCTCCTGTTTCTAGAGACGGCACGCGTGTTGTATCTGGGGGTCGCCTCCATGGCATCAGTGGCCGTCACAGATTTAGTGGGCGATTTGGGCATTGTGTGGCGCTGCGAACAGTAAGTATGCGAGGGTAGTGTATGCGCCACAGGTACTCACAAGCTGGGATGCGTACGACTTGCGAAGTTGCGACTTGCTTGCGGTGGCTCAGGCTGTTTGGCGGATCGAGCGCGAAGTTGGATGGTGAATCCTTGCTCTCTCTACGCCGTTCCGTTGCCCCTAAATACTCGAAGGCTGATGCTGTCCTCCATCTCGCTAGGGACCAAGATGAGCTGACGTCGCCTTTGCGGCGGTACACTCGCCGCGAAGGACTCATGCACCTGGCTACCTACGAGGACACGCGTGTTCGCTTTGTTGAGTTTCCCGCTCATTCTGACCGATGTATCTTCTAAGAACGCAGGGTCGCGACGTGCTTTGTCCGTTGTCGTAGCGCGTGGCACGCGTGTTGTGGTTCGCGCCATGACTGGACAGTGGCCAATGATCGATGATCATTGGCCAACACCAAGTCACCGATGGGAAGGTCAAAGCAAACGATCGTGATTTCCCTCGATCGCATTTCGCAGGCAGTGCCAGGCACTACGTCTCTCAATTCTCGACTTGACTTCCTCTGCCTCGAGGCTGCTGGCCATGCAGATCAGAGAGCACCGATTAGCGTGTTGAGCGTCCACCGCTCAAGACCGCTCATAGCCCTTACGCGTCCAAGCCAATCGAAGTTGCGGTCCAAGGCACCACCGGTGAGGCTATACACCCACATTGTGCTTTGATAGGCTCGTGAAGCTCGAACAACCTGTTCTTCCTGAATGGCTTTGTAATCTAAAGCTTCCGACCGCGCCACTCAGCGTCAGGCCGGACCATCGCTTGTACAGTAGCGGAGAGGTGAGGGCCAGTCGATAATCCGTTACCCAACATCCAACATCCAACACTGACGCAGCTGACAGCCACTGGGGAGTTTGCTCTGCAATTCCATTCTCTGGGCGAGAGCAGGCTTGGCGACCTTGTGGCGACCCCAATATTCAACTCTCGGGCATAGATGCCGAATCCACCTGGAAACCGCAGTCCCATGGTGCAGTTGTCTCCCAGACGTGTGTTCACGAGGGAGGATGCATCAGGGCAAAGGTTCATCCCGTGGCACACTCTTCGATAGGACGTGCACTAACTTGTTTTTGTCGCTATCCGTCCCCATTAGCACTCTTAATAGAGGACCGGGAACGTCCTCATGACATGGTCAGCTTCGATCACTGTGTCGCAATGGCGCCTATATTGCCGAAACGCGCAGCAAATGCGCAGGTCTGGGATTCATTGATGATTCCCGGCGACTCATGCTCGTTGAAAACAGGTAAGTTACATGTTTGACGTGCGATGGGTTGCATGGGTTGCACGGGTGGCCACAGGGTGGTCAACTAGAATGCGTGTCTTGTATCCACTGGCAGGATCCTACGCGTACGCACGAGTGATAGGGTGGGTTTGTTATTCAACGGTATACCATTGGTATACCATCATCTGCAATCTCACTGTTGGGGTTCTTCGTGGCGCGTGCCTCGGCTACTTCACTTTGGTGGGAACGCTTGGAAACACTGAGAAGGCATGCATGCCCTTACCAGGCTTCTTCCTTCACGCTGCTCTCACCCCCATGTACACATGCGAACAAGATCTTTCTGCGAGAAGCCACTAGTCGGATTTGCGGACCCTCGCCCACGCTATCTCTGATGTATAAGGCTGCTTCACGGAGAAGGGGCGAGATCCTCCGTCGTCAGTGCGATTCCTCTCTCAACTGACGGTATCCTTCCCTTCGCTGTGATTCAACACTGGCACAGAGCTCGGCGACACCGAACGAAGGCTCGGTCTCCTAACGATGTCAGCAGCCGTACCTAGCGCTCGGCCGTCTGCCTCAAGTAGCCTAAAGGACCTGGAGAAGGATCTGGGGGGTGACAAGGTCGTCGTAATCCGCGAGCAAGAGACATCTGCTTCAGTGGGAGAAATCGATCTGTTCACTTACCATGAACGTAATGCTGGAAGGCTCGTCATTGACCCCGAGTACGTTACCTTGATTCTGCTCGCTTGTTATTGCGTAATTCGACCTCAACGTAGGGAAGCAAAGATTGAGTTCGGGGAAGATGTCGCTAAGCGACTGAAGTTGTCTGCGGATGGTACCAAGGTCCTGTGGCCTCAACCCACTGACGATCCGGAGGATCCCCAGAACGTGAGCTATCATTCTTTCTCTGTTATGACGATGGCTCACTGTTCTGCGCAGTGGTCGGACCGGCGGAAGAACTTCCAGTTATTCATCATTACACTAGCAGCTATCGTCCCGGACTTCGATTCTGGCATTGGTACGCAGAGCGATTACGAGCAATTACCTGTATTGATTAGCCCGTACCTTGACGTCTCTCAGGCATTGCGTCCATCTTTCAGTTGGCTCAGACGTACAATACCACCACAGGTGTTATCAATAACTTGACGTCGAAGTACGTGCTAGCCAGCAGACCGTACGGAAGATGACCGCGCTGATCATTCACGTGCTCTGACATAGCTGGAGCATCTTTCTGCTAGGTAGGCGGCACGCAATCCATGGACAAATATCTCCTCATCTGTTTCAATTGAATTGGAAGGCTGGGGAAGCATCTTCGCTGTCATGCTGATGCGACGGTATGGCAGGCTGCCAATCTTGTTTTGGTCGCAGGTATGTACTCTGTAGCTTTTGCCCATGCATACATTGTCTCAACAGTCCTTCTGTCGTCGACGATAGGTCCTGGCCTTGGGATTCTTGATCGGCTGCACTTTCGCTCCGAACCTCAATACATTCACAGGTTCGTCTCGTGGGAATCACTCGTTTGGAACAACGGCATTGACTTCTGCCTGCAGCGATGCGATGCCTAACCGCATTCTTCGGGTCAGTATGCTCGCGCGTTTTTTTTAGTTTGTCAACCCCTTGTATTGACGAGGAACTATGCGCCCACAGAACGTGCCCACAAGTCACAGTACGTACCTTACCTCTTTGATTCCTTGCATCGTACTGAGTTTGGAAAGGGTTTATATGTAGTCACAGATCTATATCCGTTCCATTTGCAGGCAAGAAAGGTTGGACACGAGCCTCTTTGTCGATGACTATCGTTGATGCAAATCTTACACTCAGCTGAACATCTGGACCATGGGGTTCATTATTTCTCCCTTCTTGTCGCCCTTCGCGTTCGGGTTCCTCGCAGCACGTGCTAAGTCAGTATCCTCTCGCATCCCGAATTCGTACTCCTGACGACTCTGAGCGTATAGTTGGCGCTGGACATATGGCATCGGTTCGATGTACGGCGGGCTCGTGGTCTTTATGATTACATTCTTCCTCGAGGAATCGTAAGTTTGAAAGTACCTGCTCGTTCTTCGCATGTTGACAAGAACTCGGTTGCATAGTATGTATGACCGCTCCATGCCTGATCCAAAACCAATTCCAAGGCCCAAATCCCGGTTGCTCTACCGCATCCAGAACTTGGTAGGGATCACGGGCTGGCGCATGGCCAAATATCGTGCCCGCTGGCGGACGGTTGTATGGGCGTGCGTGGATCTTGTCTGGCGCCCGCACATATTCAGTATCCTGGTCTTCGAGGTACGCATACCTTTCAGTCACGGAAATGCCTACCCAAGCTGTGACCCTATGTTAGGCCCTGATCTTTGGATTCACTACTGGTATCAACGTAGGTATCGCTATAGACGACGAGGTATGTTTTGCTGATTACATTGTTGCGATAGACGACAAATGCGGTCATCCTTGCGGAAGCACCTCCAAAAGGCTATGGATTCAGCGAGTATGCCATCGCGGGTGCTTATGGCACTCCAATTGTGAGTGTTGAACAAGCTGAGGGAACTCCGTTTACCAACTGATCTGAGCACACAGGTAGCGGTTGTCCTGGGTGAGCAAATCGGACACTACCTGAACGATTGGATCATGGAAGTATGCATCCGCCGGAACAAGGGAGTCTTCGAGGCTGAAATGCGGCTTTGGTGTGTTTCGTCGCATCTCCATCTACTGGTTCTGGTGCTCATGAGCAATGTCCTGAAGGGCGTGCTATGCGGCTGTCGTTTTGTACATTGTTGGGTTTGTCGTGCTTGGCGCATGCATGGAGCAACTCAACGTCGCCGGTCTGGTCCTCGGCTGGGGCATCGCACAGTGCGTGGTGGTCTTCAACACAGTTGCAGTCTGTGAGTGCCAATACACGGTTAGCCGCCACATGCTTACATCAGGAAAAAAGATAATTGCTATGTTGGACAATATAGTAGATGTAGAAAGCATAGGCTCATTGCGAACCCCCTACTTTATAGCAGTTTATAGATTGCCGGCTGAGATCATAGCAGTCTGTAGCGCCACTGCCAATTGACATAGGACGACATAGGACGCTGTAGACACACTAGAATGATAGCACAATAGACTGATAGGCTTATATAGAGTGATATATATGAGTATAATCAGTAGTTGAGTGTATACCAATCGTACTTGTTGCTAGTACTTGTGATTTGGACCGTTGGCAGGCAATACAAGAATATTAGATCAAATGTATTGCAAGGCTCAGCAAGCAGTGCTACGGTAACCAATGTCCCACGGTGTTCAGCAATTATGATCAAACTAGTAAAGTAAGGCAGTAGCAGTCCGTAATATGTATATGAATCCAACTATAGGGGTATTGATTAGCAGGGAGTAAGTCCATTCAGTACGAGAAGACTGCAGGCTAAGACATACGGTGGGTCAATCAATGACATGACCCGGCGACAGCAAGTGCAAACGCACCATGAAATGTCCTATCTACGTGTCGTCGTCATCGTCAGGATCACCAGCATCCAGGGACTGCTGGAGCGCGCGCGTCAAGGCATCGCGTGAGAGTGTACTGGCTGTGCGATCTGTATCCTCCGCGCCAGAGTGGAATCTGTACATCAACAATGAGCAAGACCTGATTGCATTCATTAGAAGTAGACTATACCGAGCTTCCTTGTAGAGCTTCTTGCGAAGCTTGCGGAGGAGACGGTGTGCAGCGTCAGACAAGTCGTCAAATGCTGTGAGATTCTCCTTGTGGGAGAGGTAGATCGGCTTGTACTCGTTTTCGTAGAAGCTCACGCCCGAGTGCTTCCCTGTTCCCCATTCATCGATGCAACACTGAACCTAGATATACATCAGCATCACACACAGAAGGGAAGCTTGAACAACGTTACCGCTGTGAGAACAAGTGCGATCATCCCAATGGAAATCGCCGGGCCGAAGAATTCCTTAAAAATGACACCTTCGTCGCTTCTGTTCACAAACCAGGTTGCGTTGATTGCCTTCTGAATGATCGGATGGCGGTATATGCCCTTGCGCTCTGCCTCCGCACCCTGCGGCTGATTGATAGCAGGATCCTGCGTGCCGTGAACATCACTACATGAGTACTCGTCAACATGTATTGTTGCAACATCCATACCTCATACACAAACGCTGAGTCGCTTGTGAGTGCGACCGCTTTATCACGGTTCTCGCGTATGGCTTTCTTCGCAGAAGAGCCATTGAAACTATACAAGCTCTCGACAAGTGGTCGAACTTTACTCTTGAGCTCGCCGCGGAGCTGCGATGTACGCGCAGTGATCTCAATTGTCTCATCAGCGAACGACATCGGTTTGCTGTACTATAAATCACTCACAATCTTGATCACTCTTTGATCAGCGGCGTAATTGACATCGAGCGTCTTGCAAGCCTCGCCCCAGCAGATCTGGGCCCATTCTTCTTCAAGCAAGTCGGTCGGAAATGCATCGATGGTAGACACCCGGCATCTGAACAGTGAATTAGCAATATTCAGAAGGGCCTTCACATCCGCGTCATAGTCCTTCGCGCGTGGTCCATGTTTAGATGGAGTGCTGACAAGCTGTGGGCAAGAGATATCTTGGTACGTAGGGCACATTGAGATCAGCCTCACGTGGACGTTGATACACAGAAAGATGACACATAACTTACCGCCGTTCATAGAGCTCCCTTCAGCCTCACTTCCTATGTCGTCCTCCACATCCACTGGGACTTTGCGTGGCTGCTCCTGGTGTTCCTCATCAACATCGTCATACAGGGAGATAGACCGACGTGGAAGAGGACTACTGGAACGTGGCGAAGACGGCACACGCTCGAGGGGCTCGTCATCCTGCTGACTCAAGTGTCCCTCGTCATCCTCGTCAAAGTCCCCAGCGTCATAGACAAATTGACTCAGGGCATGCTCGTTGCCGGACTGATCGTCGTCGAATTGCAGATCGTTGTCGAGACCGTTCCCGATCTTGCTTCCCTCGTTGTCGTCGTCATATTGGCTTGCTCTAGGATTGTCCGAGTCGGCATGGGGGCGACGATACCGAGATGCCATTTCTTCGTCGTCACTGTAGATTGGGACGGGGTCGGCGTTGCGGGGACGTCCTGAAGATACAAACTAATCAGTAACCCAGCATCTGATTAGTAACAGAATAACTCTTAACCATTAGAGCGGCTCTGCATGTTGGAGCTGGAGTAGACTCGGACCTGCCTTGACGCGGAAGCAACATCACCGCGAGCTGACAAACAGCTATGAGTTTCCATCACCATCGCGCCATGCACGGAAAGAACGTACCTTGTTGTCGTTCCGACTGATTTGCGGTTCCGTAGTGCTTGGAGATCGCCGGTGGTGGTGTTTCCGAGCGCCTTGGTAGTACAGGCCTCCGAGATGGTTCCGAGTGTCTTGCTCTTGGAGGCGGCGATGACTCAGAGTGCCTCGCTACAGGCCTTGGACGTGGCTGCTGCTGCTCAGAGTGCCTTGATACAGATCTTGCAGCAGGCGGCGACGGTAACTGCTCGGAGTGTTTGGAAGCCTGGGCTGCGCGTGGCGGGACCTTCGTTGTACGCTTGATAAGGTTCTTGAATGGTGCTTGGTTTGGTTTCGAGCTTGAGACATTCTGCGTAGTAAACTGCCAGCATGTGATGATTAAACGACCTTGTCAATGAGCTGAGATTGTATGGGAACACCGTACCATCGACGTCTTGCTGTTGTTACCGTGAGATGGACGAGTCTTCTTGCGTGACGTGTCACCGGATGCCCTATTATCGTCAGAGCTCTCGGCCGCAGGTCGCTTCTGTGCCTTACGACTCTGCACAGATTCTTGTGCTTCATCTATGTGATCTCGACTAGATGAAGACAAACGCTGAAGGAGGACTCGAGACAGCGTACCCAGTTGGCGCTGTTTCTCTGTTGGACGGCGTGTGCGTTTCAGAGATTCGTCTGGTGTGCTGTTTGACTGTTGCCTAGAAGACTGAGACATGGAAAGAACGATGGAAGTGATAAACGAATGTAATGGACGAACACCATGTACTGGTGATGTCCGTCAGGCTGCAAGGAAGTCAAGACGTGGCGGGACGCTCGCCTAGCTAGTCAGCAACTCGTTGATTGGGGTCCTGGTTGGGGTCCTAGTCATGTGGATGGACTCAGACCCGGATACTGGCCTGCATGCTGACAAACAAAAGTGATCGTGAACATCGGAATCGACGATTGTGCGCAAATTGAAACGTACACATCCTGTACACATCCTACGAGCCCAACACTACCCGACTCTAACTTGGCTGGCCTGTTTGATTGTCCTCGATGCCTCGCTGCGGTTACTGTAAACGTCAACTGCCTACAACGAAAGGTGTTCGAGTCCACGTCAAGAACTCACCACGTTGCCGTCGTAAATGGGAACGTCAACTCGCTCGAGTTGCCCAGGTGATTGCATCAGCTCGGAACATCGCTGCTATTGCCGTGGTCGCCGCAGCCTCATCTAGGGCAAACTCAGGGGCTGACGACCTGGAAGCCAGCTCTCACCTTGCACAAGTTGATGATGACGATCCAATGGACGGCGGCCGATCATCACGCCAGGCGTGAGTCGAGGACGTACCGGAGGATGAGGAAGATGCCCGCCGATATGTCGAGAGCTACCCAGGAGTCGTCGCGACAATCATTCGTGAAGATCACACGCTATTCGAGCAGTGGTGCGCAATGCGTGCCGAAGCTGAGGTTGACGAGTGGGCACCATTCAAGGACGAAGAAGAGTGGGAGTTGTTCCGGTGGCTGATCAAGCATGTGGGTCAAACCAAGATCGACGAGTTCCTTAAACTTTCAATTGTACGCACCATAGATCTATTTCCGTCATAGTATTCAAGTGCACTAACCAATCTCCTGACAGATACGAAGAAAATGCAGTTTGTCAGCCGACAGCAAGTACAAATTCTTTCAACAGATTGACGACCTACCTACTGGAGTCCCTTGGCACTGCGACGTGGTCTCCGTTCAAGGCGATCGTATGGGCGATGATGGGAAGTTCTTGCAGGAACAACTCGAACTGTGGCGGCGCGATCCTGTGGAATGTGTGGAGGAACTCATCGGGAACCCTACGTTCGACGGAAATATTGCTTACGGGCCAGAGAGGGTTTATACGGAGGAGGCGGCTACCATACGACGGTATGATGAGATGTGGACAGCGGATTGGTGGTGGATTACGCAGGTACGCCGGCACAATGTCATAATCACCCAACCTGCACGAGAAGACTCACTAAATTCATAGGGAAAGTTGCCAGAGGGTGCGACAATCGCACCTGTAATCCTCGCGTCCGATGCCACGAAGCTCACAAACTTCGGCGGCGATAAGAAGGCATGGCCGGTGTATCTGTCCATCGGGAACATCTCAAAATCCGTCCGACGTCAGCCTTCGCAGCGCGCAACAATCCTCGTTGGATACATACCTGTCTCGAAGCTCGACTGCTTCAACGATTCGACTCGCAGCCTTGCAGGCTATCGCCTCTTCCATCACTGCATGTCCCTCATCCTCAAGTCCCTTCGCGAGCCGGGCCTCAATGGGAAGGAGATGACTTGCGCAGACCGCGGTGTTCGGAGGGTCCATCCAATTGTTGCCGCTTATGTTGCGGATTATCCCGAACAGTGTCTTGTTTGCTGCTGCAAGGAGAACAGCTGCCCACGCTGCACTGTGCCTCCCCTACGACGTGGCGAGCAGCTTAACTGTGATCCACGTGATGTCAAGAGCACCAAAGACGCACTGCGCGACCACCAGAACGGAAATGACTCACCACGCTTCACTTCCGAGCAACTGCGGCCCGTCTACGAGCCCTTCTGGGCAGACCTCCCCCATTGCGACATCTTCTCATCTATCATGCCTGACATCTTGCATCAGCTCCACAAGGGAGTCTTCAAGGACCACTTACTGTCGTGGTGTACATCAATCGTGGGCCCGGACGAAATCGACCGCCGCTTCCGTGCAATGACCGACTTCCCAGGCCTTCGAAACTTTCGCAATGGCATCTCGCATGTTTCGCAGTGGACGGGTAAAGAACATAAGGAGATGCAGCGTATATTCGTAGCGCTGCTAGCTGGCGCGGTGCCTGCGGAGGTACTGGAGGTGGCGCGTGCGCTCGTGGATTTCATCTACTACGCGCAACTTCAGTCTCACGATGACACGTCGCTCACTCACCTGCAGTCAGCTCTCGACACGTTCCATCGCTGTAAGGACGTTTTTATCAGGCTAGGGATTCGCGAGCATTTCAACATACCGAAGATACACTCACTCCTCCACTACGTCGAGGCCATCCGATCCCGTGGTTCCTGCGACGGCTACAACACCGAACTCCCCGAGCGCTTGCATATTGAGCTGGCGAAGAACGCGTACCGTGCAAGCAACCACCGCGACTATACAGAGCAGATGGTGACGTGGCTCTCACGCCAGGAAGCGGTCGACTTACATGCTGCATACATCGCGTGGTTCCAGGGTCTCCGTACGGAAGAAACGGCGGATGAGATAGCTGAGGAATCAGACTCAGAGCCAGAAGACGAGCCAGAAGACGACGAACCTGATGAAGACGAGGTCTCTCCTCTGCTCCCAGACGGGGATCAAGAGAAAACCAGGCACACGTACGCAATCGCGAAGCACTGTCCTCTTCCCAATGTATCCCTGCGCTACCTGCTTGCCGACCATGGCGCGAGCGAGTTTCTACCCGCTTTGACCGACTTCGTCCAGACTGAGCTACCTCAGGGCACGTTACGGCCGAACCAAATGGATCGCTACGACGTTTATAAGGCCATATCAGTTACTTATCCAGGAGATCCTCATGGCGACGTACCAGAGCATACCGACCGCATCCGGGCGGTCGTGGCCAAAGCAGGGAGGGGGCGAAAGCAGGCCGTGGCTGCACACTTCGATACCGCGTTTATCATCGATCCGGATATTCCTGTCGATGGACTTGAACGTCGGAGCCCACGTTCTATCTTGGGTGAGTACAGTCACATAGAAAGGCAGTGAACGCTTACCTGATTCGGCGAGAACATACAGGAACAAGGATAGCACGCGTGCGCGTCATCTTCGATCTTCCTGCGCAATTTGGATCACACCCGCACCCGCTCGCATACGTCGAATGGTACACGCCATTGCGGCGCAAGGATCCCGGGACCGGTCTCTACCTTGTCTCCCGCTCAACACGCAACGGCAAGCCGAACGCTAGCATCGTCAGCATTGATCAGATCCGCCGCGCCGCGCACTTGGTTCCGAAATCTGGCAGAGAAATAAGCAGGGAACTCACCAAAGATAGTTCACTCGACGTCGCAACAGAATTCCGGGTGAATTCGTACATTTCAGTTGACCTTAGATCCATGACAGTTTGAACTGGTGCACTAGTAGCTAGATAATCTACTCTTCGTCTATGAATTGCATACCCGTGCTGAAATGCCATGTATGTGTTGCGACTTGCAGCACTGTTTGAGTCTGCATCTCAGACTTTATGCTACTCGAGCGACGATCGCATAAGCGCCCACGTTAAAGTACCTCCCCACCTCAGCGTGGATGATTAAGCCTCGAAAATTGAAATTTGGACAGAATAGACCTACAATGTGTGATTCGTGCAAACACGCATCTTCGGGAATTGCATTTGCTCGCACAAGTTCAATAGTTTTGCTGAGCAGCTGCGCCACCGCGACCGGCGCTTCTACTGTCGACGCGCCCAAGGCGCGTGGTTCTGTGCTTCCCTTGCCACTACCCACCATCTTCTTGTACCGTCCCTCTGCATCATACAACGCCCCCAACCTTTGCATTCTATGTCGTCGCACACCTGGCGGCACGATGGTCACCGTGGTCCGGGCCAGCCATGCAAACAGGCCGCCCAAAAACACGTCACCACCTTTCCGAGTCGTCTCGCGGCCTCTCCGCCACCCACCTACCCACTATGCCGCGAACCAAGGAAAGGAAATGCTGCGGTCACCGGTTCTAATGAGTAGGAAGACGAAGCAGGAGAGGCAAAAGGCATTAAAATCAGTGAGTAGATGACTCTTTCGACCGAGCGTACCTCGAACATGCGAGCGATGTGCTGCTCCTATCCCCCTACTCTACCTATCTTACATATCTCGCTACCAAGTGTGCATAGACGAGTTGCTCAGTGCAGACCTGCGTTGATGTTCGCGTTGGGGGTCGGCCCGGGTGGTTGCATCCGCGGTCTGCGGGCACTCTCAACTATCCACTTGGTCCGAGTAAGCACCCATCAATGACCATCCCCTATCCTGTCCCCTCGTCCCGTTCCCCAACCCCTCCTTTCGATATTCCGGGCTGATATACCTCTGAGTGGCAGACTACTTGGTATCCTCGTCCTCCTCAACATGGCGTGAACAAGGATTGCGGCTGGACAACAACACTGCGACGTTCTTCTCCAAGGGCGGTGTTCTTTTTTTGTGAGTGATAGAGTTGATAGTGTGGCCTTAACTTCTGACGCGACGACCGCAGCGCCCTCCTTACTACGGACAGGCGACGGTGGGGGAGGGGAGGGCGGGCGGGCGGCGGCGTTAGGGACGGGTGTGCGCGGTGGTCGTCGCGCGCACGACGGTGCGTGCAGGCGGCGCAAGGACGCGGCGAGGAGGGCAGCGGTCGGCGGGAGTACACATTCTCTTCGCTGTTGGGAATCCTCTTGTGCGGGCGATGCGACGCGACGATGCGGCGCCCGCGGCAGGCGCTAACGTCGGACGTGGAGTGCGGGCGACGCGAGGACATGGCGAGGCGGGCAGCGGCGGCGTGACGGGGCAGCGGCGGCGCGACGGGGCAGCAGCGGGTGCGTACTGGCGAGCGGCAGTGGGTGAGTTGGCGAGCGGCGGGTGCGTGGGGGCGACGCGACGCGGTGAGGGATGCAGTCGGCGAACGCACGCGACGGGTGGACGCGGCGGCGGGAGGCGGCGGCGGCGGGGGCGCGGGCGACACGGGCGGGCGCTCTGCTGGTCTGCACAGTGCTGGCGGGCGGCGGCGGCGGGTGCGAGTGACGGCGGGTGCGTGCTGGCGGGCGGCGGCATGGGAGGGCGGCGGTGACGAACGCGGTCGACGTGACGACGCGTCGGACGCGGGTGGGGGCGACGCGGGCGGCTGGTCTGCACACCGCACGCGCCCCTGCTCCATCCCCGTCAGCAGATCCTGCGGCTTGATCGTAGACGGTTTCGTGCGCGGCGAGAGACTTTGACTGGAACTTGGACCGGCGTGCGCGGCGGGGAGGGTTCGCGCGATGCGGACGTCGATGGGCGCGGTCTGAAGTCATGCGTGTCTTGCGAGTGGGCTGTCGTTCCGAGAGTGGTAGCAGACATGGATGCTTGGGTGTTCACTGAGCCAGGCAGGGTGAGGGTGGAGGCGAGCGAGCCGTCAAAGTCCCCGGCGGCAGCGAGCGAGTCGGCTAGAGAGTGGAGGTCGGAGGACGACATTGCACAGCGTCTAGCAGCGCATGTCAGGCGTTCCGTGGTGCGTGTCTGTGTCCGTCAGCAACCGGGTGAGCTCGTCAGACAGAGCGGCACGCTGAGACTTGGCGTATAATCTCAAGTAGTACAAGCAAGGTCCCGTAGTAGACGAGAACGGTGGTCGGAGGGCGCTGGCGGTGGAGGTGCGTGGCAGACGTGCAGAGCGTGAACGTCGGCCGCATTCAATGCCCTACCACCTGTGGGCCATTACCCCGGCCCAGCTAACGTTCCAGGCAGGCCTCGCTTGTTGAGTAGGTGTCGCGGAAGTGTGCGGCATGGCCAGATGGCCAGCATTGCACGACGCTGTAGCTGTATTGTACCTCAGTATGCGCGCACTTGACGACGCGCGTAGTAGCTAATGAAATATTACCTATGGGTGCAAGAGCACCTGCTGCGGTATACGGCGGTCGGTTGGAATCAGGGGGAGAAGAAGAGCGCACCCGCCGGACAGAATGTCTTTACTGTTACGATGGGGCACGGTGAGAGGGCGCATTGTTTGGGTGGTCCATTTATATGGCCCAAGTGCCGAGGCGCTCCACACGTGCATGCGTTAAACAAACGCGACGCGCGTTGTCCACGTGATCGTGTTTGCCGACGCGCCCGCAAAGTGTGGCCTTAACCCACCTCCTACTCTCAGCTTGAGGGTTTGGTCAATAAAAATTTGGAGATATGTTCTTTGCATATAAAACAGGCATTCTGCGTACAGAGAGATTTTCGGGAGTGCGGTCTTCCGCCAGGAGTTGAATAGCATTGCTGCAATCGCGCGCCACCGCGCCGGCGCTTGTGGTGGTGGCTAGCGTCTACTCACGTTGACTGATAGCGACGACCGCCAACTATCCTCAGCCTTCGCCGCACTGCTTTCCTCTGGTAAACTGGATCTGCGGAGCACTGCGTCGTGCGTGTTCCCCAACAGTGCGTTGACGTTGACCGCGCGGTGTGTCACGTATGTCGTTACCGTTACCGCAGACTCTCCAAACCCTAGACTAGGCAACCTCAGGCTCATCCACTCGAGGCGGTTTGCGGCTCCCTACAACACGACAACCTCATACTACATACACCCTTCTCCCCTTTTGCGTGTCAACTCTCGACTCTTGCGACTGCCCATTGGAGCTGGGCCAACAGCGTGCGAAACAACAAGTAGCCGTCGAAGCCAGACGGCGGCTACGAAATGAGCATCCCCGGAAGACGGAGGAGATACAGGGTTCCATACGAGGTATGTTTTTGGCTGCTTCAATTGTCATAAGTGGCCATTGACTATGCGGCCTATGCGGCCAGCAGACCCCCTCCGGTTCTCCTCAAGTGCGCACGCACTCTTTGCCCATTGACACTGCAGACGTGCGTCAATGTACACGTTGCGGTTTGGCTCGGGTGACAGTCTGCGGGCAAGGTTTTTGGTGAGTTCTTCTTGTCATCGCCGTGTTTGGCAATGCAGATATGACGAACTGATGTCCACTTCCCTCGCAGGTTCTATGATGACTGGGCATGAACTTGCGTAGGTGCCCACGGCTTCTTGCCCTCGACGTCGTACAGCCCCGCGACCGAACTCAGCGTGCCCGCGCTCGAGCCCCGGCGGCTCTCTCCCCATCTCAAACTTTAAGGCGTGGGGCCTTCGGAGTCCTGTTTGCGGCACTCTCGACCATGGCGGAGATCCCGGCACTCTTCATCCAACGACCTATCGTACAGCGGCACTCGCGGGCGGCGATGTACCATCCGTTCGTTGAGTCACTCGCGCTGACACTCGTTGACATTCCGATCACCATCCTTACGCTCGTTCTGTTCACTATAATTCTCTATTTCCTCGTCGGTCTGCAAGAGGATGCGGGCAAGTTCTTGTGAGTGTCAAGTTAATACCTTTGCGTCACGGTTGCGTTGACTCACGGACGTTTAGCATCTTCCTACTGTTCGTCTTCGCTATGACGATCACGATGAAGAGCTGGTTCCGCGCGCTCGCTGCGCTGTTCGCGAGCGCCGCCCCCGCCCAGGCTGTCGCCGGTGTCTCGGTCTTGATCCTGACCCTCTACACGGGTTACACCATCCCCCAGCCGTCCATGATCGGAGCTCTGCGCTGGATCACCTACATCAACGTAAGCGTACTTCTGTCTGGCAACGAGCTCCCTTGCATCCACCGCCTTCACCTGGACAAAGTGCGCGCGCTGTGGCTTGCCTCGAACCGTCCCGCGCGTGTTTTCGACGTGCCTCAATCATGGAGGAGCCAGGATGAGGCATGCCGGGTGTACCGGCCAGCAACTCATGTCGCGCGGCATCGCCACTTGACAACAACAACACAATACGGGTCGCGCGTCGTACGCAATCGCGAGCATGAATGTGAGGCTCGGGACACAGCCGGCGTACGACCGCATGCCAACAGTGTCATTGCTCCGAGCCGTGGCGGGACGCGCTTCGCTGATGCAAGCACAGCGCGCTGCCTATGTACGTACTAACTACTTACTACTTACTACTGACGCCTTCCCATGTAGCGCAACCTACTCGTCTCGCTCCCCTTGCATCTCAGTCACCACCGGCATCGACAAACGTCGAAACGAGCAACCGGCGCCCGTGATTCCCATCCGTGCGATCTTACCGGGAAGGCACCATGACGGCCTGCCGCGCTTCGCATGCCCTCGCACCCCCGACGCGCAACATCCAGCTGACCAGGTGTCGACACAAGGATGCCTCGAGGAGCTAAACGGTGAGCATGACCCTACATGTCGTGCACGCGCCAGTTGACAATTGCAAGGCCTGCAGAGTATATACGTCAGCAATGCACTTCGTACCGCGAACCACCGGACGGCCACTGCTCGGACACGTGTTGGCTGGTTACAGATCTGCCGTCTTGTACATGTCCCGCTGTGTATTATACTAGTCAGGAAAATGTAATGCTAGTGGATTGACACTACAGAGATATATTACATTTTGGGTGGCTTCCTGATGTCAGAACTGCCGCAAAGTCTATGATCACAACCATTTCTCTCGATACCATTATCAACGGTACTACGACACAACCTATTCTACAGCCACAATGGACTGCTATCTACCGTAAGATATTCCTATGGGACCCTATCTACCACCTATGATCGTCTACAAGGCGCTATGGACGACTATATAGTAGGTGCCAGCAGCTATGACACTGATAGCACCTATCCTGGCGATGTATCTAGGGCAGCCGCTATGCCTAAAATACCTTTTTCCTGATGTACTTAGTGCTGGTGGTAGATGCTTATTGCAACGACTGCTTCCCCGACAGGCAGGTGGGTCTACGTCGTGCCTTTCAATGTGATCTGAACTCACCTTGCCCGTGGCACAGGGAGAAATCTCAGCTCTCGTGAACCTTTGCAGGACACTCGGTGGATTCAGCGTTGCCTACTTCCAGGTGCCATGGGCGACGAAGTACGGCGCTTTGCAGGCCTTTGGTGTTGAGGCCGCGATTGTCGCCGGATTATTCCTACTGATTGTGCCCGCGTTGCAAATCAAGGGCGCTTACCTGAGGGTGAGAGACATCTGCGTGCCTTTATTGTTTGAGAAACTTACCGAGGACGGAAAGGCTCGTTTCTCTGGATAGGTCCCGGATAGGTTCCTTGATCTCTGCAACCAGCCACTTCAGGCGGGATTGTCAGCGGCGCTGGAAATGGCGCAGGCTATTGGGGACGCAACATTTGTAGCGTGTAGCATAGGTGTTTCTGACTATGCTTATGGAGGATACACATCTACCAGTGTACGACTTGTGTTGCGGGCTCAGTGTCCAACGTTCGACTCTGAGGCCTGAGGGCTCGGAGTGAGCGATGAGAACGGCGCTTGTCAACATGAGCGCTTGAGCGATCTTCAGTTTCTGCGGGCGCTTACCCACTCTCTAACCTACTCCCATTGGCGATCATACGACGTATCGTGTTCAGAGTCCCACAGGTAGCACCTTATCACGCGTCCAGTAGAGTGTCCATGTAGGCTAAACGAAGTAGAACATGTCAGACACAGAAGAGATCGATCTGGGTCTCGACTCAGTATTCACGGTGAGTGAGCATCGTCTTCATGTTACAGCTAACATACGAGATTCATGGAAGATAGGAGCAACCAAGACCACCTTCTCCTGAACCGACGACATCTATATACAAGCGAGAAAATCGGGATGGTACGAGCGATCATAATGATTGGTCGGAAATCACCATTCGACTGGTTGGGTCGCATCCACTGTGGGGACATTACTTGTGCGTACCTGCGGGCTTCGTACTACTCTGTTCAGGGCTCCGATTCACGACCTGCAGATGGAATGCATCTCGCGCTTTTGCGTCGTATCTCGATGCCCATCCAGACCTGTATCTTGGCCGTACCGTGCTGGAGCTCGGCGCTGGAGGTGGATTGCCTGGTATTGTCGCCGCGAAGAATGGCGCTCGTACGGTTGGCGAAAACATATTCGCTCCGAAACAATTGCTGATCAGTTGCACATTATATATCCTTCCAGGTCGTGCTGACCGATTATCCGGACAGAACTCTTCTCGAGAACCTAGACTTCAATGTAAACGCGAATGTTCCACCGCATGAGTCGCACGTACAGGTTAAGGTGAGGCTGTGTTGCAAGCGTATAGTATGTGTTCTGACAAGCAGACAAGGGGTACATCTGGGGCAAACCCGTTCAACCGCTCCTAGAAGCCCTGGGTCCAAACGCTTCAAGATACAACCTGATCATTATGTCCGATTTGATCTTCAACCATTCCCAGGTCTGTCGTCTCCCCACCATGTGATGTCTATACTTACATCCTTCAGCACGACGCCCTCCTGAGTACATGTGAAGAAACGCTATCTGTACGAGAGAGGTCTGAAAGAGCAGAACCATGTCTCCTCGTCTTCTACACGCATCACAGGCCACACCTTGCGCACCGGGACATGGGGTTCTTCAGCAAAGCTCAGGAACGCGGATGGACCTGCGAAGAGATACTGACCCAGAAGTTCCCCGTGAGTGATCTTGCGACCATGTGGGTTGACGCTGCTTGACGCATGCAGCCTATGTTTCCCGAGGACCCCGGCGAGGAGGAAGTACGGGCTACTGTGCATGGCTGGCGGCTTACCCGCCGTCTGTGAGAATAAGCTACGGTGCAATATGCACTTCCGGAAAGAGGGCAGCAGCCCAACAGCAGCCCTCGCTGCGCTGTCTGCACCGCTCGGCGTTTCATAGGCTTACCACCATCATGTGCATCGTATACATCACACTTGCCAGTGAATGTACTGCGATTCTGGCCCCGTCAGTTGGAATTGACTTCAAATCGTTCCGCCGCCCGCTCACAGAGTTCCTGTGTAACACAAAGGCACAGGTCGAGTGGCTTGTACATTCGACTCATTATTCAGCAGGACAGCGTAAATATCGTGAATTGTCGATCGTTCTAATGATCTCCGAGTTTCTCGGACTTCCACGACCCCATTGCGCCGGCTCGAGTGATGGAATATCGCGCGACTGTGCTCCCTTCTGACGCTCACTATCCCATATACGAGGGGCTTCGACTCGACGGCGAGCTACCTGCCTTGTCTCGACAGGATGGACAAGCAGCGAGTCTCGAAGACGAGGGTTCTGCGCTTCATCGCTGCAGGCTTGCTGACTCTCAGTGCTTTGGTCTCTGTCTTGCTGTCTCACGCGTCGTTCATCGCGTCGGAACGCGTCCAGCGCGTCCAAGTACCCTTGCATGCGGCAGAGATACTACGGAAATGTGCTGCTCTCGAGCTGAAGCCTGGTCCGCCCCAGGACTTCCATACACGGGCACAGTCAGATAGGTTCCAGCCCGGGACGAAGCCTCTGCTTATCCGCAACGCGACACTATGGACGGGACACTTGGATGGTCTCGAAGTGGTGCAGGGCAATCTGTACCTCGACAAAGGGCTCATTGGCGATGTGGGAGAAGTCGCCGTGGATATGTTGGATGAGGAAGTGACAATCATTGACGCGAATGGGTAAGTTATGTTGCTTAGCGGCGAGTTCGTCTGGAGTTGTGATTGACTTGGTGTGTAGAGCGTGGGTCACGCCTGGGTGCGTCGGGAAAATGGCTCGCGTTGTAGGCCGTATCATTGACATAGTAGACGCGTAGGATCATCGACGTCCATTCGCACCTAGCGGTGGAAGCCCTACCTGCCCTCGAAGGCGCGATTGATGGGAACTCCCTCAAGGGGATCACGCAGCCATGGCTGAGGTCTATCGACGCCTTGAACACGCATGATGAAGGTTCTATTGCATCAGTTAGGTCATTGAAGCCCTATCCGCTGAACCGCTCGTGCATCTCAAGGTTTTAAACACTCCATGGCTGGGGGCGTAACCACTTCGTTAATCCTTCCGGGCTCCGCGAATGCGATCGGTATGCACGTACTCAATGACCTACGCGTAATTGACACCTTGTCCAGGCGGCCAGGCATTCGTCATGAAGCTGCGACCGACCAGGGAGCGTTCTCCGACGTCCATGCTACTGGAGCCGCCATACAGTCTCAACGGGTCCGACGTGGACGCACCGTCTCCGCTACGCTGGCGATACATGAAGTACGTTCCGATGTAAATAACTCGACAGAAATCAAAACTCAAGCCTGCCATAGACATGCGTGTGGTGAAAACCCATGTGCGTCACACTGATCGAGTCTAGATCTTAGTACAGTCCATGATAATGAGCTGTACCAATAGCTCGCGTCTACAGCGGCACTCGCATGGACACTGCTTGGGCGTTCCGTTCAGCGTGAGTACCGCACCAATCTTGTGGCACTTGACCTGAGAATGCTCCTGGGACTCCCAGATACGACCATGCTCGCCACATCAAGGTCGCACAAGATGACTACTGCGCCAAAGCCACAGCCGGCGATTGGAATGCAGTCGCCGAGCAGACCTTCCCGGAGGACCTACAATGGGAGGCGCTCGTAGACGTGCTACGAGGTCGCGTCAAAGTGAGTGACCATGTACACACTAAGGTTTCCCCCTGCGTTTACGATATGGTCAGGTCAACACCCATTGTTATGAGGTGGTCGACTTTGATGACTTCGTCAGGGTGAGCGGTGGTTGAAACGACAGGGTGCTATGTGCCTACTTACTCTCTTCTGCAGTTGTCGAACGAGTTCAAGTTCGAAGTTGCCGCGTTTCACCATGCCCACGAAGCATATCTTGTGCCAGACCTGCTCAAAAGCGCCTATGGTATGCAACCCAGAGGTCTCACTGAGTGAATGCTCATGAGAGACAGGCCGTACGCCCGCGATCGCGATGTTCTTCGCGTTTTCGAGGTATAAGCGCGAGGCCTACAGGCATTCCGAGTTCGCACCGCGAATCTTGGCAGACAATGGAATACCCGTCATCATGAAGGTGTGCGTCCCATTGATTGATGGGTGCCAGTCGCTCATCAGGTTGAGTCGTCCTTAGTCGGACCATCCAGCTATACAATCGAGGTTCCTGGTGAACGAGGCCGGGTACGCACATTATTACGGCCTCCCAGAGAATATCGCTTTGGCGTCCGTCACGTCGACGCCCGCCAGGACTATTGGACTGGACCATCGGATTGGGTTCCTGAAAAAGGGTCGGTTCTGCATCACATTTCAATCGTAATGTCTTTGACGTTAGCCTCGCACAGGGTATGACGCAGGTACGCACTGATCGAGGGTCCAGCCACACGGATTGTACAGTGACGAATACTTGCAGACGTCGTCATCTGGGACAGCCACCCGCTCTCTCTCAGCGCCGCTCCCGCCCAAGTCATCATCGACGGCATTCCACAGCTCAACCCGTCTTACCCAGCAATTAAGCCCGCATCCTCCCAGCAAGCCCCACACACGCCGAATTGGGACGAAGAGGCCAAGACTACGCTCGAACATGAGGGACTGCCCCCGCTGGAGCCGGCACAGTCGACAGAAGGCGTCGTCGTCTTCACCAATGTGACGAGCGCGTGGGTACGCGATACCGGGGACTCGGAGATAGTGAATTTGCTGGCTGCTACGGGGGTCATCGGCACGGTCGTTGTCCGCGCAGGCAGGGTCGTCTGTCATGGCTCTATGTACGACTGCGTCTCGTACACTTCCAGTGCCGAAGCTACGCACGTAGACCTGCAAGGCGGCGCGTTGCAACCTGGCCTCATCACTTCTGGCTCCGCCATAGGGTTACAGGAGATCGCCATGGAGGTGTCCACGACAGACGGGGAGACGTACGATCCCCTCTCCGTAGATGTGCCCGCCATTGCTGGCGGGCTGGGATACATGCCCAGAGCTGTCGACGGGCTGCAATTCGGCACGCGCGATGCTTTGTGAGTTCAGTGACTACGATACTCAAGCGCACTTTGTACTGACGAGAAACGAAGACTGGCTTACCGCCACGGAGTCACCGTGGCCGTCAGCGCACCCATCCACTCATCCTTCCTAGGCGGCCTGAGCACTGCCTTCTCTCTCGGGGCCCCGCACAAGCTCCAAAAGGGCGCTGTCGTGCAGGAAGTCACCGCTGTGCACGTCAAGCTGGCTCCCGAAGGCGTGCCTAGTGTGAGCACACAGGTCGCGACCCTCCGGCATCTGCTGTTGAATCCTACGGATGGCGACGCTGCGAAGTACTTCCGACTCGTGACGAACGTCAGTGCTTTCACCACTTCCGCAACAGGGTCGTCAGAATTGACTCTGACTGGGGACTCGGACAGGGCACGCTTCCTCTTATTGTGGAGGCCAACAGCGCGGATATCATCGCTACTGTCATTCAGCTGAAGGAAGAGGTTGAGGTTGAGACGGGAACCCCTTTGACAGTGACGATCTCTGGTGGCGGCGAGTCCCACATATTGGCGAAGGAGCTGGGTGAAGCATCTGTGGGTGTCATTCTGAAGCCACCCAGGCCATACGTAAGCCTCTTTTCGGATCGGTGTGATGCTTGGTGTTTACGCAGCTTGCGACACATGCACGTAGCCCATGCAATGGGATCACATACGATAGTAAGTGCACACTCGCTTCTTGATTCATTGGCTGAGTAAGGTTCTTCTCTCTAGCCTCCCGGGACCCCCTGCTTCCGCAGATAGCGCAATTGCCGTCTTGCTGAAGCACAACGTCACCGTCGCACTCGGACCCCAGGGTGTGACCAACGAAGACTCAATGTACACATGGGCTGTCAGGAACCTTCGCTTCGACGCCGCATGGGTGAGCTCTTGCTGTCAGTCATAGCTAATAGCGCGGGTTGACAATCGATTGTCCTGGACCTTAGGCGCACTTGGAGGCACCCGACGTCGTGGATAAGGCCTCCGCCATTGCAATCGCCTCGTCTAACGTAGTCAGGCTGCTCGGCTTGCAGATTGCGTTTGGTGACGAGGACCTAGTAGCCACCATTGGCGGTGACCTGCTCAGTTTCGAGGGCAAGGTCGCAGCGGTGATTTCCCCGCGCAGGGGTTCGGTCGACATTTTCTGAGCCAGCGCTACGCAGCTACGTCAATGCAAAATGCAGTCTCCCTGCAACTCTTGTGGGTTTCATTTTGTAGTCAACTGCGACATCGCCGCGACTACGGATCATCAAGCTACTAATAGCACTACGAAGGATACAACATGGGACAGGCCACTACGGAACCAACGAAATGAACAAAGCTAGACATCGCATGATACAGAAATCGACGAACGGGTTGCGACTACAGTGGGATGAGTGAGCGACTGAGGTATGAGATGCGGTGATTTGCGACAGGACCAGCGTGCGTGCAAGATCGTCTAGGTGTAGGCTCATAAAGGCGTTACAGGTCGTACATACTTGAGTCTTCGTGCGTGCGCTAAGCTGCGTGGTGGAGATAGTCCTGGTACAGTTTGTCTACGAAAGTTTTGTCTGTCTGAAGGATGTGTCAGACGGCAGAAGTGCAACTGGACGAATGTCACTTACATGAATAAGGGCGAGCAACTCCCTGACGAATTCATTTTTTGGGAGTTCTTTGCTCAGTTCTTTTGGACCGATGGATGCAGCCGCCACGACTGCGTCCCGCGCAGCGTTGACATATAATCCTCCCGCTGTCACTTCCTCTGAGACATGGCCATTGGTGGCGGGCGCAGCCTTTGCCACGCCGTTCACTGCACGCTCTTTGCGCTTCCCCTTCGCTGTCTCGCTCGGCCCTGGCACAGGCGCCGTCGAAGGAGGCCGCACCCCCACGGTGACCTCGCCCTTAACGGGGTCGTCCCAGCCGCGCTCGATCTCCTCACGCTTCCGATCCCGCTCGGCCGCACGCTCCTGGCGCGTCTTCTTTTTCTTCCCTTCCTTTCCCGGGCCCTGACTCTGCTTCTCCTTGAGTCGGCTCGAGAACATCGCCGGGTCGCTAAGTGCACGCGTGTCCGTGAAGTCGAGCTCGACGATATCCTCCTGCGAGCGGTCGTCAAGCGGTGCGCGCGGATAGGGCCACAACTCCGAGTCGGCCTCAAAGGGCACGAGCTGGCGCGGCCCTGATGGTGGCTGGGGAGCAGAGTTAGCGGCGGTGACCGTCGACGCGGAATCGGACTGATTGATGCCATTGGTATGTCCGTTGGTAGTAGGCGGAAGAGCCGCGGGGGATGGTGTAAGGTGCTGCTGAGTGCTTGAGCGCGAGACGGGCCTCTGTGGATGCAAGGGTGGCGAGAAGGGGCCGATCCCTCGTATAGTCTGGCGGGGTGTCACGTCCCCTTGCACGCTAAAGGAAGTTGTCGCGCTCCTCGTGTCGGCGTGCTGAATAGCCAGCAGAGGCAAACCAGAGGACGAGCCCGCAGACAGGATCGCTGGATCGGCATCGACGTCGAGGGCCGTGCTTGTCGCCGAGTAATCAGATACGGACGCTATCTCGCCCTCGCTGTACTCCGTGTCGCCTTCGTACCGATTCGAGCGCGAGCGCCTCGAACCCGCAGAACTGGGTGCGGCAGAAGAAGCGCGGGAGTTGGAGTCGAAACCGAGCAAGGACGAGATGACGTCCTGATTGAGGATCTGTGGCAAGGTACTCGACGTCGGCTTCGGTGAGACGATCTGAATGTCCTCAGGATGGGCTGGAAGCGAGCTTGAGGGTGCCATGGGGGGCGCCTGAGGCGTGTGGCTGGGCCCGGGCATCGACTGCGAGGGGCCTTGTCCGGGAGTTGCGGATGCGAAGATTGAGTCGAGTAAGGCAAGACCCCTGTTGGGTGTAGGGGCCGACGGCGGGGGCACGGGTGGAGGCGTAGGTTGCGATAATTGTGGGCCTCCCAAAGCAGCGAACAGGTCTTGCACCGACATCTTCCTCGGTGCCGACGGTGCAGCTGCAGATGCTTCAGGCACCGGCGTGGATGAGGCACTCGGAAGAAGCTTAGCGAAGAGTTTGTCGAGCTCCGACCCTGAGACATTGGGTGTGCTATTGCCGCCATTAACTTGTGCTTCCTGTGCATCCACGGCCTGGACACCATTGGAGACAGATGCGCGACTCGCTGTGCGTAGGTGTGGGTTCGGAGGCGGCGGGTGGCCCGGGCCGTACCTGAATTCGTCGGGATAGGCCTTCCCTTCCTTAATGTAAGAGTGCAGGCTGCCGCACAATTAGGCACAGTGCGATCATGAAGGGAATGTACTCACCGCATCATAACATCTTTCAGGGGTTCCCTTGCATCCGTCGCAAACATCCAGAGCCCGATGGTGACAGAGGTGCCCTTCCATTCCTTGCTGGTCGTGGACGCGCTCTCCTGACGCGAGACAGCCACCTCCTCTGGAGTCAACTGTTTGAGCAGCACCGCATCGAAGCTCGCGCGATGTTCCGGTGGAACGGGGTACGGCAGGTTCATCGCGAGCCGCACTTGTGTAAACTTGGGGTAGTAGCGGAACGCGAGGTAGTCGCCCACAATTCCCACGTCGTCCTCGGGATAGATGGGGCGGATGTAGTCGTCTGTGCCTACGCGGTTCAGGATGAAGAATCCGTACGCAGGGTAGGTCTGTCTGATGTCAGTCCATCACGGCGTGCCCAGGACATGGACAGCAGTCTCACGCACTTTTCGAAGAGGAACATACTCCCCTCGTAACCCTGCTTCTCCCACTTGTTTGCATGATAGTGGTACACACATACATGGCTGAACTGGTCAAATATCGATAGGATAGACGGTTCACGTCGCCGGAGAACCTTCAGGTTGTTCTCGTAGATCGCTGGGGTCAGGCCAAACTGGCGCTGTGTTGCGGGCGATTGGGTCCGCTGGACGTAGGAGTTCTGAGCATCGTCTGCGTATACATTCGCAGCGTTTGATGCAGAGCGATGTCGTCGGGGGGCCATCGTAGAGTTCGTCGCTGAAGAGGTTCAAGTCAGGGTCGGGCTTGCCGTTCGCAGCTCGCGGTGGAGGCGCGTCACTATAATACTGAGTTACTACTGATAACTCATTGTGCAAAACAACTCAACTGAACCAGTGTAGCGAGCATAAAGTCATTGTAGGCTGGCTCACAAAGATTCAATTCATTAGTGCCAATAAATAATAGTGGAACCATATACTCGGGAAAATTGACCAAATATCACATAATAGCATTCGCGCCTCGCACTCGTTGCGACCGCGTAGATCCTACGCCAAAGTCTCCGCCAGCATGGTTCTAGCTGCTCTGCATCCCTGGTCCCAAAATGCAACAAGGGAAGCCAGACGTCTCATATTATCTGTGCTTCAGTCGCAGAAGGAACCTGTCGGCATCCACGACCTCTTGAAGCTCGTCGTAGAGCAGGAAGCTCAGAAGTCGAGGGCTTCACCCTCAAATGCGGACCAGCAAACCCTTCCGACATCTAGCAATACGCCCGAGCCTCCGTACCCAACCCATGTTATCAGGTCCATGAAGTGCGTGACTTATTCAGCTGTATATAATATTGTACTGAACGATACGGTGTGTAGGTACCTCAGGAGTATAGTCCTCCCTGATCTCATGCGCACGAAGGACGTTCGACGCGTCTACATTCAGAAAGAGCTTACTCCCGAGGAAATCGAGCAACGCAAGCGGACCGTCAAAGGGCACCGCAAGCAGGACACGCTCGCATCGACGACACACGGCGTCTGGAGGTTCGAGTTCCGCAATAGGCCTGTGCTGCCGAAGCCGAAGGAAGAGGTGATTCTTGGGGAGGAGGTGGGCGTCGGGGCCGACTGGTCGCACCTGAACCGCAGGAGGGGGAGGTCGAGGGTTCTGTCGGTGGTGAGGGACGTGAGGTGGCTGAAGAAGCTGGAGAAGGCACGGGAGGAGGCACTCGGGGAGTCTAATGAGACTGCTACTGTTGCATCCTCATAGTCCTGTACGCGCTCTACGTGCCAACTGATCCCAGTATTTGCTCAGTTCTATGGACGCGCGTGCCATTGCAACTCCTTGCGTGCTGACGGGCCATGCCACCGAGCGAAGCAGATTTTGCTGCTACTCCTCCCTACGACCGCACCTCGTATATCAGAGCTGCAGAAACATACCCAGTACGTGGAAAGCAGCAACAGTCATTCATTATTCCACGCATGACCGTAACACGCTGCTCATCAACCGAGTGCTTGATCCTGACGTGTTTGTTCAGCCTGCCGCTACGAAGCACGCACCTCGGAGGTGGACGATTCGTCTGTTAGTGCAAGAGATATGGTGTACAGGACACCCGGTTTTGACAATCTAAGCCGCAGAAACCTGGGCGAGCAGTTCCGACAAAAGCAAGGGCTTCGGCCTACTTTGGGTCGAGCATTCATGCAACCGGTCAGTCAGGTCATCTCAGACTGCCGTAGCCTTGTTTCGTGAGATCTGCGCACGTTTAGAACTCACTGGCAGGCCAAGTCAGACTTGCCGGAGACTCTTGCTGGACTTCCAGAGAGCAAGAAAGCGGGATGCACTACACTCTTCTCGTAGCACTGTACTTATGTACCCACTTACTACGGCGATTGGGGGAACGACACAAGCGACGGAGCACCCTGGTGAGAAACATAGGGATTGACACAGAGCGGTGCCATTACTATGGAGCGCGGTAAGGTGTGAGATCTAGCTTCGCAAGCTCCTCTCTCGGCAAGACCAAGTTACCCAGACGCGGTGGGGTGCTCTTCGTGATGAATTCCATGACACCCGGAAGCTTGGCCGCACCCAGGCGCAATACTGGGCATGGCCGTGTCAGAGGAAACCAATGTAAGGGAGGTAAAATGCTGCTCACCTGTGCGCGCGATTTCTGGTCGTATAGGGACACCGCCAATCTCAAAGATTACGCGACCGGGTGCAACGCTGCACACCACCATTAAACACACAGTCACACGAAGTCAAGACGTCAACGTACCCTGTCGCCCAGTACTCGAAGGTACCCTTTCCCTTACCCATACGGGTTTCATTTCCCTGCACAAATGTTAGTGCCATATCATACGCAAGTTCGCCAATGTTCACGCACCTTGATGCAAACCGGGATGTCAGGGAAGACCCTCAAGTATACCTTCGCGCCCTTCATTGGCTTGATAGCCCTCTTGATCGACTCCTCCGCCGACATAAGCTGCCTTGCAGTCATGCGCATCCCGTTTTCCTTGATTCGGATGCCATATTCGCCGTACGCGAGGGTTGTGCCCTTGATTGACCCGCCAGTTGGGATGGGGAGGAGACCCTTGTGATGTTTCAAGTACTTGACCCTTTTCGGCGCGAGCACACCCCTAAAGCGTACTCGAGATGGCGCAGAGGCTAGCGGATTCGACGCATGAGAGAAAATAGAGGTCGCTGGCCGACACGCTGCTAGCAGCGAGCGGGCAGATGGAAGTGCGAACATGAGGATGAAAGCTTCAACAAGACCGTTAGATTCGGTTAGAAGGCAGTAATAAGCGGGAGTTGAAACGTGAATAGTTCTGCATCATCGGAGGTTCAAGTATACTAACACTCCCCTGTTATGGCTCATCATGGACCGGCGCCACCGCCTTGCAGCTCTTGTCCACCACCCCCACCGCCACTATCTCGCTCGTTATGAGTGACCGAAAGCGACCCTTCGAGGGGAACGGCGATGCCGGAGTCGCAAAGAAGCTGAGAAGGTCAGTAATTTGCACATCACCATCGTAGAGTTACTCACAGCGAGCCCATAGTGACGCGGTAAGTCGCCCTCTTCTGTCTTATTCAAGGTGAATTCGTCTCTCACTTGCGTCGTGTCTGCTTCTATAACCCGTTTGTGCCCGGCCAGACGTCTGCCAATGGCTCATCATCTGGTACAGCGGTGAGTAATCTCCGGCTTCTGGTCGCGCTTGGCCCTCATGGTTCCGTAGATGTCTGCAGAGGTTCTCATCGCACAGAAGAAAGCAGAAATAGCCGCAAAGATAGCCGCAATGAAGAGGAAAGCTCCAGGAGCAGTAGCAGCATCGCCTTCACCCGCTCCTAAGCCTAGCCCTAGCCCTGCCGTTGCCACTCCTCCGCCTACATCCCATGCGTCGACCCCCACGGACGACCTCGCACGGCGGGTCGCTGAAGCGAAGAGGCGTGTTGCTGACGCGCAGAGCAAGTTGGCGGTGAAGGACAACCCGTACATGGTACGTTGTCACAGTGTCTCATCACATCGACTGGTCACTAACCTACGCACAGTCGGCTCCGCAGCGCGGCAAGAAGGCCCCGCCCGTCGTTGAGCCTACCCAGCAGGGTGCTGGTCTGAAGATGGCTGCACACCCTCTCCTTCTCGATACTTCGACTCCGGCCCCCCAGTCGAAGAAGGACCGCTACAAACCCATGCAGCCCAAGTTCGCCTCCATAAAGGCGAACGTACGCAATGCCCCTACACCACCTCCTGCCCCAGTCCCCGTCGCTCAGAAGGAAGCTTCCGCGAACCCGTACGCGGCGGGTGCAGCAGCAGCAGCAGAGAGTGGCTTCGAGGGGGCTCCCAAGGAGCGCGTCGGGCGGAGCATCAGGTTTAACCCGAAGGGCAAGTACGTCCAAATTGCCAATCAGGTCAGGCAGGAGGCGAAGCTCGAGGAACTGAAGCAGCGTATCGCCGAGAATGCTAAGAAGGCCGGCTTGGACGCGGAGTTTGAGACGCTTGAGAAGACTATCAGGCGCGAGCCGCCGCCTGCATCTGAGTGGTGGGATGCTGCCCTGCTGCCCAACAAGACGTATGACGACCTTGCGATGGGAATTGGTGCCATGAACATCCGCACGGACAATTCCCCGATCACGATGTATGTTCAACACCCCATACCCATACCCGCTCCTGGTGACAAGAACAAGGTGGCAATGAAACCCTTGAAGCTGACGAAGAAGGTTAGGGTTGAAACGAATAGCTGCTAGAAATCCACTGATATCGTTCCCTTCGTCTACAGGAGCAGAAGAAGATGAGGAAGCAACGTCGGCAGGCGGAATTGCAGGACAAACGAGACAGGATTCGTATGGGTCTTATCCCCCCGGATCCACCGAAGGGTATGCAAATTCCGCTATTGTTGCTTACTTCGATTGACCATGTCGATCACAGTCCGCTTGGCCAACCTGATGAAGGTCCTGACGTCGGATGCCGTCCAAGACCCGACGCGCGTCGAGGCTCGCGTCCGGCGCGAGGTCGCCATGCGCAAGCACGCGCACGAGAAGATGAATACGGAGCGGAAGCTCACGGACGATCAGCGGCGAGAGAAGATCGAGACCAAGAAGGCCGAGGAAGAGAAGAAAGGCGTCTACGGCGCGGTTTTCAAGGTCAAGACGCTCTCGGATCCTTCGCATCGCTTCAAGGTGCGCAAGAACGCAGAGCAGATGAGCCTCACAGGCGCGTGCATCTTCAACCCTGCATTTAGCCTGGTGTACATCGAGGGAGCGGCAAAGTTCATACGCCAATACAAGCGGCTCATGCTGCACCGTATCGCGTGGACCGAGCCGGCGCGTGAGCGTGGTAACGAGGACGTGGAGTTGGATGAAGGCGAGGAGGGTGAGGGTAGCCCTGACAAGGGCAAGGCCAGAGCCGTATCGGCGAGTCCCGGCGAGGAGGGTGCGGTGTCGCTGGAGGATAACCACTGCTGGATGATATGGGAGGGTCAGTTGCGCGATCGGGCGTTCAGTAACTTCAAGCCGAAGAGCTGCCCGACGGATGCCGCTGCGAAGGAAGTTCTAGGTCAGAAGCTGGCGGGGTACTGGGACCAGGCGAAGAACTGGAAGCCCGAGGAAGAGGAGTTGTTCTGATCGCTGGCTACCTAGGTTCCGCCTTGCTGGTATGGTTCTGTACGTTAGTTGCGCCTCATTAGTTAAGCATATGTGGATCTGTGCATTGAAGTCCGACGACGGTTTCGTAGAGACGTTCGTTGCCGCCGTTTCCACTGCAGGAAGCTGTCATACGGCCGTCGATGTGAGTGCCCGGACGACAGCGTCCCGACGGTACAGAGATGAGGAATGGTTGGGTACGTATCATTCAGATATGTTCTCGCACCACGCAATGCAGAACATAGTCTAAGAGATAGTGATAGACGGGCATACATGGTTATACATTGTACATACAGGCATAGGGGCATATTGTTCGCACAATCTACTTATCAGAGTCGTTCCGGGTGACGTGCATGGGCTCGATACCATTACGCCTGCACTTCCGTCAGAAGAGTCGTCAGCCAACGCTCAACCACGCCGGCACATTCCTTAGCAGCCTCCTGGTGGTCCGACCGCACCTTGAGCAGAGCGACCTTCCCGAACTTGTCGGAGTGCCATCGCAAGAGTTCGGTGATGACCTTCTTCCTAGACGACATCCCCCGTGCGCTCGCGCGCAACGGGTGGAGGATGAACTCCTTCACCGCCTCGTAGGTAATGTGCTCCGGCGAGTAGACCGCATGGAAGACCGGCCAAGGCATTAGATCTCCCGGGATACCCGTTAGCGCCTCTGCACACTTCAACGCCTCCCATTTCGCATCGTAGAGCTCGAAGGCCTCCACAACCTGACGCGCCCGCTCCTCGTTTGCGCGTCGCTCCTCTGCTCTGCGGAGGGATTCTGCTTTGCGACGCGCTTGCTCCTCTAGCCTCTCCTCTCTCGCCTTTCGTGCCGCCTCAGCACGTCTCTCTTTCTCCTCACGTCTGCGTCTTTCTTCCTCTTGCTTGCGTCGTGCCTCTTCGATGTGTTGCTTATGAATGGCATTCAGCCTTGCGAGCTTGGCGAGGCGTTCTGCTTCCTGGCGGCGTTCCTCCTGCTTCCGCAGCCTCGTCAACTCCCTGCGTTCCCGTTTGAGGCGGCGCCTCTCCTCAGGCGGTGCGGCTTCCATCGCCATGGCCTGGCCTGCCTCCGTTTCGGGTCCGATCTCCCGCTTCATCTGTTCGAGGTATTCCGCGGCGTACTGGTTCAGGGCCCGCGTCCGCGAAGAGTACTTGGCACGCTGCACCTTCAGGTCCTCCTGGTGCAACGTCTCGTACCACGGCGCCAGATCGGCCATCTTCGCCAGCTCGTTGGCCATATGGATGTCGTACTTATCCAGCGGTTCGGCGAATGCATTGTCGACGTGTTCGGGGTTGGTGTACGCTTCGAGGATCTCGATGGCGCTCGCAGCTGAAATGAGCTTGTCTTGCGCCTTTCTGTCCTTAGCCAAGGCGTTTCGAGCGTTAGACGCACGATTCGCTTTTTTCTTGGGAGGGGCGAGGGGCGTCTCGACGGGTGGTGCTGCAGGAGCTCCTTCGCCGCCAGGCTGTGGATTGGTGATCAACGGCGGGGACGCGTTGGCATGTACCGGTGGCCGTACTCGAGCACCAGGTCGCTTGGGGAGTCCTTTGATGTCGAGAGGAAGCTGGGAGGCGTAAGGATGGGCGCGACGACGAAGCGAGCTGGTAGTCTTACGGCCACGGCCATGGTAATCGGGCGGAATAGGCTTCGTGCATGCGCCCGCGCATGCGTGACCTAGCAGTCGTCGGAAGAGGCCGACCATCACTGTATTTGTCTCGTTGGCGGTTTCGCTGGGTGGAATGGCTTCCGATCACGCTCACAGCCCAGCGATGCAAGCACTACTCTGCGAGAGTGACCTGTAGTTAGCATAGGCGGAAATGGGAAGGCTGCCACTGGACACGAACCTTGACGTAGACGGGTGGGTGGCGGCTTGATCTTGACGACTTCGGACGTACTCTGGACTGTCTTGATGGGCGGACGGACGAAAAGGCGGGTCTGACCTCCTTTGGCAGCAATATATACTCACCGTCGTAGGGGGCCACGCAGGCGACCATAAAACGCCTCCCACGAATGGAATAGTGCATGATCTTCAACGCCACATGGCGAGGTGGGCAGTGGCAGGCTTTGATGACATGCATCTGAAAGTGGGACGACGATGAAGCTGACGAAAGAGCCGCTTCGGCTCGAACATTCGAAGTTCTACCTTCTCGCCACAAGCAATATGCCCACCTATCACTGAGCCGGCGATCTGGAATGTCACTTCGTGGCACCGGTTAGAGGACAATGGACCCTGAGCTTCTGTTCATGCCTTCGCCTCGTGGTTGGCTTGGGTGCACAGCCCGACTAGTCGTACCTTGAACCGGCGTGGCCACATCAGGCACATAAGCGAAGAACGAGAGCGGTGCACGGGCGCTCCGTGATCTTGTGTGGTCAGTAGCCTCGAGGCACAGAAGCCAAGCTCAAGGGCTCAAAGTCCGGATCTGACGGATACAGTGCGATCAGAAGCTAATCTCGATCCTTTGCTTTGATCTGTGGCGACACTGTGGCGACCGATCTCCTCCTCCTACTCCTCCGCGGACGGTCATCGCCACGTCGGGCGCTACTCCAATGGACAAAGCACATCAAAGACACCATGGTCGGAAGACAAGTCTTCTTAGTAAAGCAAGGAGCAACAAAGCCATTGAGCGCAACTTCGTGATGCAGCCACTGGGCGCGCGGTGGTCCATGTCAAAGCGTGGTGCAGCCACAAAGGCAACGTCCAGCTCGGTGAGTCTTCTTGCGACGAAGGACAGCATCGGCTTCGAGTATTTAGGGGGGCAGGCAAGGCGGGGTGGAGAGCAAGGACTCACCATCTACTCTCGCATTCGATCCGCTAAGCTCTCGCCTCAAATCCGTCGCAAGTTCGCAAGTCGTACCTGCCTCAGCCTGTGAGTACTTGTGGCGCGTCTCTGTACATCCACATACTGACCAGGCCTTTCGCAGCGTCTAGCCATGCCGAAAGTCTCCACCAAATCTGCCAAGGCCACCGCTGCCATGCAGTCGCACCCCCGATACAACACACGCGCTGCTGCCGCCGCCAGGAAGAAGGAGCAGGAGGACTCCAACGCCGAATTACAACGCCAGCTCAGGAGGACGCCACGAGGATGGAGGCCGAGGCCCTCGAGCGTCACGCGTCGCGGTCCCGCAGCGCGGAAGGCAAAGGGCAAAGGTCGTCAGCAGCCCGCTAGTCCTCGTGGCGCGACGCCCGGGCCCTCAAGCTCGACGCCGAAGCCCAGCAGCTCCAGGAGGGTTGCCTTCGCACGTGCTAGCCAGGACCGCTCCGACGACGGCTTGACGGACGCTGACGCGGAACACGAGATCGACGACATGGGGTCCGTCTCCGCATCGACGGATGCCGACGGTGACACCGCGATGGGAAACGACGACCGCGACGAGATAGGCGACGACGAGGCACCCAACCGCGGGCGGTGGGGCCCCGTGACCGTTGCGAGGAGGGGAGGCATGCTGGGCAACGGCCTCCACCCCGTCGTCGATCACCAGGCTGGGCCAGTCAACCCTCAGCTGCCTACGTTCTACCGCAACATGCAGTACAATGACTTCAACCTCATGGGCGATGCGATCCCTGGTGGGCTGAATCTTCAGGGACCGTTCGGGTACGGCCAGCACCAACCCCTGATCGAGCAATTCGGTCAAGGCGCCTTTCCTCAGCCGCTCGGCGCCCCCGTCGGTCGACCCTTTATGGGCATGATGAACCATCAGGCCATGCCAGCGGGCGCGGCGTTCCAGCCTGCCGGAGGCGCAGGGAACCAGATGGCCATGGGCATGGGCATGACGCCTAATTTCGGTGCAGCGAACCGTCACTTCTTCGGCCAGCCACTCGCGGGCGGAGGCAATCAGCACCTGGGCGCGATGGTACAGCAGCTCAACGTCAGAGACGGACACCCGCACTCCTTTGGCGCCTATAACACACAGTTCGTCAGCAACGGAGGGAACCAGCCGTATATTGGTGCTGGCGATCAGCAAGGCATGGCACCTTTGGCCAACCTACCCTTCGTCAACGCGGGTAACCCAGTCGTGCCAGTTGGCGCCGACAATGGTCTCTTCATGGGCGACGCAAACCAGGGCTTCATGGGTGCCGCCGCTGATGCGTCGGTCCTCAACGGGCCTGCACAAGATATGCACGTGCAGCACCAGAACTGGGACGGCGACGTCACAGGGGAATACTTGAATGCCGACGAGCTCGTCGCTAGGATGCCTTCTCCACCCGAGTTCTTTGACCAAGCTCCCGTTGTCCCCCCCTTCCAGCCTCTCGCCGACAATCGCTCGCTGTCGCCGGCGTCGGCCGCCGGAACCACCGCAGGCGATGTCCAACCGCAGGCGGGACCATCATCCTGGCAGACTGCCGACGGTTTCCATTCGCAGGCAGGTTCCCCGTACGAGCAAACAGCGGTCACTCCCCAACCTCAGGCGGGACCATCGAACTGGCAGACTGGGGCCGAGGCTGTCCCATCGCAGGCAGGTTCCCCATACGAGCAAACAGCGGCCACCCCCCAGCCGCAGGAGGGACCATCGAACTGGCAGACTGCCGACGCTGTCCCATCGCAGGCAGGTTCCCCATACGTGCAAACAGCGGCCACTCCCCAACCGTCGAACTGGCAGATTGCCGAATCTGTCCACTCGCAAGCAAGTTCCCCGTACGAGCAAACAGCGGCCACTCCCCAACCGCAGGAGGGGCCATCGAACTGGCAGACTACCGAGGCTGTCCCATCGCAGGCAGGTTCCCCGTACGAGCAAACCGCGGCCACTCCCCATCCCCAAGCGGACCCTCCAATTCACGCGCAGTCCCCTTCTCAGTCTTCATCCGCGGCGACACCCAGAGGGGAAGATCAGTCCCAAGCGGACACCCCTGCGTCGCAAGGCCAGGCGAGCAACGGAGGAGCGGCTGATGAAGAGTCGGTCGCTGACGAGGACGATGTCGAGTCGCAAGGCAGTAGGGCATCCACTGAACGTCTCTACTCCGACAGAGAGCAATCGACAGCTGCGTCGGAGATCTCTAACGACCCACCAGAAATCTCTGACGCGGCGCGGGACTTCGACTTCGGACCGAGAATTCGTCAGGAACAACTGGGGCCTTCTGGGCGTCGCTACCAGAGGGCTAACGGCACCTGGGTCGACGTGATCGAGAACGCGGATCCGATGCGTGTTTGGGGCTTTGTGGAGGGAACCGGGCTGCCGTTCGATCCTGCACGCGTCAAGCGCTTCAGGTGGGACGTCGAGCTGCAATGAGAGTCGGATACTAGAGTCTTCTTTTCAGTCTCAGATATGATTAATATGCACGCACACTCTTTCTCACCATGTCTCAGATACTATGTCACACACTCCCTACCATGCTTATTTTTCTTATGCATCCCGTGTCTTGCAAATGTTGCCTGTGCTATACTAGTACTCAAGTAGATTTCTGCATTAATGTGATTTTCTGCGCGGAACGAGAGAGGGGCCTAGTAAACATTAATATTCATCGACGCCGGCGTATGAGTACAGTCACAGTCACATACACGTCCTCCGAGGTAGACGTCGGACGACTGTCTGTCATGGAGGTTAATATGTGTACAGCTATCTATAAACAGAGCCCCCATCATTCTGCATCCTGCATAGAGCGTGGAGGAGTGACATACGCACCATGTCGAGGCTGTACCGCATGAGCCCAGATCAAAATTTGTCAAGGCTTTGTCATACGTGACAGCATTTGAACTATTGATACTGTCGAGGGATTACCAAGGTCGAAACTAGGTTTAAGACCGCTGACAAGTATCATTGTGTGTCACTGCAATGGTGCGTGTGCTTTACCAGACCATAGTGTATGGATCACCCCGTACAACTCGCCGGATGAGTACTCAGAAGTCACCCGTCAGACCATGGGCCGTATGGGCGACGATCAGTAGGGATCTACGGCCTCGTAGAATTCGGGCGGGGGATACGAACAGATGACCCCGTCCGTCCTGTTTCGTGGCGGCGCTGAGGATACCGCACGGTGTCAATGCAGTGTCGCCAGAAACCACCGGCGAAGAACGACGAACCCCAAGATGGGCCACCATATCACAAAGGATTCTTTACATCGGATCATTAAGTTTGGAAAGGCGCCAAACTCACCAAGGTTGTGTAACAGGAGCGCTGATTGAACGATGTCTCCATTGAGGCCCACAGCTTTGCCCTTCCTCAAAATACCTGGGCGAACGTCTGAGATCTCCCAGTGTTACCTTCTGCCTGAGCTTCCCTTCCGCCGAAGTGAGTGGCTATAGATAGCCTGCATACATCGCGTCAGCGCTTGGTCATTGACCGTCTTGCCAGAAATACCTGTACCGATGTCTCCTATTGCTCAACAGCCCCTGGACCTTGGCCGTGACTTCGAGTCTTGCAAGTTCACGGGGCATACGTGATCACCTTTGGAAAACCCACCGTGGACGTCTGGCGATCCGCGCACGGCCGACTCGACCATGTAGCGCGTCTCGCCGAATTCGTAGAAGCCCCTCCACAAGGGCTAGCTCCCATCATCGACGCCGAACGCAACCTCATCATCATCCCCGACCGCGGCCAGGGCTCGCCCATCCTCTGGGTCTTCAACCTCACCGACGGTCAGCTCATCCGTAAGCCTGAGCTCTACGGCTCGTTGGCCGGCGTCCCGCTTCAGTACGCCAATGGCAAGGCCCTCGTCGCCGTAGAGGAAGGCGAGAGCCCTGACAAGCCCGACGGTCTCACCACCCTGCTCCTCTGCGATGTCGCCGGCGACGGCTGGCTCCTCGGCGGCGTCAACCTGCCCGCGCGCCTCAAGGCTCGCGAGCAAAAGCGGCTCAACACCGTCGGAGGCGTGCTCGTACCTGTCCAGCTCCGATCTAACGGAGACATCATCGCGACGTCCTCCGAGGCGTGGCACGACAAGATGGACGTCCTGCACTGGCGCGGGGCCTACGTCCCGGACTTCCCTGATCCGGATGTGAGCTTCGAGCTCGGATTGTCAGTAGAGGACGGCGACCGCATCCATCCGACATGCAGCGCACCGCTAGATGACCGCAGCTTCCTAATGGCCGTCTCCGAGGCGGACAGCGGTGCACTTTCTTCTGGGGACGGGTCCCAAACCTCGATCTACGCCATTGATGCGGAGGCTATGTCCGTCCGGTGGCGCTCAGAGCCTGTCGGAGGTTCTGTCCATGATGTTCGATATGTCGCTCCCCTTGACGTGGTCGTCGCATTCGGCAAGCACGACAATGGAGACGCCGTGCAAGCCGACCCGTTCGCCTTCGTGCTCGTGCTTGACCCTGCGACAGGGATCCAGCGACGGGTGGAGACCATCAGCCACCGTATACACGGCAACCCAGTAGCACAATGCCAGCTCAGCCAAAAGGCAGACGGCGGTTTCACAGTGGTTGTCGTCTTCCGGGATGGATCAACGTGTGTCACAGACTTGAAGCAGTTCTTGGAGCGAGGATTTCTGCGGGAAGGCGAGCGTCTAGTAGTGAAATCGCCACGGGAGATTTTCAGGGTATTAGAAGCTGTGGGTGTAGTGGAACAGACGGTAATTATGGCTACCAATAATGGGAGTGGGTCCCTACGCACCCAGTACGTCAACCTCGAGTAAAGCAATGTACCTATGTCTCCCACCGTGAATACGAATCAAAACGACTGGGTCAGCCCCTACCTTCAATCCGTTTCAGGACGCAGATATTTCTGGTGTTGTGCGTGAGAGCTCTCGTGAATGTGGACCTGAAAGTCAGTAACGGGAAGGGAAGTGATCACCTCACGAGCCGCACGCCTGGTGGCACGAGAAAGCGATGCATAGAGATAATCCAATAACGACTAGAACCAGGCAGTGAGTAGAAGTACAACAAAGCACAACGTGAGGATATCATCAAGTAAGTGAGTGTATCCAGAGAAATCCAAACGAACGGCACCGCGCTCACTCGACCTTTTTCGGCTCGGCTGCTGGTGCATCGATCGGTTTGCGCCGCTCGAGCAGCTGGATGAACTTCTTTGGGAACCAGCCTTCCCGCCCCTCACGCGTCCGACCTTTCCACCACTCGCTGCCCTCCACCTGCCACTGAATGTCAGAATATCCCATGTAAGCACGCGAGCATAACACACCTCCAATCGTGGATCGACCTCAGCCCCCGAAACAGGATCGAGCTTGCCCATGATGGCGACGATCTCGTTTTCGCGCAATGCGAGCTCCGCAGGCGAAGCCGCCTCAAAAGGATAGAGCGCACGCGCGAACATCAGTTGCGATGGATCGAGTGGCGGCAGACCTGCACCCTGCTGCTCGGCGAGCGCCTGCTGGCGCGCAACGAGCGTGCGCACGAGTCGATGCATGAGATACGGCACACCCAGAACGGCGAGTAGGAAGATGATGAGCGGCTTCTTGCTCGCGCGCGGGGCAGGGGGACCCGCCTGAACCTGCACGGGCCGCCCAGCAACGAAGTCCTTGAACTCGCTTCGGAGGGGGTCGCGCGTGCGTCCGGTGATTTTGTCCCGGAGCCATCGCACCAATCCGAAGAGGCCAAGCACACTCCCTAGCGCGGCGCGTAGCTGGCCGAGCTGGTCTATGACACCGACCATGGCGAAGAAGCTAGAGTGCGTCGCGACGAAGGTGGACTCGAGCATCTGGGCGACGCCCCCAAATGTCTGCACGATGCTTTGAATGAGGGCGAATGTGTGCTGTGTCGCGCCCTCGAGTGCCTGCGTCAACGATGGGTTGTTGGGGTCTGCGCCGGGTAAGGGCGCGCCGTACATGCCCCCGCCGTAGCCACCCATCCCTCCTCCATAAGGAGAGTATCCACCATAGCCCATGCCCCCCATGCCCCCCATGCCCCCCATGCCCCCCATTGCCCCCATGCTCCCCATGCTATACCCCATTCCTCCTCCGTACATGCTGCTCCCGTAAGGCGAATAGGAGGAACCGTAGCGGTTGTAGGGACTGTAGGACGAGTACGGTGATGCGCCATATGCGGAGGTGTTTGCCAGCGTCGACGATGCGCCAGAGAGAGTAGTGGGGCGAGCAGGGACGCTTGGTACGGAACTGGAGGGTGTAGCCGTCGAAGTACTGCTCGTCGGCATGGATGCGGGGATTGGCGCAGACGAAGCGGCCGTCGCTGCAGTTGCGCCGGCACGTTCCCAAGGTTTGGGCGGTGAAGGCATTACCAAAACCACGAAACTTTCTTGCCTTCAATGGAGTGGAAGCCCGACACTGCTTGACCAAGACATAATAAGCCAATGCTCTTGATTCGCCCAACTGAATGTAACTCACAGACCACGCTGCGTTTTCGCTCCTTGAACAAGGTCACTAGGCAAGTCGGACAGCAGATTGAACGTCCAAGCGTGAATGGACGCAGGAGCGAAAGTGTTGCTGCCGATTGTCTGGCACGACAGGCTGAGGTCGTGGTCAGGGGGAAGCCTTTGGCCTTGTGGCGCGTGCTCGGTCGTTGTGCGAATCCACTGCTCAGAAGGCCCAGTCGCTCAATGATTGTGAACAGGATGCATATGTTTCCTTAGTACTACGTATTATACACCCGCATTTCAATTCGATTCGTGAGCAACATTCGATGACGAAAATGATCATTGTCAATAATTCAAAGTGCCTGCGAAGATTCATCACGAATTTGTCCCGACGAACAAATAACCGTAAACAAGCTGGACCTCGATGCCCGCCATATTGGACGTCGGTTTATTTCAGCGTTCAACATACGACTGACTAGCAACCTGCGCACTTGACACCGTTCATGCAATGGATTGTGCCAAATATTCTGAATTCGGCAGAAGTGTGAGGCTAGTACTGTCTTGCTTTCCATGGCTTCAAGCGCGTGAGCAACATTCCGCGAATTCGAAATATATTCAGTACGTGGTGAAGTATTCCACGTTGTCCGTACTCGACAATGAGCAAATTTCACAGGTGCTATGCCGACACATAGGAGCTTCATGGCAGTCAGTCTAGACCGAAAGACTGGATGTGCAATAAACCACTGTTGTTCCTGACAGACACGTCCACCGTATGTTCGATTACACCTGCTGCCTCGACCCTGGACCCTTTCTGCAATAATGACTCACTGACTATGAGCCGCTCGCCATCATTGGGGAAGCCGTTTTCCAGGAAACGCTCTAGGTCAACCGCACACGTTGTCCCATTGCGGAAGACAACAACTACCGTGAACCTATCTCCTGCGTGACTGAGGCCGCAGTACGGCACCGCCTTTACGCGGTTGTTTACCGTCTCCAACCGCCGCCGGGCTCCCGTAGCAGGGTCGAGTACAAGCAGGAAAGCAAACGGATCGGCGTCCTTCTTCCGTGCCGTTCGAACGCGGCCCTGCAGCGAACACGGCGATTATTCCGCCAAGGTGTGTTTCGAAGGAACTTTGGGCGACGTTCGACCACTGGTTGTTCAGTGTTCAAGCGTCTTGATATGATGGACCCTGCGTCCCGATCATTATAGCATACAACTGACTCGGGGTCACCGCGGCATACTGTCTACGCTGATCTAAGTAGAGGACATCGACTCATCCCTCGCCTTGCTATGGTTCATGTAGACGCGTATGTCTCACACAATGCTGTCGTCCGTCACACTAGGTCACACTGCCAGAGCCTAGAGGAGGAGGAGGAGGAGGAGGGATCCATTTAGCCACACAGTGTCACACCACGCGCATCGTACGCGACGTATGACAGCGGAATTACCACGTGCGAATTCCTTCCATAACGGCGGCACTACCACCTGGGGATGACGTCATCATAGGAGGGAGACATCATACATGGGGGCCATGGGGCATCCGCACCGCACGACAGAGCTGCGCAGTTGACTGAGGTACAAAAGCAGCCACGCATTCTATGTCCCAACCTTACTTCTCTTCACGACTTCCACGACCCGTCCTACACGAAGGCTGCCCGCTACTTGTTTATCCACTGCTCTGTATTACCGATAAATACGATGGCTACAACGAAGGGATATGGTACCACGACCGCCGCCCCTGCTGCCCCGAGGCGTAGGTCGTCGCCTACGCACGACGTGTGTCTCTACTTCCTTGCCCTGTGAGTTGTGCCGTCACATCTAGCGATTGGGAACTTCTCGACTGACAATGCAAATCTTAGGATTCTTCCACCTCTCGCCGTGTTCTTCAGTAAGTGATCACAGCTCAGCCGATCCGGCGCGGACGTATGTATCTAACGACGACGTGACTTCCCTGTGTATCAGAGAGGGGTCTGCTAGCTGGTAAGCCGTGCATGTACCACCTTCGCTCAAGCATGGCGATACTCACTCACATATAGACTTCTGGATCAACGTCTGCCTCTCTATCCTCGGATGGATTCCGGGTGTTCTGCACGCTTGGTCAGTTATGTATATCTCGATGTATCTGTTGCGCATGCTGAAAGCGACGACAGGTATATCATCTCGAGGAGCGAGGGTGCTATGTGAATGTCGTGCCACGAGAAGTCGACATGATAGCGCTGTACATCCAGATACCCTCTCGGACTTACTAATGCTGGAGATTGTACGATACGTATCAACACATAATGATGTTGTACTTGCGCCCCGCTGAAAACTTAGCAATGAAACGGCTCGTTGCAAAGGGAATTCGACTGAAAGTGTACCGGTACCAGTCAATATGGATTCGATGCGCGTCGCAATAGGAGAGTGAAACATTGTAAGGACGGACCCAACATAGTGGACGCTTGCTGTCTATTATCGTCTGCAACGAAGATTAATCCTGGCCGAGGCTGCAGCATGCCCGGAAAGGACCTGCCACAGTATCGCAACACCTTGAGAGCCCTGCGAGGAACAGCGGCTGCTAATGCGCAATTTCCATTGCACGCCGGATCACGTCCCACTGGTAGTCTTCTGGGCTCCGAGTAGTACTTGCAAACATCAGTCGAAAAGATCGACGAAGAAGAGAGGAATCATACGGCGTGCCCAACATCATCGGTATGTAAGTAATGTCCGCCGCCACCGCGTACAGGAGGGGAAGAGTTCTGACCTTCCGACTCGGGGCACCCAGCAGTAGGCCAAAATCATACATTACCCGTCTTCAGACCATTGGCCGCAGCACCGGTTTGGGATACCCAGTTATGAGGAATGGACAGACAAGTCGCATTTCGACCGTTTGGACGCGAGGTCTAGAACGCCAATGGGAGTTGCCGAATATGGAAAGGAAGGGTCCGATGCACGCTGCGGTGGTAGCGCCCATAGAACGCGTGGAGGGCAGAGGAAAGCCTTCTAGCGAACGCGTCACGCAGGCCTCGACGATACCATAAGATCAACCATCGCTATCGGGGACAGCGTCCTCGACGGCCTGACAGCGGATCTGCTCTCTCTGCTTTCAGCAACATTGCACACTGCTCACCGAGTTGACCTGCGGCGCGGGTCGACCAGGTATGTGGCGACTCACCTGCTTCTCTCCGAACGTGTGCTGAACATGAGGCACGATCGCCCAGGACTTGTATCATCACTCCTCTCCGCCGCTCTGGCATGCGGCCTGGTTGCTGAAGCCCTCTTCCTGCTCTCGTGCTTGCGCAGTCTGTGCTTGATACCTTCTTCTATTGCTCCTCCAACCTACATCTGTCGACACCTACCACCCAATGGCTACGCTGGCGATGCCCACGCTCTTGTCAAGCATCGAGGAGCAAAGCGTCTCTTCCCCGCTCGTTACCAGTGAGGGCGTGGATCCCGATTTCGACGCAGACCTGAGAGCGAAGATCCAGGAAGGGCTCAGACATCTCGTGGAGGGAGCGAAGGCGGATAGGGATGTCCAGTTGCAGTCGCGAGACCTCTCCGACGCCGAATGCGAGAACATCATTAGGAGATTTGACGACGAAATGAAGAGTGTTCGGCGATTGGCTGAGGAGCAATACCAGCAGATAATGGCCCGCGTCAAAGCCGAACGCGAATGGACCGAGGGCACACCCGCCCCCGAACTTTTGGTCCAGGAACAACAGGCGATTCTTGACGCGATAATGCGGCAGCATGCTGTTCGTCCTCGTCGCCCGCCTTCTCCGCGTCCTCGTAGCTCGTCGGATGCCTCGAGTGTGGCTGATAACCAACGTGGAGAGCAGAGTGCGAGGTCATCGCGCGCAGGTGAGTGAGCCTCCACACGAATGACGATAGAGAAGCTTACGGCGGCCTCTGAAGATGATGGAGAGCGCCCTCCTGAGCGGTCACGGAGCTCGTACGGTCGGCAGCCTGCTACGCCGAGCGGTTCTATCAGAGGCGGTGTGCCTCAGCCAGTGTCCGGTATATCTGCCTACTTCAATGGTCCAATGTATGGCGGCCCTTCGGATGCGGATGTGGCTGAACCCGGCCGAGGAAGTGTTAGTCGACGGCCCAGTCAGGCTTCGATGCCTAAGGTCTCTAGGCAGGAGATCTGGATACCTCCAAATACACCTGATGAGGCGAGACCGGCATCGCATACACTTGCCCATGCGTCGTCAGACTCGCCCGTGGTGCCACAGTCGACCAGACGCGAAAGCTTCGCGAGTAGCGGTGGACGGCTCTCGAGATCGGGAAGCATCCAATCCAACGTGGTGCAGACAGATCCTGATTTGCCCCCGTCTACCCATGTACCGAGAGAGAGGGATGTGCCGGAGGATCACTGGCAGCCGTCAGCCAGAGCCCGAGAGAAGCAGCGCGAGGCGCAGCCGCAGCTGGTCCGACCTCGTGTATCCGCAGACATAACTAGTAGACGGAACGACGACCGCGCCCCAGCGGTCCCCTCTCCAGCATGGTCACAGTTCAGTGCTGATGGCCAGTATCCTTTCTCTGCTCACGCAGGCAGTAGCATGGACTACTCCCCTTCACCGACCGAGAGGAGAGGTATCCCTATCGTCCAGGGCTCTTCTCGCTCCTCGTCTATGCACCAAGGATCTCCAGAGAGTCTACGACCCCACCCTGCGAGGGCGGCAACCAAGAGCTCTTGGTCGTATGACTACAGCCCCTTGGCAGCGGGACCCTACGCCTCACAGAGTCTGCAGAGCAATCTGGCCACGGGACCTAGGGCGTTGGCTACAAAGCGATCATTCACCGTCGACGACGACCTCCGTCCGGCTCAAGGTAGTCCTATCATGCGGACGTACGGCCGAAGGGACTCCACCGGATCGCGATCTGTTCGCTCGCAGCGCTCCAAACCAGACATGTACGGTCGCCATCTAGGCGATGGCTCTAACCTGTCGCCATTACCATCGGATGATTCTGGCATGGATGGCTTTGCCATTGATTGGGATGACTCCGAGTATGGCGTGGAAGCGTTCGAGAGGCGTGAAGAAGACCTCAAGTTGGACCGAAGGGCCGAGGAACTGCAGAGGCGGGACGTGGAGGTCAGACAGAGGGAAGAAGACGTCAGGAGAAAGGAGGACGACGTCAGGAATATGGAGGAGGACGCCAAGAAGAAGGATGCAGACGCGAGGCGTCGCGAAGACAAGGTGAGGGAGAGAGAGCACCAAGTCAGGAAGTGGGAGGAGGAAGCCAGGCAGCTAGAGGATGAGGCACGGAAGCTGGATGCTGCTGCGATAAAGAGAGAGGAGGATGTACGACAGAGGGAAGACGAAGCCAGGCGCAGGGACCGAGAGGCGAAGCGCAGAGAAGACGAGTCCCGACGGGTGGAGGACGCGGCGAGGCGCAAGGAAGAAGACGCCAAACAGAGAGAAGACGAGGTTAAGCGAATGGACGAGGAGGTCAGACAGCGAGCCCAAGTTGTGGGCGTCTTAGAAGAGGAGCTGCGGGTCCGTCGGGGGGAGCTAGACCTGAGGGAAGAAGAGCTCCGACACAAGGAGTCAGATATCAGGCGCAGAGAAGAAGAGCTCCAGCGTAGCGAGTCGGACATTCAGCACAGAGAAGAAGAGCTCAAGGCCAAAGAACTAGGCATACGGTCACTCGAGGAAGACATGCACAGGCAACTCGATGACGCGCAGCGTTTAGAGGCTGAGAGTCTCGCGGAAAGGACGCGTGAAGACGAGGAGAACAGGCGGCGAGCAGAGGCATCTCGTCAAGCAGAGCGCGCTCGAGTCGAGTCGAGAGCGAGAGCGGAAGCCCAGGAAACTGAGCGCGTCCGTGTTGAGAGAGCAAGACGAGAAGCGCAAGAAGCGCAGGAAACTCGCCGACTTGCGGAGGCGAGAAGAGCGAAGGAAGAAGAGACGAGACGACGTGAAGAAGCGCGGCGGCTAGAAGCACAGCGACTCGAGGAAGCCAGACAGCGCGAGGCGGTACAGCGACAAGAGGTCGAGGCAGAAGCGCGGCGTCGAGCAGAAGTAGCACAACGAGAGTCCGCAGAGCGCCCCAACGGTGACCGGGACGAGGCACCTCGTCCGGACTCCGACCTCAACGTCAACGATCCAGACTTGATCCGCGAACAGGAGGTGTTATGGCGGAAATATGGCCGCAACCGGAATGACAGTCTGTCATCCGATGGCTCCCCTCGTTCCACCACATTCGCGTCGGCCTCGCAGTCTTCGGCGCCACGCAATATTCCCGGTCGTACTGGGTCGACAGCGACAAGTGCATCCGCGGATCGTAGTAGCACTGCATCATCGTCGAGCTACGGGAGCACATCCGGCTTCTCATCCTTCTCAGGCCATTCCAGTACGTCCACCTATACGCAAGCTTCATCCGCTACACCAACGAGCACTCCGACGCCGAGTGTCAAACAAACTCGCGGCGGTTGGAAGCCAGCTGGCGCGCCTCCGACCAGTGCCACAACCGGGCAGCAGCCATCCGCGTCGTCGTCTTCGCTTCCGCCTCCGACACCGCAAGAGGAGGAGGAGTGGAAACGTCGCCAGAGGGAGCACGCCCGGCAACAGGCAGAAAAGTTTCAGCGCATGCAAGAGGCCGCGGAACAGGAGAGATACGCCCGGTCTGCCAAACCATTGTCCAGGGAGGAAGTTGTGAAGGTCTTCGAGGAGCACGAGCGTCGTTGGTCAAGATTGGCGACGTTGGATCTGCTTACCTGGTATTCGTTCCCCTGGCCGATATTACAGCGGGCGAATAGTCCGGAAGAGTTGACGGTGCAAGCCATACATGCATACGTCTTGTCGCCGCACCATCCCAACGAGAAGAACAAGTCAGCCAAGGATCTCATCAAGGACTACATCAAACGATGGCATCCTGATCGCTTCGAGACCAAGTTTCTGCCGAAGGTGCGCGAGGACGATCGGGAGAAGGTCAAAGAGGGTGCCGGAGTTGTTGCGCGAAATCTTAACGAGATGTTGACTCGACAGTCGTCAGCGCTGCATGATTTCGCGACGTGATTTCAAGGAGTGAGTGCCACTGTCAATGAAGCGATCCAAGTTGCCGTACGCTGACCTCGTTTCATCAGCTCAAAGACAATTGTACTGCGATATACCCACCATGCAATGTATACTATCCATCCGGCAACCGTCAGCATCATATGTATCACTGCGTGCTGTACGTTCTACTGTAGGAGAGACGAAGCCGCATCCGAGTAGCAGTTAAACGTGACCAATGTACACTAGACTATGTACTCACCGCTCAAGCCTGACACCCAATGTAATTTGACATGCGAGACTCCGATGTTCCTGTCGATTGGAGGAAATCACCGCCCTCGTCTATCCACGTGTGGCGATGGCTTCAGCCACGCGCAATTGGACTGTCCAAAGCTTGTCCAGGGCTAATAAGTAGGAGAGCAGGATTCTCGAGTTTGCAGATAGTCGGTTGAAGTTATGGTCTGGGTAGTGGGTCAACGCTCGCGTGACTGCATGGAATGAAGTGCGTATGAGTGGACAACCGACATATGCACGCCATGGCAAAGTCACCGAAGACTATCGTCATTCCTACGCGCATACAGAGTAGTATCGTCAGGCGCGCACTGTATGACTGAGCCACTCGCGCAGTCATCGATATACCTAGCGCATATATCCATTGCAAAGGCACAGAAGTGGAAGAGCTTCACTCACCACGAGTATTACATCCCAGAAAATGTCATGTCACGGTATGCCTAGCACGTACGCGCGATGGCTCGGTCCGGGCGTCACTCTAGAGCAGCGGAGTGCGGCGGGCCACTAGTACGTCGAGAGATGGTAATAATGCCTACGGACACGCTATAAATCACCATGTCTTGTGCCGTAGATTCAAGAGATGGTGCTCACGGAGTATGAGATGGTGGATGCGGAGGAAGAGTGCAAACCTACTAAAAGTGTCCTACATATCAGGTTCCGCATTTGGAAAGTGATAGCCGAAAACGTACCATCGTCTCATGCATCAAGCTTCAAATTGAAGTTGGACCTACCCACTGGCAGGCTCTTTGATTGTGAGGCCACACCCGGTTATTCTAATGACGCGGGGTTTACACCAGAGAATAGACAAGAACGGATACCGTGAACTTGGGAACCATTGTCAATAATCGCTGGAATCTACTACTAGAACCTGGCCCATTAATATGAGTCGCAGTAAGACTAGGGTAAGACGGTCTCTCAGATTGGCACTGACCAGCTACGTAAGCTGGTATGAATGCATGCCCTGAAGGTGGCTAAATTGTGCTCCAGGCTACTCGGCGTTTTTGTCTTCCGGTCGACGATACTTCGTACTAGGCGAATACGACAACCGAGTGAGTGGTTCATTCTGCAGATCTGAGTAATCGATAGTACCCTTTTCCCCTCCAAGTTGGCATCGGAGGCGTGCTCGCCAGCGAAGACTATGAGTGACGGTTTCGCGGTAAAATATTTACTGGCAGGTCGTAGTTCCGCGGCGATTGACTTACTCTGAAGACTTACTTTCGCGCGACTTAGACTTAGTGCGATTGGCGCCCGCCCGACGTGCTCGAGGCGGCCTTGCCAAATCGGGATGAACATCGCATTTGCCAGGACCACTGCGCCAGACGGCTTCCCCTTTATTCTCTGTGACGCATGACATTTCTGTATTGAATTCATATGCTCGTAATTCATATCACAATATCTGTCCCTTTCGACACTATGAGAACCGCGGGCTCAAGGTCATGGCTCTCCTACTGAAGCATCCCGGGCCATTCGTCTCGTCAATAGTGGGGGCTATGGAGTGTTAAAAGGCATTTCACAGCTCCGAGTGTATAATGTCATGATCGGGCTTCCGGGTTCGTTTTCTCCATGTCATGCAATGGACAGTCGCAGTGCGCGTAGACAGAGTTGCCACAATTGGCTAATGATTCCGCATTAGGCAATTGATCAGCCGCCGAAGTGGACTTGGGCATTCTAGGTGAGCAGACAACGGGTGTGTCTGGGTGTGTCTTACTGCAAATTATATACAGTAGTAGTGACTAGACAAGAGATATGCATGATTGTAGACACCAAGTGCACGAAACGGCATGAATCTATGTCCAAAGTGTACGGCTCACGTGTCAACTAAGTAGTAAGTCTTACGCGACAACTAAGTTTTCACTGTAAGTATTTTTCCGCGATAACGACCGTCATAGAAGACACCCTCCCAAGTCATCATTACAGCTTGGCTGACAGTCTGATAATTTTATTAATTGTGCATAGAGTGACTCGTGCTATGAGCGTCGCGCTTGGCACGAAGTGCAACCCAACTATACTTACAGCAAGTTGGTCGACGAAATTGCGATCACTTTGTTCTTGTTCTGAGTAGCAGACAGAACGTAATCTTTGCCGCCTGACAAGTTCCAGTAGCGCATTCAACGTCACCTCTCGCCAGACGAACTGTGGCTCGTGCATCCTATTTCCTAGATTTACGCGACGAGACATTTCGTCTTCAGCAACTCTAACCAGAGTTGCGCATTGCCAATGAAGGTGCACGCCGACGCGCTATGCCGCTTTCATCAGTTGTACAACCCCCGGCTGCCCTCGGGGACCGACCGAATGGCGTGCGCATGATGGGAAGTTGTAGCCAAAGGACACCCCCAGATGTGTCTGCAAGTCTCAGTCTGTGTGCCTGGAAGACCACCACGGACACCCTAATAGCACTGTATTCAGTATCTCCCAACCCTATTGTATGTGCCTCCAAAGCTTCACCCCTGGGCCGCGCGCCGCTTGGGGCTGACCGTCCGCGGGTCTATGCGTAGGAGCATGGCACGCCACGATCACGATCGGGATGGAAGACGAAGGGTGCTTCAACTGAAAGCGTCCGATATCGTCATGTCAGTCCTCCTTGCGAATGGAGGCTTCGGCGAGACACACGGACTCCAGAGAAGGTGCAGACGCAGCTTGTGCGGCGGACGCTGCAGCGCTGAGCAGTGGGTGACATATGCAAACATTGTTATCGCTCTTCGAATTGGTCGACAGGGCGAGGAACGTGCCTTCAGGACTTCATGAAACACAGGAGGATCCTGGGGAGTTGACAGTTCGATGTGAGCGTGCCAGGGATTGGGCGTATCTGAGCAAACAGTCAGTCGAAAAGTCTGTCGCCCGATGCATTCGAGGAAAACTAACGACAGCTCCATTGACATCAGACGGGAGACATGGCTCCACATAGTGAAGACGGATGGGCCCGTGGTATCTACTCGACAACGCCAAGTCAGGGGCTCTGAACCTCTGCTGTCGTGGACATGGTCACGGTCTGGGAGCATCAGTAGGCCGACCAGTACGGAGCAGATCGTGGCAGGACATACTTATTAGAGGACGAGAGATAATGCGAAGGTTCTGTTCACCCGAACGCTAAGTGTAAAGCAATTGTGGTCTTGTGCAAGGACTGTCAGATGTCCGGATTGAAATCTGAGTCGTTGACGCAGCGCCGACGGTCAGCGGCCTCAAGGCCGAAAATCCACGAGGCCAAAGCGGCGGATCATCATCGAGGGAAACTGTCAGAGCAGGATTCAATGAATTTTAGAGAAGGTCCGCAATGAGCACGGTCGTGAACGCACGATAGAATTGTTGAGGTATGCGCTTTCAATGGCTTTCTGAAGCACCGAAACAGCCAGTACTAATGCTCGAAGCTGGTGTCCGGTCTGCGTTTGAGGCAAGATTGAGAGACTTGAGAGTGTCACTGGGTACACCCGCCCAGGGCCGACGCGACCACGTGGTGTCAAGTTACGGGCGGGCCCGCGTCGGCGCGCGTCACAACTGACATTGTACGCCTTGCACTGGCAGTTAACCCGCGTATACTCTGACTAGTGCTTCATATAACTTGCCCACGTATTCGCTGGGGCGACAACGCAAGTTTCTCGAGCTTCTGAACCCCCAGCTTCCTTACGAGTCATTGGCACCGGCAACTCGAACGCCTCCCCGTCGCAGGTCTCCTGGTTCACCCCGCAACTTGTTATGCCAGAATCCTACCTAGTGACTGGTGGAAACGGCCTCTTAGGAAGCCATATCGTCCGACTGCTTCTAGAACGCAGTGAGACCGCCGTGGCTGTCTTCGACATCGCGCCGTCAGCGGATCCTGACCCACGCGTCAGAGTATTCTTGGGGGATGTTACGAATAGGGAGGATTTCGCACGAGCGGTGAAGGATGTGAGTGGCACTTTGTTTGACAGCACGATTGAGGATGTGAGACCGCCCTGCGCTGCATACACTGACCGACATCAAGGTTACATCGTTTGTATACTGGTTGTCGCATGCGCGCGCGATGAAAGACTTGTTTGGACCTCTTTGCTGGCCCCAAAGCACCACGGTCCACTAGACCTGGTGGGTCTCGTTGCCTGCGCGGAGTGCGCAGAGTGCGTTCATGACGATCTCCTCTCACTCTGGTACTCAGGATGCTTACCCTGCATCCTTGAGGGTATCTAGCACAATAGAGTGTATCCAGTAGCGCACGGTGGGACCCTTGGGTTCGGTAATGGCGGAACTACTCCGTCCATTGATCTCGTGTGGTATACAACGATAGGCATCCACTCCGGATATCCTCTTGCGCCAGGTACTCCGAACAATCCGGACGAGGGGTGCAGGTGCCGTGGCCGTCCTGCCGTGGCGGGTCGGGGAGCCACAATGTCACAGATACGCTGGGAAACGACCCAATCTTTGAGATGACTGTGACTATCACAGCGACTTGAAGCTCCGCTGGCCCGTCGCGATCGACGCTCACGGAGCCCAGTACACAGCACCAACTGTGCCACCTTGGCACAATCGGGTCGTGTAGGCGCAGGGCAGTCTATCGTTTGTACTGGCATTCTGCTCATACACTCCTTGCACACTTTCTCGGTTTCACGGGGAGAATTTGGCCCGTTATGATTCAAGCCGCGGATTTCTGACGGTTTCTGATCAATATCTGATTCATAGAGCAATCCAACATGTATCATACATACTGCCGCGCTGATCCAAGGCGCACCGAAGGATGCAATGTTCCGGGTCAATGTGGAAGGTACACGACGGGTGATAGAGGCGGCGAGGGCAGACTGGGTGCCGAAGCTAGTATTCACGAGCAGCGCGAGTGTCGTCTTCGATGGGCGAGACCAGGCAGGCGTGGACGAGAGCGCACCATACCCGGATGTTCCATTCGACGACTACAACGCAAGCAAGGCCATGGCCGAACGCCTCGTGCTGGCCACGAACGAGGAGGGGGACTCAGGGTTGAAGACATGTTCACTACGCGTCGCGGGTCTATTCGGGTATGTGTCCAATAGACTATCGTCGGTTTCGCTCACCCTCATGCTCTCGTCTTCCCTTCTAGACCGGGCGATCGTAATGCTATTCCTGGTCTCATGGGTGCGCTCGAAGCTGGTCGGACGAGCATGCAGATCGGGAACAATACGAACAAGTTCGACTTCACCTACATCCCGAACGCGGCGCTAGCGCACCTCCTGGCGGCGGACCGCCTCTCCCCGTCACACCCGAAGCACGACCTCGTCGCCGGCCAGGCGTTCTTCATCTCGAACGGCGCGCCCGTGCCGTTCTGGGACTTCCCGCGGGCCTTGTGGAAGGAGGCGGGCCACGTCTCTGCGAAGATCACCGTCCTCCCGCGGGGCGTCGCGATGGTGCTCGCGGTGCTCTTCGAGTTCTGGGCGTGGGTCACGGGCACGCAACCGCTGCTGACGCGCTTCAGGGTCGCGATGGTCACGACGACGCGGTGGTGTGACATCTCGAAGGCGCGCGAGGCGCTGGACTATGAGCCTAAATACAGCATGGACGAGGGGATACGCAAGTCAGTCGAGGTGCGTCTGTTGTGCGCTCACCCTGCGTCCGAAGTTGACACTAACGTGATGACTTTTTCTTCGCGCCTCTTCTTGCGCCCCGGGTGCAGTGGTGGATGGAGTCGAAGAAGAGTCGAGAGAAGCAGCTCTGAACCAGGAAGGGCCTGGCGCTACTCGCTGCGTTTGTATGCCCGAAGTCGGCGCTCGCGTCTGACATGCTCAGCCCGTTATAAGACCACTCTGCTTAGCTCTTCACGTACATTTTGGGACTGTATAATCTTTGAATAGGGTGCTTGTCGCTTAATTCTACGCGCTTCTCTCCGCCTATTACGAGGCAGGCTATTCACAGATGCTCTATGGAGTCTCGGAGTAGGAATGGCTGCATTGAGAGAGGCTACCTGAAAGCTCAAGACCCTTCTGATTCAGGTCGCGCGCCGCGTATGCCACATACGCATTGGTGACTATCGAGGTATGTCACGCGAATGCTTGCGCAAGACTCGAAGAACTTCTCGTCGTGACCGTTGAGTCGCTGGACGGCGGTCTCGGAGACAGATAGGCTTCATTGTCATGGTGTGTTACGTAGAGGCTTCCCGAGCCTGTCGTAACTATGTCCACGAGGCGAGAAGCTGCGTAGGTCGCAGAAAACCCCGCGCCGGTGGTTTCCCATGAACGTCTCTGCGGGCGCGCAGGGCGCGATGTCCCACTCAGGTGCGACGACACATACATCTTTTCCGTCGCTCGAGGCGACGTTGCGTGCGGCGATTCTAGCATGTATTAGACAAACTACTGTTACAACGTCCTATGATACTTTGTACTACTGCACGTCCAGAGTTCAAACCTTCTCCTCTTGGATCGAACTGCCCCGGAACGGAGACAGACCCGCCCTAGCGGCAGGCCATAGTATACTTCTATAAAACAAAGTGGAGCATGCAGATAGATCAGACAGCGCAATGGAGACAGGAGGAGAGATCCGGGATGCAACGGGGACACAAGAGAATCCAACAACAGAGCAGGAGCGGCAGTAGGCTGAGGCGGAAACGAGCCAGTGCGCGGGCAGCTGACCTGCCGACGCGACGAGCGTTTCGTGGATGACGACAACGGGTGAATGGAAGCAGTATGCGAGCACTAGGGGAAATGGAAATAGCAATGAGTGTGATATGCGATCTGTGTTGTACAGTGGGGTGGGAACCGTGACGAGCGCATGTAAGATATCGTGATGGTGAAAGAGCGTGGGCGCCGCATTTGAGCAGTGGCCGATGGGAAACGAGAGTGAGCGACCCGATGAGGGCGGCGCAGCAAAGAGCCCCATTGATGAAGTCGTCGAAGAGCGTGGTGTTGGAGGTCGGCAGAGCGGCAGCGGGCCATTCAGTTGATGAACTGCCAGGCCAGGCTGACGCGGCCAACATCCTTAATGTACACCTGAGCATGAACCCGGCACACCTGCAGGACGGTCGACGCGTCAGTGAGTAACATGTAGGAAATGACAGAGTAACGCACCATGTCTGCCGACTCCCAATCCCGCCAAAACACATGCAGAGTGCCGTCTGGTTTACGCTCGATCTTTCGAACCTCGCCGAACCCTTCGCACCACCTCACAACATTCTCATAGCGTCTCCGCTTCTCGTTGGCCTTCCAGTCCGTATCCTTGCCGTCATCTGCGTCCTCCAGTGGCACACCCGTAATCACAAGCTTTTTGTCTCGCCGCTTGGTGCCCATCTTGAAGGGAAGCGAGGCGAAGAACGACTGGGATCGTTGCTGCGGGGATGAGAGGAATGACGCGGAAGGCGTGCCAGGCGAAGGAAGGGGCAGGGTCGGTTGTGGCGGGGGAGAAGTGGGTGGCGTAGGCGGGCGATGGTGCGGCTCATACACGTCTTGGTACTCGAACGGCGGCAACAGTGCGCCGCCTGCGCCCGGTCTCGGATTGGGGGCGGCGTAGGCTTCCGGCACGAAAGAGCGCGAGTCTGGCGAGAACGGGTCCATGGGCTTGGTCGACGACGCGTGACGGTGCATATCGAACGACACGGGCGTCTGAAGGCTAGACGCGGAGGACGCGGCTGATGAGGTCGTTGAGGTCGACATGGACGTAGAGGTAGAGGTAGATGTAGATGTAGAGGTAGAGAAGGACGTCGTCATTGGCAGGGGCGGGGCTACTGGTGCGCTCAGGGACGGACGAGGGGAGACTATCACAAACGGAGGCTCTCTTGAAACCGAAGATCGCGGGAGCGGTATATTATCCTGACCGGAGTTGGCCGGATTTGGTATGGGCGGGGTGCCCTTGCCAAGCGAGCCTGATCGGCCGCGCGTGATGAAGCTGATCAGTCGGTCCCGCTTCCTACCCGTTGTGGGAGTCTGGGGAGTGCCCGAGCCCGAGGGGGAGTCCCCTATTGGGTGGAATGACGTGGGCGATGGCGGAGATGCTACCGAGTCCAGCGACCACCGCGATGATGGCTGAGACTGCTCCTCGGGCGATACGTCGCCGGCCGACGCCGCTCCCATCGAAGGAGACGTGGGGAAGCACTCGTCCACAAGCGACGTGGCGGGCGTAGTCAGCGGAGGAGACGGGACGACCGTGGAACGAGAAATAGACGAGCTACCAGACATGGACGACCTAGCAGAACGCACCCCAGGTGCGGATCGTAGCTGAGGCGTAGACACTGAGGTAGTTAGCGCAGGGAGAATGGGCCGCTGAGGCCGCTTCGGAGTCGGGCTAACGCCTGCATTGGTAGGCTTCATGGCCTCTCCGCCGCTACGACCAACACTTCCGCTTGCGCTTCTACTGCGGTTAGTCGCGTGGCTCGTCGCCATCTCAGGCGTATCCGTGACAAGCACACCCAATCGTTTCTCCACTGGCGACGCTCGCTCTTCTAGGAGCTCCAGAGTCGAAGTTATCGAGGGATACGTCGCATGACGCTGCCCGACCGGAGGACGTCCGGACGAAGGTAGAGCGCCTTGAGTGGCATCTGTACCGCTCGGCTGCGGCCCCCGCGGAAAGGTACTCGCTTTAGGCGACCTAGGCGGAGACGAGGAAATGCGAGGAGACGCAGGAGGTGTATTCCTAGGCGTGTTCGGGGCTGCCTGCGTACGAAGGGAAGACACGGAGATTGAAGTCTTCAGAGGCAACCGAGGCGGCGAGTTCGAGTTCGAGTTCCCCGGCCAGAGTTGTAGGGGCTGGGGCGTGCTAGGCGAGGGCGGGGGAGCGTCTGGTACGCCTCGACGAACAAGCGATGGGCGGGGAAGAGGGGGTAAAGGCTAGAAGGAGGTCATGTCAGCAATTGCCCGAATAGCATACGAGGAAGACCTGTTCTCGATGCGGAAATAGCTCTTCGGGGCTGTGCAAGATAGAACCCAGTGTTGACCGCTCTCACACCTTGATTGCCGTACACATTCGTCCCCATCAAGTGTGACTTTCCCAGTCTCACCACCAATTAGACATGGAAGAGGTCACAGCTGCTGTGCGCAGCAGTAGGTGAACACGATGACCCATGCTCGAGCGATCACGATGCAACGCGGGTACGCCAACAAACGCAACGACAGTTCGCAAGGTTAACCGCAACCACGGCCGCCAGCACGCTCGCCGATGCTGACCACGACGACGACGCCGGCGCGAGCTAGTGGAGGGCCGCCCACGACTGTCGCAACCCTAAGTGGTACTAGTCCTAATGGGGAAGGCAACCTTCGCAGCACGTGCCTCCTCCGCATTCCGCGGCACCGTCGCCGGTGAAGAAGGTTGGTCTCAACCAATTTCCCGCCATCAGCTATCCACTCTGCCGGCCACTGATGGCCCGCTAAACGACGTCGAGGGCCCAGAACAGGCCTCGGAAAAGCAGGGTGGACAGCGACCAGAAGACACTCGGACGAGCAACAGTGCTCGAAGCCAAAATGTGAGACTCGCCTTGTCTTTCTCGCTGTATGCGCGGTGGTGCAGCTTGTTCGTGGGTTTCGTGGGAAGCGTCGAGGCGACGCGGGGATCGGAGAACAGCGTAGGATCATACAGATGCGGCATACACGCATCCATGTCCTCTTCTTCTGTTGAATTGGGTGAGCACATGAGCGCGCGCAGAAATCATTACGCCCCGCCATACTCACCCTCGTCGAGAAAGCTGACTGTGGAGGTCGCAGCGGACTCCATGGCCCAACCATACTCTGCCTGGATCCAACGCTCGTCGAGGTACGACGTCCTGTTCCGGTGGTGTGGGTTGTCGGGCGCCTGGAGATCCGCGGCGTCCTGCAGACATAGTTGCTGCAGCAGCTCAAGCTTCATGTCGAGCTCGTCGTGGCTGCTCTCGAGGGTTCGTTTGGGGCGCTGCATGGTGGGCGGCCGCAGGTTCGTAAAGACGCGTCGGATGCGGGCGAACGCGACGCGACGTGAGGCGACGCGTGTTGAGCGTTGGGTACGTGACGGCGCGCGGGGAGGCAGACGCGGCTGCGAGGGCGGGTGCAGGCACGCGAGCGCGAACGCGACGTAGGGAGAGAGCTCGTGGTCGTGGCAGGTGTCGTGTCGAGCAGCTGACGGGGGAGGGAGGGATCAGACTCAGAGGACTGGGCGGACCCGTGGGCGGGTATTTGAACGGGGACGGTTCGCAGCCTGAGCAAGTCTTCGCTTCGCTTGCCTGCCAATTCCGAACCCGGCACATCAATTCCAGAACAGGGCCCTGGATATGCGAATTTCGCAGTGCCCAAATCCGGCGGGGTCCTCGACGCCGCATCAGCCCGTTAGGTAAGCGTAACCTCAAAGTTTAACTTTCCGCCAATCGGAGCTGCACGGGCTCGCTCAATGCCATTGGCCCGCTCGGGCGATGCATCTCGTCGCCTTTCCATGCGGTTCGCGGTGGGACCTCTTGGGACGTCCAGACCGCTGCTTCCACTCCCCTCCAGCCAAGTTTTGCCCAGGAAGAATCTACGTCTAGCAGGGCGCCTCAAGGACGCGCCGCTGCCACGACGACACGGACTCAGGTATGTTCAATCCATGCTGCGGGCATCACGGGCGATGCGGGAGGGACTAGTACCGGCATCCCCCACGAATCGCAGATTCCGTGACCGAATTCCTCGTCTAGGTCCCGTTATTCCAGCCCTGGGCGTGACGCCGCCTTTTGGGTTAACGGCGAGTGATTGGCACTGCGCGCACACCCTGCAGAAAGAAGCCTGCCACGAGTAGGGGGGAAGCCGTCTACTATACGCTCGCTGCGGCCTTGCGTAACCCATTTCCGAGATTTTTGCTCACCCAAGGCGCCGCATCTGGGCGGTTTGTCCGGTATTTCGGACTCATATAGGGTCTACAGCGGTAACGCTAGCTGACGTGTCACTGGGATGATCCTGCGAGATCGATGGTTGTGCGGTGTCTACTGGTAACGCTTCAGCGAATGGAGCTCGCCGAACAGAACGACATTTCGTCCACACAGGAAAGAACGTCGAACACTATGACAATGGTAAGAGACGTCAGCAAGCTGCCAGACGCATAGGGGTCGGGCTCATGCATGCTCCAAATGCCCTCCTCGGTAAGTCTCTAGGCACGCTAAACAGAGAGGCGTGTCATGGACGATTGCGGCCTGGCAGCCCTGGCGAAGAGGGCAGTCTCGACTCCGGCAGCGGTAGGAGGACTCCGTCTGCCTGCCAAGCTGTCGCTTCGGTCGGAGCCTGTGCTATTCAGGTCAGCATTCGAGTTGCAACACCCAAAGGGATTACCTTTCCAAGAACCTTCATTGATCGCCGCTCTACGAACTTCCGCAGAGCGCCGGCGTGCAGGATTAACGCATACTGCGCATAACTTCATGGATGATGAGGTATGTGGCTGAGGATAGCATTCGGATAAGAACGACGACAGTACTTGCGATACTGCTCTGATTACTATTCGGGTCTAGGAGCTGCCAAGTGTACGTGCCGGTTATCAGACTCGTCGGTCGCCGCCGGACGTCGAACCTCGCTGGAAGAGAGTGCGCCAGTCCATCTATGGTGCTGTTCAGCGATTGAGTCTCGCTCATTGAACGGCCCCTGACCACTTCCAGTGGTACGTGGCCTTTGCATCATCTTCTCGTCGCTATCGTATGCACTATCTTGTCGGTCAGAAGGTTGGCAGGAGAGAGCCCCGACGCGAACTGCTTATGCCCTGTTCGCCCTGTTTGTCCATCTATGCTGAACCTCAACAAATGCGTGCTTTCTGCCATGTCAACGTTAAAAGCTCCCAGCCGCTCGGTAGCAGCATGCTACGCCACGTACCGATGGAATGTTGCGGCCGGCGGATCTAATGACCTATCGCGCGCTGTCGAGGGCGATCGTACGGTCCTCGCTGTGGGGGGTCAAGGCCAGGGGGATCACATCCCCCATGTGCCGGCGTCGACTCGCTGACTGCTCGGCTCCAGCATCCCACTTCGCGTGGATCTGTCAGCCCCTCCCGCGGCGTTAGCACTATTTCGTGCGCAGATATTCTTTCTGCACTACCATACGTGCATGTATAGAAGATCATGCAGCGGCAGAGTGTGTCCCCGCAGCCCGCTCGATCTCCGCCGCCGAGGTGCGTCTACGGCCTGTATACCTTCGATAACATGCGTGTGGCTCGCGGAAGCCCGGCTTCGCTGCTGGCCTTGGTTCGATGACATTGTTGACAAGACGCTTTCGATGCATGCACTGTTCCCCTTCCATACCGATCGTGATCGTGGCGCACGCTCGCTGCTAGCAGCTACGACCGCGGGTGGTCTACAGCTCCACTTGTGCAATAGGGTGCAAATGAAGCCGCTGGGAGCTATGCTTCCAATGCACTTCAATGTATTTGTGGCACTCTTCCAGGGGGATGGCGTAGCTGGGATCATCCGCGTGGGCGTTCCATCATATACTGAAGGCTGTTTTTGTGTAGTTGACGATCGCCGTTACCGAGAGGAGCGGTAGACGATATGCAATCATTGTGACCCTGCGTGCAAATGTCGCACTGTCACAGTATATGCGACAGCGTAAAGAACTCCACTAAATGGCTAACTGTCGAGTATACGTCGATAACTAGACACAAACCGGCATCCAAACATTGCCCTCGAGCCACTGTTCGTCTGGCTAGCGCCATTTTGAAGATGTTGCTTGATTTGGACTATCGCTGGGGTGATGAAGGTGTGCCACTACGGTTGAATCACAAAGCTTTGATTTGAACCCTCATCAAATCCGTTCTTTCCTAGTGCGCCCTTCTGTTGGCGATCGCTGCCTGCTGACAGGCTTAGTGTCCCGCAAATCCTGATGTTCCCGTAGGTATGCACATGCGTCTTATTCCTTTTGCGGCGTTGGTTTGGCGAATATTGTTCAGGTCTCCTTCAATAACCTCAATCAGTATTCACTCGAGAGCAGCTACGCGTTCTCATGAGGCCGTTGTTGACGCCACCAGGTGACAAGCACCTCTGGTTCCTGTCCAGAACTGAAGATATCGGTACCTTGCAGACTTAGAGCGATGTGCTTGCGAATTCGCTGCTGTTGAATGCGTTCAATAGTATTGATCGGTATCATCCGCCTGCCACGTACGGAGATAGCAAGGCAGCCTGTGAAGCTTTGAAAGTTGGGCTTCTGTTCCGCAGATGACCATCCTCAACAGAAGCACTTCGCGCGAGTGATGAGATGACGTCTTGCCTGCGAAGTACATACGCGCCGGTATGTATGACTGTGCATCTCGGCGACTGAAATTGAAGCACAGACCATGTTCATCTGCTACTGCCACGGCCGGACTTGTGCCATGCGTGTGGCAATATCAACGCAAATCTTAATGTAGACGGAGCTGGACACAGCGCAAACTTGCGGAGATGCGAAGTGACATAACAGCCGTCTCTGAGGTTGCCTCATGCGGCCTCCTTGCGTCGAGCGTTGCATCCCGGCGACGGTGCAGGCTCCCCGCCGAAAGGCTATGCATTCCGTCGAACCATCCGCTCCACTACTTCAAGGTCGCCACTGCGAATTTGAACTTCCAGGTCTCGCACCTTGCGAGCACGAAGACTGCCGTCATGTCTGCTTCCCCGCGCCTGAAGCTGAGCTTCCCCCTATGATCTACTGGCTGTCGTGGCGTATATACGCACTGATCGATCGCCAAGCTTCAGTATAAGCTTCTCTCGATTGGTGAGTCGGTGTCCGTTCAGCGTTGTGGAGGCGCGTCTGTGCAAAGAAGCGTTGGGAGCAGGCTTTGACGCTGCTCCGGGCCCGTCATCCCACTCTACCTCCGACTCGGCGGACTATATACTGGCGAGGCAGTCGTGCCAAGAGCAAAACTGACCATGCATCTCGCTCTTTACTACCGACCACGGAATACGAGAGGCTGTGTATTCCATGGCGAAAACACCCTGGATTCATGCCGACTCTGAAGCCAATGCTGGAATGTTCAGATCCGGCACACATTCGTAAGTCCCAGAACAATGACGCACAGTGTACTTTCCAGCTGACATGGTCTAGTGGTATTCCTGCGCGCCGAGCCGTGAAATTGGGGCCGGCGAGCGTTCTCCATTGCCTCGAGGCCGTCGCTCGTGTGGATAGATTAACCTGGTCGGTGGCAACGGCTCCCGGCATGCTTCTGGTCTCCCTCTTCGCTTAGAACGAAAGGCTGTGTACTCCCCGGACGACATACACTCTGGTATTTTGCTTCTGAGCATATCTCATTGCGAATGGACCCACTGGCACCGTACTTCTGTGCTGCGGAGACCTCTGGGGATAATCCATGGGCTGCCAGCCACCTGGTGAGTCTCGCAAGACGCACGAACTGAGCTTCGTACCGGACAATCCACGAGGGCAGCGGTACTATGAGTCATCGGGCATAGCAAGCCAATGGGTGCAGGACTTCATCGACTAGTTGCCCGCCGCTGCAAGTCTCTGGATTCTTGGCGGACGTTCGCGCGCTCAGTATCGGGATATCGTACATACATACACCACACAGTGCGACTGCCGGCTTCCCACATGCCGTATCACTCATGGATCCTGACCAGCTCCTCACGGGAGTGTTGTGCCGGCATTGATCGCGTTCGCAACCTGGCTCGTGTTGGGACGATTGTGTGCGTATCTACGAAGCGACGATATCGGTAGCAGCTCCGTAGACGCTGTACGTAGTGGTGCTTACCGCTCGTAGCTATCAATGTACAGGTCTTCGATGCTGCATGTCCTCTTGAACGCGGGGTAGTTAAAAAGGCGGTCGAGGTAAGCCCGGAATTGTGGCCCTGCTGGTACAGCAAATCCACGGTAGTGGACGAGCACGTTCGTAGACCGGAAGAGCCCTGATAGAAGGATGTGTTAAGGCATTTCACAATTGTGAATGAAAGGCGTGGGTACTCACAGGGTCCAGCCACAACATCAGCCAAGCTGAGTGTGCCGCCCTCGCGCCACAAGCCACAAGTGGACTCGCCCTCTTTCTCTGCACGTTGGAAGAGCTTGATCAGGCCGTGAATAGCTTCAACGAAGTCTTTCGCGCCCTGAATCTGTTTCTCTATTGCGGTTGTATTATATGAGAATTCTATGCACAAACGTCCCATTAAGTCAGACTTACCTTCGTCCTGTGCTTGGATGTAGCGGTAGAAGGCGGGGACTAGCGTGCGATTGACATGGTCGGCCTGCAGATGTATGAGGGCTCGCGCATCTGCCCACGTAGTCAATATCATACGAATACACGCTGAGGTGGGTCATTCATACATGGCTCAGTCACAGGAGGGAGGAGGCTTCGTTTTGTGGTAGATGCTGCAATACTACAGGCATTGAAGGCTGAGCTGCTGAGGCATACGCGCGAATATCGGAGGCACTTACTCTTCCAGGAACTCCAATATGACCGTACTCTCGTTCACGGCGCGCGGCGGGTTGTAATTCTCGAGCCTCAAGGCTGGTACTAGGCCCTTTGGTGAGACCTCTAATAGATCGGCTGGTTTCTTGTATGGATCGACCTCATCTATGGTATGCGATCGTCGTCAGTAAAGCGTTGAGGGAATGACCTCGAAATACTAGTCACTGACAGTACTAGTGACCTGTCAGTGGATCACATCACCGTATAATCGGACCCGCACCTTATAGTCTATCCCGAGGTATTCGAGCGCAACCCAGACGCGCTGAACGAAAGGACAGAAACAGCTCCCGAACAGCGTGATGTCTTTGGCAGCGTTATGAGCATCAGCGGTCTCCTTCGCCACGCCTGTGCATTGCAGGTGGTAGGATTTCCCACTGTCAGCTTTGTTGGACATGTTGGTATAAAGCCTGCACCCGAATGGTCTGGATTTGAAGCTGTGGGCAAGATGCTCAGTAAGCAACAAGTCCGACACATAAGTAGATACATCGTTCGTGGCTTCATGCATGTCGTCACACATCGCCACGGTCACATGTGCTCCTTGGCTGACTTAATTTACTTCGTTGCGAAACCACGCGAGGCGTGTACTCTGGGCGAATAGCGAGCGACGCGCAAAAGGAGAGAAGCCATGAGTAAGTAGTGTCAACGGCACGGCCAACGCACCAGACGAGTGCACCACCTAACGCTTGCGTCATACTCAGCCGCGACCCAAGTACAAGCTACACTGAGATGATTACAAACGCCGGTTTCATTTTTGTATCGTACTACATCCTTTGAGGCTCTTCTCCAGTCTTCGTTATTCGTGAGACATTACAACGTGAGTTATATGTGATACATCACATAGCAGTCCGTTCCCCTTCATCGATACACTAGCAGCCGTCGAACCGCAGGATGGTAGAAACATAGCTTAGATAACTTGATAACTTCACTGGCTGCCGATCGCCATGAGACTGCCGACGAACGTCATGATCTACGATAGCGTATGAGCGAGCAGCTCAGAGAAGACGCGATGAAAGGACTCACGAGACGTGGCCGAACGTCGACGATATCCTCGGGCACGAGGAAGATCAGGGCGTTCATCTTACGCGCAATGGAGATGGCGAGTTTCGCTGAAACACAACAATGTCAGCCTTGGAGTCAGGGTACGGGCTATACATACGTACCGTTCTGTCGGCGATCTTCGTAAGCGCCGGTCTCGCTGACCGGGATGATCAGGCTAGGGTCAACGATGCCAGGGCGCAACGCCTCCAGCAGGTCGAGGAAGAACAAGCCAGTCGTAAGCGAAGGGTCCTTGAAGGACCTGATCGGCTTGACTCCCGGCTTCGCCTTCTGGGCTGTCGTGTTTGCCCACTTGAGTATTTCGGTGTCGGTGATGGGACGGCCCTTGCCCGAGAGCGAGCTCAGCGTCCTGGTGATATTCATCCTAGCGGCAAGTGCTCAGGTGTCAGCAAAAGGTTCACGATGGAATACGATGAGTAGAACTGACCGCATGAGCTGCCACACGAGTCCAAGCACAAGAGTCCTGGACCCATCGACGATGTCGGCGCCCTGAATGCCGACCATGTGCATCCCGTTCTGTCTCGCCAGTTCAATAGAGTAGTTACAGTTCTCCACCTGCTTGAAGCGCGAGAGCTTGGATTGGTTCGGCGTCACGCCGATGTCCTCCTCTTCCTCGCCGTCCACCGTTGGGTAGGCCGGAGCTGCGCCCCCCTTCGGCTTGCTCACACGGCGCCACACCACGCTTCCGGGGGAGATCTTATCAAACGCCTGGAGGATGACCAGGCCGTCCTTGAGGTCCTGGAACAGGTTGAACACACCGGGCTCGACGCCGAGAGAATTGAGCCAGAGCGTGAAGACGCGCGCTTCCCGCTCGCCCTCGGCATCAAAGTCCTCGACCGCGCCGTAGTCCTTCGCCTCCTGCTCGTCGAGCGGGTCGAGGCCCGGGTGGTTGTTGAATAGGTTCGCGACGAAGGCAAGATTCAGGCGGGGGTTGCCCGAGACCATCGATGAGGGCGTCAGGTACTTCCGGCACCCGATCCTGTCCGCGTTCTGGAGCACCTGCTCGGCGCGCTGGCGCAGGTCGTGTGTCTGGAGGGGTGCGCGCGAGCATTCGTCCGGCTTGAGCTGGTTCAGGAGGATCGTGTAGTTCTCGCCGTCGGAAACGTCACGGCTGAAGTTATTCACCCTAAAACGCGGAAGCTCAGTACTTGGTCTGAAGGCTCATAGGGATAGCTGACCTGCGATGCCAGCCAGCAGCCTTGAGATGGTAGTTGAACCACCGCAGAAGGATCTGGTCAGGGGTCAAGCGGAGCAGGTCCTCGATGGTCTCGCCGTCCTCGCACAGACGGTACAGCTCAGGGTGGATCTTGATGTCGACCTGCGCAAGCAGTCCGCGCCGGATGACCTGCCAAATGAGACCGAGAATCAAGTGTTCCCTGCCCTCTGCGATGTCCGTAGGCCCGATGTTCACCACAGAGCACCCGATCGCCTTCGCCGACATGATGACGACGTTATTGTTCTCGGTCATCTGGAAGGCGTTCAACGGCTTTCGCGGTGTTGGCTTGTTCAGTACACGGGGATCGATCGTCTCCGGCACAGAGTCGTTGATGAGCTTACAGAGGATGAGACCGTCTCTGCACTCATCGAAAAGCTGCATCGTATTGGTGGGGATCGGCATACGATGGCCAATGTCTGAATCGCCTTCCAGGACCTGGACGATATCTGGTAAGAATAATGCAGGATAGTGACTCGGCGGCACGTACGGAGTTGATGTGATTAGTGAACTCTGCTCGCTCGTCTTCGTTGATAGTGTGGCTCACGTTCGCGTTGGACCCCTGAACGGTGACCTTGCCCTTGTGCGATGGCAGGACGGAGGCGGGTGCTTGTGTCTTGAGCTTCGCGTTCAGCTACACCGACGACTCGCGTTCAGCACCACGACACAGGCGAATCGAGAGCGATGCAGCGCACCTCTACCCAATCTTCCAGTTCCAGCTTCCCGCTAGCATCCACCTGTACATGCTTCAGGGTCTCTCGTGCGGCATCGTAGGATTTCCCGGAGGCTTGCAATGCCTGCAACGCGCTCGCTTTGTCGACGCGACCAGGAGTATCGGTATTGAGAGAGCTGCCGGGCTTGTGAGATCGTAGATTCCGCGTGCGATGGTTCTAAGACGTACTTGAAGCGGTTGATGAGGTCAAACATCTCATCCTGAGAGACCTCCGGGAACTTCTTGCGCAATCGTAGGGCTTCCATGGCGGGTCAGAGGGAAGGGACAAGGGGTTTGGTAGAGAATAAGTTCCTCCGCAGTGACGTCGCGCGCTGCCCTGCCTGATATAGCTGGCTGCGCCCACACAGCCTTCAGAAACTCTGCACTACGCACCACGAAGATCACCTGTTACCTCTGCTGCGCTCGGACGATGAAATATGCGTACAACTAACTAGGAGTGAGCAAGAGTAATCGCAGTTCGTACGGGGTCGGCGCCACACCGCCACCTGCGGAGATCATTGCGGACCGACAATATTGGCGTGCATTGGCGAGCGGAGCTCATTTTGGCAAAGAGGAGTGCGACCGGCCCGCGAAAGCGCTCATGAGCAGTGAATGATTAATGAACTCTCAAGTTACCAGGATGATGATCGCGTCGGTGAACACTGAACAGCACCAATGGCCCATATCTGCAGAACAGAACTCGAAACGAGTTGGGTTCTATCTAATCGTCTGATTCAAACAGGACATAGGCTTTCCCCTCCTTCCTCAACAAACTCTCGATAACCTTCATTCCTTCGAGCACCTTCTCCTCTTCGAGACGTTTTCCGACAACCTGCACACCAACAGGTAGCCCGTGCATCTGCTGCGCATTATACATCTCGTATTGCCCGGCCTCTATCGCATTCTTAGGCTTGAACCGACCGAGTGCGTCGAGAGCGGCATCGACGTGTGTCACAGGTAGTACCCCGGCGGAGTAGTCGAGCTACGTGCAAGCGATGCATGAGTTCAGGGAAGCCTAAGGGTAAAGGCGAGGCTCACGATGTTCCAGAGAAACGTGTACCCGCACGCTTTCCATCCCGCTTTCATCCCACCAATCGGCGGAGCAGGCAGCGAATTCGGTACCGTCAGGATGAAGTCAATCGAGTTCGCGCGCATGAACTCGAACCACCGCTCGCGATAGCCCTCTCGTTGGGACACGAGGGTCAGATACTCCGGCACAGTCTTCTCGTACCAGTTCTCCACGAGGCCGGCATAGATTTCGTCTTTCTTGATGTAGCGCAGGTACCAGGTGTAGAGCTTGCGCACGAAGTGCGGCGCGCGGAACATCCCCGCAGCTTCCCGCACACCTGGGTCGTTCGTCTCACCCACGCGCATTGGTATCATGCAAGTCTTCGCTGGGGCAGGATGAGTTATTGACTACGGAGCGCCGCTCGAACTCACCTCCGTCGGCCATCAGCAATTGTGAGGCGATCTTGAGACCTTCGTATGGACTCGGTGCATCTTGGCTGCAAGGTCCTCAGTCAGATAAGTTAGTGCCCTTCAAGGGGCGAATATTCCAAATACGTACATTGTGGATACTTCATGACCATTGGATTCAAGGACGGAAACCACCTCTTGCAGGGCACGCCGACAAGCAGGAGATGGCGTTACCACGCCTACAAAATATCAGCCCGAGTCCTCGCACAACGGGGCGAATATGCATACCATCGTCCCACAACACACCCCATCGGATGGGTTTTGACTCGGCCAAATTCACTTCCCGCCAAGGTATGTGTAACACCTGAGTAGGGGCGATGTACATGAAGACATCTGCCTCCCCGTGTCACTGAGTACTCACCGAATGATCGTATTCCCATGGTTGCATGCTCATGATCGCCCTCCAGAACATCTCCAGGTCCTCGAGGGTGCGCGTCATGGGCGAGTATACTGCCGGGATGCCTTCCTGTCCCGGCATACTCGTAGGATTTCCCGTTTTCAGGAACCGATGCATCGAGGCCTTGATAGTGTAGATGCCCGAATAATGTCTAGGACGACATAAGCCCAGCTGCGGACTATCCACTATGCGAACTCACGCTGGAGCGCGGACAGAGCCTGCGACGTCCGTACCAATACCAAGACGCGAGGCTCCATAGGAGAGGAGAACGGCTTCACCACCAGTCGACCCACCGGGGGTATACTTCTTGTTCCATACATTTGTCGTCGTCCCAAAAACATCGTTCGAGCACTCCAGAGACAGTAGCGTGATCGGGACGTTCGTCTTCACGAACGGCACGGCGCCGGCGTCCCGAAGGAGGCGCACGAGCGCGGACATCTTCTGCATGGGCTTGCCCACCCACGCGGAGTAGCCCATGCACGAGTCGTAGCCGGGGATGGCGGACGTGTCCTTCAGGCTGACGGGCATGCCCGCGAGCGGGCCCTGCATGTTGCACGACTTCGCCCATTCCTCCGCGCTGGGAATGAGGATCTCCGTCAGGCAATTCGTCGCTGCGTGGGCCTTGAACGCCTTCTTTCCGTACGCGACGAGGACGTCGGACGGGTTCAGGGATCCACTTTGGACGTTCGCAACGATCTGGTACGCTGGTTGTGCTAGGATACCCTTATCTTCCGAGCTCAGCGGGGCGTGGTAGACCGACGCAAGACTCTCGATGCGTTCCTTGCGTTCTTGTTGCTTGGCAGCGCTGGCGTGTTTATGGTGAGACGGCTCAAAAGGGACAAATAGACGACATATGACTCACCAAGCCTTACGATGTGCCAGAAACGAGAACATCGCGCCTTGCCAAACGCGGGAGGACTCGAAGCGAGTGTAGGCTGCTTGTGAGGGGCAAGTTGACACGGTACTTAAGCACTCCCACGAAGAGCTCTCGGTGCCAGAACCTAATCCAGCACGAGATCATTGACGCGAGTCCATTTGATTCTCGAAATGTTCGAAGGTCCACGGAGATAAAATTGTATGACGGCAGTCGATAAGGCATATCTACCTCGTCACAGGACCTGCAAGCAGTGAGAAATTAGTGAGCAAGTACTGAGCACTGGCAGCGAGGCGCCGGCCTTGAGTACTGAACGCCCGTACACTGGATTTCAAGCAGTGAGGACTCAAAAGCTAGACTATATGTAAGACTGTTCTGAATGGACAATTCACTTGCCGTACAAGACCCCGCGCGCCCAGTACGGATTGAGGAAGGACGAATCCGGATTCCGTTTGCAGTGGAGTCGAATAGGCACCCTCGTGTGAAGCGCGGGCTTCAGAATGTTGATTTGTTGGAATAATGAGTAACCTGCATGCTGGCTGTCTGTTCTGACAACAAGATTTTGCGAAGACATATGAACGTTATCCGAAGCCCAGTAATTTTGTGTTAAGGGAGTCGGCATCGCATTGTTTGCGTGTGTTAGGAATAGACGGTCTTGCATAACAAAACCAAATAGATAAGCGTCGGACCTCGGAAACGACGTCATCAGGACATAACCGACAACTTGCACTGTGCTTATCTGTTTGACTTCGGGAAATCTCACTATGTCGTTTGAGAGCCTACATTCCTCGCGGAAAACGAAGGAAGCAAAGTCCTTCGTACAGAGTGCACCTGCACTGGCGGATGTACACGGGCCATCGCAAGAAGTAGGAGCACAAAACCCTCTTCACACAGGAGAAGATAAATCATGCAATTCAGTACATGCACCCATCAGCGACGCTGAACAGTTACCCCTTCAGCCATTCCAAGTCCGTGAGTCGAGCATAGCTGGCCGTGGCATTTTCGCAACGCAAGCGCACAGACCTGGTAAGTAGCTCACAAACTTCCGAACAAACTTTTCTGACAGAAGTACAGGAAGTATAATCACAGCGATAAAACCATACGTCAGCGTGATGTCTACACCGTACCTGGCGGAGTTCTGTACCAATTGTAGCAGCCCTCCAAAAGAGTCGATGAAGTTAAGAAGGTGCACGCGATGTCGCGTAGTGTGGTATTGCACAGACGTACGTATACATGCAACAGCTTTTTCCACTTGGCCGCTTACCTTCCTAGGGCTCAGAAATGTCAAACCATCGACTGGAATGTGCACAAGTACGAATGCAAAGCTCTGCGGAAGTGGGAAGAGTCAGCACCCGCCACTGCTAAGGTGCCAAGTGATGCACTCCGATGTCTCGGTCGCATGTTTTGTAGCTTCAAGCTTCATGGTCTGGATAGTGAATGGGTGAGTCTTCGTATCACCTGTCCATAAGGGGCTAATACGTCTATGATGGGTAGACAAGGGAAATAAAGCAGATGCAGTCCCGTACGTCTCTGTCTCGTAGATGTCAGAACCAGACTCAGTATTGAATCAGACAGGACTTCATTACCGCCATCTGCCTACGAGCCATACACTCATCTAGCGCATTCCTTGATCCGCTACCTGGGCGTTGAATCGCCCCTCGAACTCGAACCCTATGGCATCAGGTCTACCGCAGACCTCGTTGATTTCATCTCCAGGGTAAGCGCCTATGGCATATCTTATTCCTCGACTACGGCTCACTAGTCACGATGCTCATATCCAGTTCACGACGAATGCCTTCACCCTGACCTCGTACACGCTCGACCCCATAGGTGTGGCTATATCCCCTGTCGTCGCGGCTATCAACCACTCCTGCGATCCCAACGCGGTGGTAATCTGCGACCAACCTCATGAACAAGAGCCTCAGATCAACTTGGTTGCAATTAAACCCATTGCCCCTGGAGAAGAGGTATGACGACTTGAACAGTGCAGCCAAAGACACTGACATCTCTGCTCATTTCGTGTAGATCGCCATATCCTATATCGACATTACTCTGCCCCGCCAGGTCCGACGGAAGGAGCTCAAGGAAACGTACAACTTCGACTGCAAATGCGTATTGTGCTCTACGCCCCGCTACGATGACCCGCGGACGGCAATGTTTTGCCCTGCGCGATGTGGCGGCCTACGCCCTGTCCCCACAGAAGGTTTGTACAGTAAAGTCCACCTTTCGCGTGTCCATTAACTGAAAATGTACCAGGTGGCGGATCTCCTTCATGCAACAAGTGCAAGGCCATAACGAAAAACCTCGAAGGCGAACTCGACGCTCTCAATGTTGGACAAGAAGCCCTTGGAAAGGCTACCATGCTGCAACATACAGGTGACTTTACTTCGTCTCCGCTGAGTGACCGACGCTGACGTTCGTGTAGACCCACAGAAAGCTAAACAGCTCACGTCCAACATCATCCCCATATTGAACTCTGCTGGACTCGCTCCGTCATGTCATCCCCTTCTCGCCATGGCTCGACTGCACCAAGAGCTTCTCATCGCGTCTCTTCCCGAATCCATGACCCAGGAAACGCTCGACGATACGATCCGCACCGCGGCAAGGTATGCCGCCGGGGTCTCGGCCATACTCCCGGTGGGGCACCCAGTCCGCGGCGTCGCCCTCGCGGAACTCGGCAAGCTGCTCGCAGTTGACGAGCCGTCTCCGCCCTCGAATATGGCTGGCAGCGCAGACCGCTTCCCGCCATCCGGATCCGCGCGCCTGAAGCTCGCACACGAGACATTGGTCAGAGCAAGGGAGGAGCTGTTGATCGGGTTCGGGACGGATAACGGAGGCGGGTTGGTCGGAAGGGAAGCGAGGGAGGCGATAGTCCGGTTGGAGAAGGAACTGGGAGCGTGGACGCAGGGCATCAACAATGCGTTGGAGGATGTGAAGGCTACAAAGACGGATTTGCCGAGAACCTGCTAGCATACCATCAGCAGATGTGAGTCGACATCATACTTAAGCGGATGGTTGTTGAAATGTAGAGAGTTCTTAGATTGAACATGATAACACATGATTCATGAGGACCCGCATTTCGTTTTTGACGGTGGCCCGTTGTGGAAGGGAAACCCGGCTGAAGGCTGGAGTGACGCGTAGTGTCACGTTTCCACTTCTGTTCAATGTTGGCTCCGTTGGCTGCCATAGCGCACACTGCATACAGACATTACCTCCAATACGAACCTCAGTCTACTATGCCATCGACTCTACCGGCGCGCTCGCGAGGAACCGTAAGACGGAGAACCGACCATAGGGCGAAGGCGAGCAACGTCGAGCAGAGTGCCGCACCTGTTGGCCGGGGGCCCGGGTCGCAAATGTCAATAGCACAGCCCCGCCGCTGTCAGCCCCGCGCCGAGACCATGGTCCGCCGTCTAAAGCCGGAAGGGGAACTAACGGGTGCGCCTCAAGTCGAGGAAGTCGAGACGCGGTACGCGGAACAAGCCCACGGTCAAAATCACAACGGCCGTGCCCAGAATTGTGCGGACAGTATAATCATACTGTCCGCATAATTCTGGGCTCGGCACGGACGAGCGACGCGACGGTCGCGCGTGCGCCCCCGAACCTAGCACTGCGCGCGAGGGAGAGGGGAGATGAGTGAGGAAGAAATGGTACCGAAAAAGGAAAGTAGGTCCGTATGAACACCCGGATGACGACGTGGGTTTCCCGACACTGACCTCGGATAGGTGTGCGGAAGACGGAAGACGGATGGCGAAGACCAAGTCACCAGTCAGGTGCATGACAGCGTATAAATACGCTGCGTACTCGCCAAGTTCTGGTCCACACATTTCGAACTTCACGCTCATCGGCACCGGTTGCCAACTATCGTTCTTTCCACGTCTTCGTTATGCCTCGCCGTTCGCATACTCTCCACGATCTCTCGATGAAGTTGATCGACAGCGGTCGACTTCAACTGCTCGAAGTCCTAGGCGCAGGCGCCTTTGGAACTGTATACCGCGCCCACGACCGCGACTGCTTTGGGTCGCCCACCTTCCGCGCGGTCAAGGTGATGCACAAGGTCACCGACCGCAGGTCGGAACGAGGCAAGCTCCTCGAGCGCGAAATCATGCACCACACATACGTCTCCGGTCACCCGAACATTGTCAAGCTCCATCGCATCGCCCACGACTCCAACTACGTCTATGTCGTGCTCGACTTCGTTTCGGGAGGCGACCTTCTCGGCCTCATCCTGAAACACCGGATCGCGAGGAACGACGAGCTCATACGGACCATACTTATTCAATTGGTGGATGCCGTGTATGCGTGCCACCAGAACGGCATCTACCATCGCGACATGAAGCCGGAGAACATCCTTGTCAACGAGGATATGAGCAGCGTCTTCCTGAGCGACTTCGGTCTCTCGACCAAGAGCTCAGGTAGGAGCATCATGTTCCGCGTGGGGACGGCGAACTATATGAGTCCAGGTCAGTGGCGATACTTTCACACTCTCGCTCTGAGCTAACATGATCATATACAGAATGCTACAATGCGACTGGACTATGGGACGACTACGACCTTCGGCGCAACGACATATGGGCAATTGGGATGATCGCCGTCTGCATGATCGCCGGTCGTTGTCCTTGGAGACGAGCATCCACCTCGGACGAGAATTTCTGCGCCTATGTCGAAGATCACCGCTACCTTCGAGCGGTGCTGCCGATCTCCGAGGAGATGGACGAGATCCTCAGGCGCATCTTCACCATACGAGAGGAGGATTGCATCGACATCCTCGAACTGCGTCAGCTCCTAATGAACGTCGAGACGTTCTACGTGACCGAAGCGGAGCTCGAGCACGCGCCCCCGCCAGTCAAGGCGATCTACGAGCTATACCCGCCATGCCTGAACCCGGAGGGTGACATAACGCTCGTCGATGACGAGTCCTCGTCTGTCTACCTCTCGACGTCTGGAGAAACATCCGGATCTCGATATACCGAAGAACGCGCGCCCAGCACGTTCCCTCGTCCTGCGCTGGACATCGACGCTAGTCCATGCAGCAGGTTCGTCAACGAATCGGAGCTGCCAATGATTCCTGAGGAAGAGAGTCCTCCCCCTCCCCCTCTCGACGTCCCTGCCGTCCCCGAACGTGCCTTCACCCTTGGTACCACGGGGTCCTGCTCGACATGCGACACCTCCGACTCCGACTTCGATTCATCCTCTGAGGAGGAAAGCGACGGCCCTATCACTCCCGAGACCCACGCGCAGGATCCGGGTGTCGCCGTCCCAGAGCTTTCTGAAGGAGCGGGGTTGGGTGCGCAGGCGGTCAAGTTCAGCTTCGAACCGTTCGAGAAGACACGACGGAGTCTCACAGGGCCACAGTTCCGTGTCCTCAGTGGGTTGATGGAGAGTGTCAGCCGCATGCTTACAACTATGTAATGGACAGCCTAGATCGGACTACACATCTATTACGCACATTCGCATTACAATTTATGACAATGGTATTAGTAGGACTCACTAGGATCGGTAGAATAAAAATATGAAGTTCATGAAATGCGTGCACCGTGGCCAACTGCCATCGCTTACTACAGAAGGCATGCGCAAACACGTTGCGGTTGCACGCCACACCTCATGTCGAGTCTGTACAACAAGGGGCGCTTCTCGACACTTGAACCCCACTTCGAAGTCGGCAGTTCTTGTCGAATCTGAGCTTACGGTGGAATCTGCAACGGATAGCAAGTGTAACTCCGCTTTTTCCCATCCGTTGCGATCTTGACCAACTGCGAGCCCGTAGCAGTTCTGAGCGTACCGATGAGTCTATGTGCATCCGCACACGAAGCGGCAACGGAGGCGGATGGCTTTCGCAGGATGCAGGATGCACTGGCCGCATCCGAGGGTAAAGGTCTTAAGGGACATAAAAGAGCGGCGAGGTCTACGGGTTACCGCACCTTATTCTGCCTGAGTTCTGCCCATCCGAGTCACGTTCGCCATTATGGCTATCGAATCTATGGCTCGCCTCATGCCCGATTTCAGCGGCATATTCATCGACGCTGGTCGTTTCGAACTGGTACGACTCCTCGGCGCTGGCGGCTGTGGAGTCGTGTACCTCGCCATCGATCACCACGCCTCGACCTCCTCCTCGAGCGCAACTCCCGTTCATCGGGCGATCAAAATCGTCCGCAAAGTCGGCAGGCCCGATATCGAGTACCAGAAGCGGGAAATCGCCCTACACCGGCTCGTTTCAGACATCCCACACGTCCTCACGCTGCACGACGCCTTCGAGGACGAGTACTACTTCTACCTCGTCATGGAATACTGCGAGAGCGACATGTACAAGGTCCTGTTCGAGGGCCGGATGTACCACGAGAACGACGAGCTGGTCCGCTCCGCGTTCTTGCAGATCTTGGATGCGGTGCAGGCGTGCCACCGGAGACGGGTGTTCCATCGTGACCTAAAGCCCGAGAACATCCTCTGCAACGCGGACGGGAGCGAGATCTACGTAGCCGACTTCGGGCTTGCGACGCAGAACTCGCGGAGCGCCACGTTCGGCTGCGGTAGCGCGCCCTATCTCAGCCCTGGTAAGTATGATTGTCGGTCTGCTGAGAGATTGAGTGCTCACCGGAGAGTAGAGAGCGTTGGTCTGGAGTTCAGCTACCGGCCGTACTCTACGAAACGCGCGGACGTCTGGGCACTGGGAATCATCCTCGTCAACATGATCACTGGCCTCGGCCCTTGGGAGAAGGCCGTGACAGAGGATCCCCGCTTCTGCGAGCACCTCCTCGACGGTGGCTACCTGGAGCGCGTCATCCCAGCCTCGCAGGGTGCCATCCAGATCCTAAAGAGAGTATTCAGGATCAACCCGCAGTCGCGCCCTAGCCTGGAGCAGCTACGCAGGAGCATCCTCAACCTCGACACCTTCTTTCCACCAAGGAAGGAGGTCATCTATACGACGTCATCAGTATCGTCGCCAGTTCCAGGCAAGGAGCCCACGCCGGAAATTGAAGCGGCAGACGTCGAGGCCGAGGTGGTGGCCGAGGTCGAAGAAGAGGAGGTCCGGGCGAGCAGTCCAGAACGATTCTACTCGTTTGATGAGGAGGAGGACCAGTCCTACCTGGACATCATAGCCATTGACGAGTTGACGGATTGCGATTCCGAGTCGACGTCTACCGACGAGAGCGGCCCCGTCACGCCCAATAGCTTCCCTGACCCCGTGGACGAGTTAGCGTTCGCAGAGGGCTTGGAAAAGGCACTCCTTCCCCTGACGGATGCGAGGAAGCTGGTTGAGCAAGCTGCTGCAGAGTTCAGCATCGTTGAGTGCTTGGATTTACTGGACTTCGAATAGCCTCGTTGGCGACGTTCGATGGTTCTGCGGGGACAGCGTGTCGTCTCCTACTTTATGGGACGAGGGAGACACGCGGAGAAGTGGAGAGAAACCATAACAGTACGCTGCGCGTACCAAATGGACTTGGACACTATGGATCCGGACGTTGTACCTTGACGATATTACGGACGCTGTGCCAATGGACTTCACAATGTAACAGTGACATATCTAAAAGAAGCCATGGACACTTCAGATTTGTACTAGTATACTTTCAATGATCGTAAAGAAAGCCCGAACATACCATCTCGTATGGGCGGTCTGACTCTGACGTTGAATGAGGCTCTGAAGCCACACGGCGGGGCAAGGGGTCTGTTGGGCTATGTGTCGTCGAGTGTAGATGGTATAATTCAACCAAGATACATAGATCGGCGTATACAAGCGACCAGTACAATGGTGCCCGGTATTCGTTGTTTCTCAGTTTGTGTTCGAGTCGAAGTGGTGGTGGATTTCCAGACGCCGGCCCGCTGCGATCTGGACAGCCGTCCGCGTGACGAGGTAACGTGTTACGGCTGTCACGCTTCCATGAGTGTCGCCACGGTGCTCTTCCACCGCGTTTTGCACGCTGCCACCAACGCTGCCTCAACCCGCTCCTTGTTCCCTCCTCCCACGTCCCAGGCAGTTTCGCAGTCGTAGCGGTCCCTAGTCATGCCTAGTAGCTCATCGTCGGCGTCGAGCTCGATATCCATCCCCGCGAGCGCACCGGCCGGCGGTCTCACCATCACACAACCGCCGCAGACGGCGACGTCCTACTACAAGATCGCGCCGTCGAACAACGTCACCTTCGCGTGGAACTTCACCAGCCTCCTCGTCACGCCGACATCGCTCACCGTCTCTGCCATATGCGAAAACGGGAACACCTACCCCGTGGGACCGACGGACGGCATCATTCCCGGAACTGCGACGCAGGTCGTCTGGGATCTGTGGGCGTATAACCAAGCGAATCCAGCGACGCCGCTAGCACCCACATCGTACACACTCGAGATTTGGGGAGATCGGGGGAGGAACGCGCTCGCGACGGCAGGGCAGCTGTCGTCGAATACAAATCTCAAGTTTGCGCTGTACTCGCCGGCATCCTACACTCCACTAGCAAGTAAGTTATTCCCACATTTCCTCGAAGTCGCCAGACCATAGTACGCGTGGTCTGTTGACTTCGATTTGTCACTTGGATTTCATTGACACGCACGGTCATGTAGGTTGGACATGCCCAGGCTGCAATGTCAACGGCGCACTATCAGACTATGTTGCGCACCCCGCCTTCGCCAGTCTCGTCGTGACCGTCCTCATCATGTTCCTCTCGGGGTACTCGCTCATCCGACAAGCACTCCACTAGTTTTCCGGCGGACGCTAGTATGGACCACGAGAGTAGACGGGATCCATGGGGACCTTCCTTGTACGACTCGACGTACGATTTTGTTTGCATTGACACTGGTTTGAACGGACTTTCCATCTATGGGGTACACTTGTGACGCTACGCTACGATACTGCTTACACCTCCTTTTCCCCTCTCGTTGCACGGACTTAGCTTATGACACATCGCATTTGCAGCACGCTGCTTTGTAATGGAGCGCGTATGGACGGACTTGCGCGGTCTGCATCTGGTTGACATTGAGCACTGCTCCAGCGCGATACGACGCTAGCACGACTGGTGAGTCCCAGTACAACCATCCGGTGATACGTCAGTTGAAGATATCGGGCGTTCATTCTGATAGGCTATGCTAGCGTTGAACGCTTTTGCTTCTCATTATTGGGACTTGGTGCTGCCTACGACTACGCGAGAGCATTGTAAGAGATGACCAACGCAAGTGGCGAGACGGGGACAATCCCAGTCCAATCTGAACGCCTGTCACGAGCGCTCGTGTGTTTTCAACGTTCATGTCCATGTGCACCACTCACTGAATTTATCTGGGCCAATCCCGACTCTCCGCTTTGCGTGCACTGTGAACGATACGAACAGCCAGGCTTAGGGTCTGCATATGTAGGAGATGCTCAGCAGTCGAGCACCTCTCTGAAGGTACGTCGGCATTTGATACAACATATTGTGAATCGCTCATGTCTTGGTACAATGGTAGCAGCGCGTGGTCGTTCAGACTCATGGCCCATTTCAATCCGAATTTCCATGACATGCGCCATACACGTTACAAGCCTGCACCGCTGTGTTGACACGTCGATTGGAAACGCAACCTAGTGATCTAGTACAGGTAACAGCATGGCGTTCGAGCTTCCATGAGGAGCTACTCGTGTTATGACCACATCTGAACAGTGCAGGTGGTAATCCAGTGGACGTAGGCTATCCACTGAGCGGTCGTCTGCAACGTGCGCGTTATACTTGTCGTGCAGCGCTGTTAACTGTGCCCGAGTTTGCAGTGCTTATGCATCCCGGGTGCTATGGATCCTGCGGAGCTCTACGCCCATTGGCCCCCGAAAGCCACATAAGTACTCGTTACATGAGGTTACGTGGCTCGTATGGCTTCATCAAAGTTGATCACAGCGACTTTGACCGGTCGCTTACGCTGGCAGCCACCATATGCAGATGCTGCTGGCACATGTGCACCTCCATGGTCGCATCATCTGCTGCCCGACCCACGAAGCTTGATGGCACTGTCACTCTCGGATCAGCCACCAGATATGTCGCTACTCATGGGAGGATCGCCTTCCAGGCTGCAGTCTGCAGGCCATCGATCGAGCCACATCCTGCAGGTACGTCTGGTACGAGAACCAGTATTCTATCTCTGGGTGCACATCTGACTCGTTCTACAACGTTAGATGTAGACCCGTGCGTGCTATCACTCCGGGCACTGCTTCAGGCTCGGATATGGAAGGTCGTTGATGCTTCTCTCTCCCTGCTTCGATCGAGGGCTCAATGGGGCCCTAACCGCCCTAGTCCCCGTCCGTCTCGGTTTCTCAGCCATCGCCTCACTTCCCGCAGAGTCTGATGAGTCTCTGCGGACACCGGCCTCGTCTTGGCAGACAACCCCTGTCTATATATACAATGTTCCCTCCGCCTTCCGTCCCTTCTTTTCCCATTGCTATCCTAGACTCAACTCCCGTTGACCCGGGCCCAACTGATTGTGCCTGCCACAGCTACGGCTACTTCACCCATGAAACGGCGCCGTGCTCCCTCCGACTCTGTTCTGCATTCCAACTGGCTTTCCCCACGGGATCGTCCCAACCCGCTGAGCGGTGGACGTGCAAGACCCTCGCAAGCGAAGACCCTACCGGACACGATGGCTTGGAAGCGCTTGTTCTCATTCAGAACGACTGCAACTCCAGTCCATACCCCTACTCCGTCACTCGAATCAACAGGCATTGCCCTGTCCGAGCTTTCTCCCCCAGCTCCCCCCTCGACCTCCGATGCCACCTCAACCTCTGCGAGTACGACCAACACGTCCTTCAGCCTTGGTACAGAGGTGCAAAGCTTGAGCGACAGTAACACTTCAGGGCCCAGTGCACAGCCTGGAACTGGGTCCTCGAAGACGTCTGTGGAAAGTCCCAGGCCACGTTCGCTCGACCTCTCCCCCTACGGCTCTGAGAGGGCGCAGACCCGGTCGAGCTACAGCGCTGAGAGTCTTCTCCTCTTCAAAAATCCAGAAGGCTCCCGATCTACTCTCTCCCTCCCCTTCTCCTACCGTTCCATGCACGAAGCAAGACTGCGGAGCCCGGTCGCAGTGGCAACGACGTCGAAGAGCGCGGACACACTGCCTCGTCCGCCGCACAAGGCGCGTCCCAAGCGACGGGAGTTTACCTCATACCCTTACTTCGTGACGCCGCTCGCCTTCGCTTCCATGAATCCCTACATCATGCCGCCGACCCCGCCCTCGTCGCCGCAGAACACCAAACCCAAAAAGACGCTCCTGCTCCCAGCTCCCCCAGACCCAGTCCTGGCTGAGGGTATCCCTCCGCGCGACACAGCTCTTCGCAGGGTCTCCATCGAGGCCACATCCAGCCCTGCCGAAGATGAGGTCGAAGTACCAACATCGCCGCCTACATTGATCTTCAAGAAGATCACAGGCTCGCCCAGGCGGCTCTTCTCCCGACCATCCATCGACGAACTCACGGCATCATCCACACCAGCCGCACCTGTTCGCCGACACTCCGAGGATCGCCCCAGTCCGACAGCTGCCCATCATCCTCGTATCGACGCTGGTCACGGAACTCCAGCCGGCGATGCCGTCCCACGCACCGTTACGACGCTCCCGTCGAGTGCAGCCACGGAGAGGGAGCGAAGGCTCCATATCGCCGTTACCAAGGTCAAATTGGATAAAGAGGTGCGCGAAGAGCGCGACGTGGGTGACGTCCTGCCCAAATTGCGAATGCTCCGGGCTCGGTGATCCCACGACTGCGGAGGACGGTCCCCAAGCTTGGATACAGAGCTCGTCCGCTCGTCCGTCCTGATTGATGGACTCCATCGTGTCGTGATAGATGCCTCTGTTAACGGGATCTGTGCTGCGTTCAGCTCTTCTACTGATCACGATGAACATGTTCCCGGAGTAGGTGCATTAGCTGAGCGGCTTGCCCTGCTTTGGTTGTCTCGGGCCTACTGCTACTATGTACCATTCTTGACCTTGCCATTGCCTCGGCCGTTATTTAGTCGCGCTCTGTACCACCACTTCATCCGGACAATACTGTAGTCTTAGCCCCCGCTCCCTCTGTAAGACATATTTTCACTCTCAAAACTCCCGCTCATCTCGCTCTGACGGCATTCAGAGGTGCTTGTACAAATACAAATGGCAAATCAAGGGCATGGTGGTCATATATTCTAGGATGTGCTGCATGATACGATGGACTTCGTAAGACGTGATAGACTGTCCGATAGAAGACGATGCGATGATATGGAGTTGTCCGACGTTCGCGCCACCGCCGCCTACACGCAGCATCGTCCGCTCCAGCACGCCAGCCGCACAATGACGATATGGAACACGGCAAGCATCAACGTGAACGACATGCTATCGAACCAGGTGTCCGCAACAGCGATGCCGAGAATGAACGTCGTGAACAGCAGATGCGGATGTGCGTCAGGACACATGCGGGTCATGCTCCACACCTACACGTACATGATAGCGAAATTTCGGTTCGTTAGAGACGTCATGGCGGGGTGGAGGCTGGAAAGTCACCTTGAGCATGAGTACGCATGACTTGACTGTCCTTGGCCACATCACGCGTGGGATCCGCACATGGATCTGTCGCCCGCCAACGTGAATTGTTCGTGCCCACACCCCGCTGGTGTTGAAGGCCAGTGAAGGTACGTTGAATGCTCGCTTCTTCTCCTCAACGTGGGCAGGCTTCGGCGACCTCTTCGCACTCGCGTCGAGTTCCGCGGAGACACGAACATCTAGTTCCGGCGTCTGTGGTGTTGACTCGACGAACGAGGTCGCGGCGTCGAACACTCGGCGGATGGGGATGGGAATGGGAACAAGTGAGTTGCTCCGCGGAGTGCCTTCCTCACGAAGAGGATCGAGCTGTTGGACATGAATATGCTAACCACACGGATGAATGACTTTGTACTCGCCCTACCCTCGCGAATCGCGCCAAGCACTCGTTCAGAAGAGGGCCGTATAGACGGGCTGATGTTGAGAAGTCCTTCGAGGAGGACGAGATAGGCGCGTGGCAGCCGTCTTGACTCAAATGCTGTCATGAGGGAACCAGAGGATTTGAAGCTGGTTCAATATCAATATCGCACTCACGCCCTAGCAGACGACTGCGTACCCAGCATACGTCTGAACCTCATGTTCAAGCTGATCCGGCGCCTCCCTTCCGCTGCGAGTGTTGTCTGACGAGTTTGCGTAGGGAAGCCTAAAGAATAGCAACTTGTGCAGGATCATCCCGACAGACCACATGTCTGATTTAGAGTCGACCTGCAGCAACTCGCCGGTCGGCGAAGGGAGCGACTCAGGAGACGAATACTCGAGGCTGATCGCAGCTTCAGTCGCATGATGTATTATATGAGAGAGCACAATGGACTTACGTTCCAGTGTTGCCAGATCGTGCTCGAGCTTTCAGCATGTCCTGCGATGTACCGAAGTCGGAGAGCATTGCGCGAGGGCTGCGTAATGTTAGCACAGTGACAACAGAAACAAGGGGAACAACGCACATCAGTCGGCCCTCATCCCATGTCAGTAGCACATTGCCTGGCTTCAGGTCAAGGTGTAGGATCGATTTCTCATGCTGCAGTGGCCATGAGCCAAAGGAGAGGTTTATGCGACGCCAGAGCACGCACCAAGAACGCAAGACCTGACACTACGTCCCCGAACAGGCTCTTCACTTCCTCCGCACTTAACAGGTGCACCGCTTTCCAGTTCGCAGGTCCCTTGGTCCCTGCTAGACCATCCGCTGCCAACCCGAGTTCACGCTTCAATCGTTCGCGCTCTGTGGGAGATGCCCGCTGCAGCGCACGAAATGCCTTGATACGCGCCGAGCGCGAGTTCGGATTCGGCGAGGGCGGTGCCTCGGGGGCAGGGGACGCGCTGGGTGACGATGAAGCGCTCATCGTGGCGGCATGCGGGAGGTTCGTGGCACTACGGCCGAGCCGGGCGTCGATGAAGTCGTCGAGGCTCCCGCCTTCTGCCCATTGCATCAGCACGCTGGACACGTAGTTAGTCGTTCATGACGAGAGATATAACAAGACACGGCGCGGGGATCCAGTGCGCAGAACATCCTGCTCAATATGAAGCCGCGGGCCCTGTCACGATACAATACTATGGGCGCGACGCTATTCATAGAGACCAGAATGTTCTCTGGATCCCGGCGCGTGACTTCTGAATGAATCTGGACTTACTGCAACGTGGGCACTTGCGGACCGAACGAAGAGAACTGGCAAGTCTCGAGCCACGCATGATGATAGGTAATGATGTTCGGGTGATGCAGACGTTCCAAGAGCCGGACCTAGATGACGTCAGACAGAAGACCGTAGCTGCGAATGGTGAACTCCCCACCTCGCGCAGGATGTTCAGCAGGTATGAGTGAGACTGGCCTACTGCGATCTTCTTCACTGCGAAATGCCCTATTCCCGCTATGAGTTGTGAATGACGAGGTCGTCAATATGATGCAACACACCAAGCGAATTGCCGTCCAACATGTGCTGAAGAGCATTATGGACCTACGTTTGCCCCTGGACCAAGAATCGAAGGGGAGACGAGAGACGCACCTGGCATAAGAACACAGAGCCGTTCGCGCCCATGCCGAGCCTGCACTCCTCCTTGAAGAACGCCTTGAAGTAACCCTCTGCCATATTCTCCGGATTGAACGCACCCGAGCCTGAACCGTTAGCGCTCCCGCTTGGGATCGTCCTCGCCGTACGCCCAGTCCCCGGCCGTGATGCGGTTTCATTCGCAATCTGCAACAACTGAAAGTAGTTCGCCGCCCGGCTGCGCGGGCGTGAATGAGCAATATCGTCGTCTACATCCAGATCAAGTTCGCTGTCCATGTCACTTTCATCACCGTGCTGCTCCGGGTGGACTTCGGTGGGTAGGGTTCGATGACAAAACGGACAGCGATTACCTGCGTGGCGTTGAACGAGGCCGGAGCTGGTGTCTCTGGGGTGTTTGTGGATGGAGAGGGCATGCGAAGTCGGGTTATACAATACGACCTGGTTCGAGAGGTGGAGAATGGGTCGCCATTCGGGATCGAACGAGGCGAGGGCGACGAGCGCGTTCACTGGGGAGGGCGGCTGGCTTTCGTCGTACATGCTCGAGAGTGCTTGCGCCCTTTGGCGATTCACTGAAAGAAGGGAAGAATACTAGTACCTGTACGGAGATGTCGTGAGCACTGAGCAGACTCGGAGCAGGAACAGTCCTCGGTTAAGTAACACCGCGCACCTCCAGCACTCGCAGCGTGTGATGGGCGTGTCGCACAGCTACAAGAAGTCCAAACGACCTCGTGTCATGGTAGAAGTGGATGTAAGTGGTTATTTAAAGTCGTTGAGGCGCCTGCAGGCGGGGCGTGGCTGAGAAAGGTCACCTGCACGTCCCACGCTCGGTACTCTTCAGCTCAAATTCCTCTCGATTATAATACAGCAAAGTCTTGCTGCTTCAGTCGATGTTACTGTCATGAACGGTGTACACACTACGTGATCGCGAGTGGATCTTCAGTCCTATCCGAACGAGGGTTGTCAGTGCTTCAAGTTGTCAGTGAGCAGTGAGCGCACAACGCGGTAGATGGAGGGCGCAGATGAGTGACATGTTCACGGAAGCAGGTCCTGTTCGTCGTATATATATACCGGACAAATGGATTTACAGGAGAGGAGCTACCACAGAAGCCACTGCGGGGCTTTTGAAGGGACACGAAAGAGCTTGACCTCTAACGGATTAGGCAGGTGCCCTTCCTTAAGAGGAAGCTGCTGTATGTCAAAAATCGTGTCCGAAGATGTCGGGCCAAGGGCGGGCGATCACCGATCGGGGCTTCAGCGCGTAAGTACCTCCCCTCATTTGTCGGGAGTCCTCGATACTTGCTTGCGCGACCTGACCGAGGCTCAGCGCTCAACTAGGGCGCAATACAATGTTCTTGTAAAATTCTAGTCCGTACGACAAGACAACATTCGTCGATAGCGTCCGAGATCTATGCAGAGACGCATCCCACCTACGATATTGGGACTGTGCGACACTAATGGACTCGAAGTGGGCGTTCCTACTGTGAGATAAAGTCCGAGTCCGTGTGCTCAAAATTCAATCTGATATGCAAGATGGTGAGAAAAGCGTTCAAGGAGTTATGACCCAATCGTCTGTGCTTCCCCTTCAAGTTCAACGATCAAAGTCTTCCATGAAGCTTGAGCCTGCTAACGTCGACGGCCGCGAGGCGAACCTCTCCCTGCACATCGTCAGAGAATTGTCTCAGCAGGCTGTAAGGATGCTAATGTAGCGAGTTTGCATCAAACGTACCTTCGTGTTGGCGTCTCCAGAGAGGAGGACCTCATGGAACGGTCCTCGAGAGATATGTCGGCGCCACCCCATGTACTGGGAATCGTCGGCGTGCCTATCTGTGTAATGTGTTTTCGCGCATTCCACCTGTGACGATTACACGGAGTCAGCGTCCCTCTTGCACGGAGGGGAAATGAAGCGAACATGGCAAGAAGAGAGTTGACGTAGACTGTGGTCTCATGTCTCAGTGTGCATCGACGTAGGTTTAGTATGTAGAGACCGTACGTGTACTTGCCGGGATGTAGAATATCATAGAATACAACGTATCATTTCGTGAATCGACAAGGAACTGGTTTTGTGTGAGTTAGGCACAATAGTGTATCCTCGATGCTGACTGCTCACGAGGGCGAATGCCAGGACTTGTGCGACACTGAATCACCGAACGTGGGGTCAGGGGACAACCTAAATGAGATACTCATCTTATAGAGTCGTACTCACGATGTGCAAAACCCCCGGGTTATCGCGTAGCTGATGAGCTTTGTCACTATGGTGTCAGAGCTATGTTGCCGAAGCGCACGATCAGTGACAGGCGTTACGACGTTGATGCTGTCAATCCGAGGATGCGTACCGTTTGTGACCTGTCCTGGCGTCGTGTAAATGATAGCACAACCACACGGTGATGTAGATGTCGACGATCGCAGAACATCCAGGACGGATCGACCCAGCTAGCTGAGGGGAGAGTCAGCAGTGCTGTCGGAGACTCCAGTGCCAGCACATGGCACTTGCCTTGGCTTTCGACAACGCCATGTCCATCCCATCAGCCATGCGACTGCCAGCGAAGTAGTCCGCCACCAGTCAGGCTGTTATGTTCATTGGTCGAAGTATAGGGTACGCACATTTGCATAGCGCCAACTGTGACAAACAAGTCAAGAGCTGCAGGAAACACCGCTTTTGCAGAGAAACATACCTAATCCAGCGACTAGAACCAGTGGCCTTGAGAGAGTCATTGTAATGCATAACAGAAGAATCACATACTGAGCGACACTACGGTCAATAGTAGCTGTTCAAGGCGGTTAGGAACGCGAGATTCGCAGGGTCAATCAGTGATCGCACACACCGGCGGAAGCATGAAGAGTACCCAATGCCTGTGATGTTGCGACTCCTTGAGGACTGACTGCTGTCGAATTCAATGAGCACATATCCAGCGTGACACGCACTCACATCTCCATATGGTGTGTAGATAGCAGCTACCGTGATGACAGCCGGCATCACTATTGCATCGGACGAACAACAGAGTAGTAAACCTACCATTGTATTATGAAGATGGTACTGCACTAAGATGAAACACAATGTCAGTGTCACAGTAGTGACTCGACGCGGGAAACCGTACGGAAAGGACGAACTCGCCCTGGTGAGTTGCGTGTCAGATTGAATGATCTCGACGTAAGGACGACGCGTACCGGTAGAATGCTGCAGTTGCGTGCCACTGAGCGAAGCTCCAATAGTGCTGAAAGGATGCGGTCTAGGTGATGCTCACCCTGGTAATCTTGCCAACAATGCAAAGGCATCTCCATGGGTCCAAACCAAGAACTCCCAGCCGCACTAGCAAGTTGATAGGTGAATGTATGTTATTCACTATGCAAACGACCTACAATCATATCCACTATCGTTTTGCCCGTGTCCAAGATCCTGCTCATGAATATCAACTACGTCCGACTTGACGATGGATGCCGTACTGACCAGATGAGTATTACCTGCAGGGCCGAGATCAGTCTTCATTGACCGAGGCAGGCATTGAAGGGACTCTCACAATGATCGTAATGTATCTATGGTCGGTGAAACCGTAGTGAGTGATGTAGTACAGGACTTGGCCGCACGTGCAGCCGTACAGCCTATGTTTCGGTCCTATAGTGGTTAATAGCGACGAGACAGGAGGATTCGCCAGACTCACATCAACGAGAATAATCCCACGAAGAATATGCAGCCCAAACTTCCATCAAGTTCCAGCTTGGGTTCGGTCATCGTGGTTCACGTGGAGATGGGCTACAAGCTCAAGAGTTGGAAGACGAGGATTCCCGTAGTCTGCGCGACGGCCAACGCTTGGAAATCAGCAGGGCATTTATACATAAGCAGACTGGCCACTGACCTTGCTGATCGTCATATGCAAGAGAGCCACAGGTAGTTGCCGCCGGGTCCCACCAGGACACATCGCCACAAGGCGTTGCCTTTTTCTGGTGATCTAGTTGTCAGTGGAATACCAAATTCGAGCTAGCTTCTACAAGTTCTATATGATCAAGAGTACCACACCTGTCGTCTCATCGAGCGGGCACCACTCTTTACAACCTCGATACAGAGGGCCTCGCCGTGTATGCTCAGGTGTAATAATGCTACATACGATTCAGCTCTTGTGTTCAGCTCGCGAATGCAACATCGTAGTGTTATTGCAGTAGAGGTTTAGGCGTTGACCTGAAGAGTCAGCATCATCTACATGGCGTATGTCAGTCGACGATCAGGCAACAACGAGTGTCAGTGACCGTACCTCGACACGGCGGAGATCATCGCCGGGATTTTGCATGTCCAATTCCATCATATGGAGACGCATGCACCACTGCAATTTGACCTACACGATCAAGAAGCACGTCGCATCCCATGAAGGAAGCGGCGAGACGTCCAATCCTCCGGTTCAAGAGACACAGCAGGTACGTGCGACCAGTGCATGTTCGACGTCGACGCCAGCTGGCGAACACGCATTGCGTGGTCGATCACGCCATGAGAAGGTCAGTGTGGACAGTCTGTCATGCAGCGCGTGGCCGTGTCTCGCATTTCTTTGAAACACACCTGACTGACACTGTTCGAGGCGCGGGGGACGGGGGGCAAATGCTTGCGTGACGGCCTCGATTCCCTAAACGCCGATTGAGGTCAATCAATGTGTGGAATCCATGTCAATCAATTGGAACACATAATAATGCGACGTATTGCTCACCTTCACTGTACATACATGCAAAGTACTGCCGCGGTAACCTGTCGCTCGAGTGAAATGCTACGGCACGCCGGCTGCATCACAACTCAAACGACGTAGCCGTCTCGTCGCGACGGAGACAAAAGGATGAACCTGAACATTGCGGTGAATGTTGAAGGTGCAATGCCTCGGGGCACAACCCAATGATCGCGCAGCGATCGACAGCTGCCAAAGATGATTCAGTCGGGTAAGTGTCCAGTCACTGCTGCGGTTGTTGGCAGCGAAGGTGCGCACAGCAGGTCGGCAGCTACCGGAGCCGAGGGAAGTAGAGTTGCCCTCAACGGACGTCCGGAACCGATGGTGGTATGAGGAACACTTCAGATCAAGGTCATCCGATACTCTGTCACTTAAACGAAATAGGGTCAACTGTTGTACATCTATGTATCCAGGCTAGCGTTGCAGCACAACCCGCACCATCACTCTACCACCTTAGTCCCGTTGTCTTGCTCCTCCGGGTTCCAATTCTCGTCGACCTGCTGAAGCTTGTCCTTCGCCACACCACGGACAGACTCGCCGAACTTGTTCCTGTAGAACACGATTGACTCGTCATCGTCGACGTAGATGCACTGCGTGAACGAGCGGTAGAGGGCATAGAACGTGTTCTGCGCTCGGACATGAGTGTCGGACATGCCTGTGTTGCCGACCCACGTAACGCTCACCGTCGAATCGTAGTTGTAGTCATCCTTTAGAACCTTGCGCACGCATCTAGTTATCTCCGGTTGGTGGTCTAGGCGCCGTCGTCAGTTCAGCGCTCTGGGCCCTTGTGGGAAACCTTCGCTCACAGAACGGGGCGTAGGAGAAGAAGTGGTGGGCAACATGGTCATGAGAAACCTAAAGCGCGCTGTGAGTTGACGATTACCAGAACATTGGCTCCTTCTCTCTCACGTTGTGCAGGAAGAACCTGCCGGCCCATCCGAGGAGCGGGCGGTCAACAGTAGCTGCGGCCCCACGCACCCACGACCACTCGTCTTTGCGGTAATGAGGGATTGTAGGGTCGGAATGGTGCAGGTATGTTAGCATTACTGTAGACACGTAGACGCACTGCTGTTAGAGCGGTCAACATATGGCATAGAAAGGTTCACCAACCAATCCTACGGTGTGATTGAGCAGTTTGAACCTAGTGTTATCATACAATCACATCGGATTTACTGTAGTACTCACCAGTGATTGCAGAGCTGTCAAACTCACGTCTTAGTTTGGGGCAGGGTGGAAATCAGAACCGACTGACGCACCACGTAGGGAATGAAATAGTACATGAAGACCGCCCATGCTCCATATAGGTTCGCCGCCCGTCTCAACACCAAGCCCATCCCAAGAATGCCGATGTCGGAGAGGAGTATACCAAGTCCTGAGCGAATCATGTCAAGTTCCACAACATTGATCAACACTGCGATCGTACTTTGGTCGGGACGGAAGAGTGGAGAGTACGGTGAGAAGTGATTCGTTCCCTTTGGATATCGGTTGGAGCCCGCAGCATTTATGCTAGAAAAGCGGTTATCATGGCCCGCCGCGTAGCGGATAATGTCCTGACATACGTCATATACAGCCACCAGCCCCTACGTCAGGATGCAATCAGCATGATCACTATGCAACGTACGAAGCAAGAGGAAGGACGTACATTCCCTGCATGACGAGCATTCGTCCCAACGTCAAGATAGGCGTCTCATCGAACACCTCCAAGTAGTCGACAGACTTGGCCTTCTCCTTGGGAGGGAGCGGATAATCGCTACGTTCGTAGGGCACGTAGTTCTCGTCGCGTTCAATCGATGCGACCGTTCTCTGAAGGCATGAGCTAAGCCATGAAGGAACAGGATGCTAGGCCACAGAGCTCACATGATGCGCATTGTGGCTCGCTTTCCATGCAAAGAACGGTGCCATGATGAGCTGCACGGATGTGGCGGTCTATCATCTCGACAGACTTGACTTCATGTCATACGTACTGTGTGGAAGAAGTACCCGAGTGTGTCGTTGACATATCGATTGTTGAATAGCGTTTGGTGGCCGAGCTGGTACGTGTCAACCAAGAGACTCTCGAGGAACTACAAGACGAGTAACACACCTCATGCGCTACAAACGAGCACAGCTGCCTGCTCAACAGTTGTATACCTCAGTCCATTGACTGACTTACCAATACAGAAGAAGCCCGCGAAGGAAAGACCCTGGAACCACCAATACACTAGCCAGAGCGCGGCCCGGGCAACGCGGATTTGCCACGCAGCGGACAAGGGTACGAAGCCACCGAAGTTACCCGCGAGGATGTGCTCGATCGAGAAGCCATAATAGAATATGGCGGCACAGCACACTACGTCGCGGATACAGTAGTAAGATGACAGCCACGGGTTCTTGCGCAGTAGGTGCTTTGGGACCGCATCGTGGACGTCCTTGAGAGTGATGGTCGGGGGCACAAACGGCTTCTCCAGCCTGGAGCACAAAGGTAGATGACGCAGGTGTCAGTCATGACAGTGATATTCGCGGCAGAGCCGCTACAGACGTCGAACACTTGCCGAGCTTTGTATTCAGGCCCGTGATCAAACATATCGAATGAAATGAGCAGTTGAGAAGCGAAGGGCACTCGCAGGAACAGAAGGGAGTCCCGTAGGATCCTCCGCGTAAAGAGACGTGACACCCTTAAGTAGTCGCAGCGCTGCCTGACATACAGTTTGATTTTCCTATCAAAGTGGACGCTCAACTTACACATGCCCCGTGCCAATGTGCCGATGCCCTGAGAGCAGCCCATTGATTCCGGATCGAATGCAGGATAAGAAGGAAACTCTTGCTTCGAGAACAGGCTCGGGGTGTGAACAGTGAGACCGAGATGACACCTAGCGAATGTATATGCCGTCAATTGACAGGGCATGGAGCGACACTCCGTGCACTCACAGTGACGCTCATACAGAAGAGCTAGGTCATACGGCGTAATCAATGTTCTGCGTCCTGTGGCCGTTGGAAGTGAATGTGCGAATGACTGAGCCCGACCACATCCCCGAGGTTGAAGCTTCGTTTCGGACGGCTTGCAGAAGGACCAGTGTTCGTCCGCGATAATTAGCCCCATGCATGCGCAGCGCTCCGAGGGTTTCATCCCATTTAGCCGTTAACGTTACAATGCGAGTAATGAATGAATGGAGCACTCGATCTTGCACCCTTTGGCAAAGCCTATCAGTTTTAGAAGGAAGGCACGAGCATCGATGTGAAAGCACGTCGTGCAGGATGAACGTGTCCCCGGAACCACTCTCCAAACTGGCCAGAAAAAATGCGTTTGTGAGAAGAGGAACGACGGCTATGAAGCTTCGGGCAATATGCACAGGCAACGTGCCCGGCAAGCGCCGTAATACTTCCCATAGTAGTCCGGATGAGTGGATCGCTGGACACGATCACGAGCAAACTCTGTTCGAACGCCGCATATTGAGCGAGCGACCGAATAACCCGAATGGAGAATGTAAGAGCGTAAACGTCCGACGCTCCGACAGCTGCTCGTCAGTGACTCAGTCCCCATGGGGCTCAAGCACCAAACGGTCAGCCCTTCAGGGACCGCCGGATTCACTTCTCAGCTAAGCAAAGATAGGGATGGCATGGCGGGGAACATACTATAGCTCCGTACATAGACGGTGATAAATGTTGTGAACTGTCACTGACAAGGGAGTGTGTTGCTCATGGATCAGAAGCTCGGTTGCGAAGAGTTGCTACACAGTGCGAGATGGCGCAGGTGATTGAATTAGCAGCGTATCTGCAACCCTATGAATAACTGACATACCAGTCGTGTCGATTTGGCATCGGACCCAGAAGCGAACTTGAAGTTAAGGATCCGACGCATCGTAACTTGCCAGGCTAGCCCCAACTTTCTTGGGTATAGTTGAAGAGTCTTTCATGTCGCATTTCAAAACGAATGCTTGATTGGTAGGCGGTATGTACGTGTCAGGACTTGCCGTACTTATAGAGACGTGAGGAGGAAGAACCTGACAGTGACGGCGTCAGCGGGGCGTCAAGATGTTCTCGCCGCCAAAGTGCGCGCCACCTTGTTGAATTTCTCACGACTGCACTCACGTGCTAACTACCATCTCTTGCTTCCTCCCACCACCGTCTCATAGCCTCTGTACTACCGCTCTTGCCAAACCCGTTCTCTCTCCCTGTCGCTGCCGTCGTTAGACGCGACTGGAGCACTTGCGAACATGACGACCCAGCAAGTCAACCTCTCGATGTCTCAGCTTTCGCTGAATTCTAACGGCTCGGCCAGCGAGGCGGAAGATTGGGACCGCTCCATGAATCTCGACACGCAAACTCCGCGTAATTCGGTCGCGTTTCCTGGCGGGGAGGGAGGAGAGGGGGAGGCAGCCGCGGCTCTAGGACGAGGGCAGGACGGGAAGTCCAAGCGCACGCTGAGCGAGCTGCTGAAACTCCATGCCGAGAAGGGGAAGGACGTGGCCTTCAGCCCCGAAGAAGCGAGCAGAATAGCAGAGGTCCTTGGGCAATGGGTGAGTACGCTCGATTCTGCGTACTTTTCGCGCGTTTGTCTTTCTCGGATCACCGCAAGCACCGCGTCTCTTCCCCTCCCTCACTGTGGAGGTTACCTTCTGCTAGAGGGAAGTGTAGGACAAGCGCGTTCTACACGCGCTGCTGTTCTCAACGTCGCGTCGGTCGGTACAACAGGGCGCTATACTCTCTGGACATCCTCATCAACGAGGACCAGAGCGTAGTGTCCACTCTGCAGCTCTTCAGTGGACCTGCTCTGCACGGGGCGCGCATCCGAGATATAAACCAGTGCCCATGATCGCTGTACACGCGGGCGGCTATATGCCTTCCATGGCCCCTGATAATATGCGGTCGCTTGATCCGCGACTCGCAGGATCTGACCTGGACCCTGCCTTTAGCAAGGGTTGGTACTCTCGCTGTCGTCGCGCTGACGCCGTTCGCGAGAGCACCTGGGCTGGCGATGCCCGGATGCTCCGCACCCCTCGAGCAACCATTAGTACATGCCATGTCCGGGCAATTCCTCAGCCCTTCTCAGCGGCATTCACCCATATGTCCGGACAAGAGTCAGCCCCAACCCCTCCGGATTCTATCCAGGCGTCCTCCCCAATTCGCGCGGGGGGGGGGGGTGCATCCCTTGCTATCGTACCAGCAAACCCCTGTGCAACACGCGGGATGCGGTACGTGATGCGCTGAGGAAATCCGTAATGCAAGGGATAACGCCAATGTTGATGGAGGATGAGGGGGGAGGCTCAGAGTCCTCGGTTCCCGTGTTCGATATCGATGACAATTCGCAGCCGTGTCGTGTACAAGGCGGCCCCGACGGCTGGTCACGCGCCATGGGTGCGGCAAACATCGATGCAACATGGGTCTCCCAGCGCGTTTCGCTCTGGAGAGAAGGCTATGTCTGCTAAGTTATTTATGTCCGCCTCGCTGCTTGTTGCAACGAGAATGCATATTGTCGAGCCCTACCGCGATGAGTGTACTTCGGTTTTGCCGTTTACATGTGCTCCGATGAGACGCGGTGGCGCCATTATTTATACAACAAGAGTCTTTACCTTGGTTGTACACTTGCGTGTGAAGCAGCATCATTCTGACTGTCATCCCGCAGATAAACTCAGGGCCATCACCATATGAAGGCGAAGACGACTTCTTCGCACGATCGCAAGACGATTCCGCGTTGGGAAAGCGCACGCCGTCGGCACAATTCGACGCGACGGGCAGGCCCAGAGGGCAGAGCGAAAGTGTCATTTCCCAGTCATAACCGGTGGCACTCCGACACCTGCGCGGAGAGACCGGTCTTCATGTTACCTAGAGAAAGAGCTTGGCCCCGTCATCATTGTCCCGGTGCGTCTCCAACTTTGTAGCCAACAACGCGCGTCTGACCCTTGATGTCCTAGGCCCGTCTGCGATATCCCACCACGAATGTATCACACCGCACTCACGACCCATCACGACCCTTCACGATCTGCTACGACCTCTCACGCTTTCCCGCTTTCTGCTCGCTATCTATGTCTGTATCCTCATCACAACCGCAACTGTACTCCTCGTCTTCGCTATCGAACGACTCTAATCGTTTCGTTTCTCTGTACATACTACCTATAAACAGCGAGAATCCGCTGAAACCGCCGCGTGTATTGGGGACCGTCGAAGACTCACTGCCTCCACGGTGGAGCGCAACGAGGTATGTAGGTGCAAGTCCGAAGTCAGCGATGGTGCTTCGCCACATGCGAGTAGTGGTAGTCAGTGGGACGACAGAAACAAGCGTATCGCATCGTTCGCAGTGGAGTTTATACCAGTGACGGTGAGATGTCATTAGCTTCTACTGGCTTTGTTTCTGATATAGCTCGCGTTAAGTTTCAATGACAGCGCAGTCCCGGAGCGAGGCGGGAAGCCGCAGAAGAGAACTCTCATGACTGACATTGCTTATCCGAAGCAAGGGGCGCGAAGCCAATTCGCGGCAGCGGGGTATATGGTCTTTGCAGACTGGAAGCAAGACTGGTTGGACTTCCGCTCGTGTGTGCATGATGTTCTCGTACCTCGCTCACCGTCGCGCTTGGTAAGTAGCACATTCCGCCGGCAGACCTTGCCTGATTTTGTGCAGCTATGCGAAGCAACAAGAGCGCCGCGACCGCATTTACAGTTTGTCGCCCGTGTACGGCACACCTCTGTCGGCCGCCGATAAAGACATCCTCTCGAAGCCCATCGCTGGAATTGTCTCGGGCGTCCAGAGTGGTTCCCTGCAGCCCAGCGATATTCTCCTCGCCTATGGCAAGGCCGCGCTGAAGGCGCATGCCGCGACCAACTGTTTGACCGAGGTTCTTCTCCCCGAGGCCGAGGAATGGGCGAAGAACTGCAATACCAAGGGCCCCTTAGCGGGCATGCCGGTCAGTCTGAAGGACGAAAACTCCGTCGCGGGCTTCGACGCCTCCGTGGGGTACTCCGCGTGGGTCGGCAAGAAGATGCAGAGAGATTCCGCGCTCGTGAAGGTGCTCCGCGCGGCGGGCGCGGTGCCCTATGTGAAGACGAACGTGCCGATCACGATGCTGTCGTTCGAATGTGCGAACGAGGTGTTTGGGACGACGACGAACCCGCATGGGAAGGACTTCGCGCCCGGTGGGTCGTCGGGCGGCGAGGCGGCGCTGCTTGCCTTTGGGGGCTCGAGGGTAGGCGTGGGCTCGGATGTTGCGGGTTCAGTTCGTATCCCGTCGTGTGTAGTCCATTCTGTCGCTGCACGTCTGGCGTGCTGATGGGCAGTCACTCGGTGATAGACATTACTCGGGGACGTACACGATCAAAGCGTCATCGTACCGGTTCCTCAAAACAGGCAACGCGCACACGAGTATCCCCGGGGAGGAGGGCGTGCCCGTCTCGTTCTCTCCGATGACGCGAACGCTCGAGGACCTCGAGACTTTCTGGAAGGCAATCATGAGCATGAAGCCATGGGACTACGACCACGCAGTGCTTCCCATTCCCTGGCGCAAGATCGACCTCTCCAGTCAGAAGGGCATCCGGTGGGGTGTTATGTGGGATGATGGTCAGTAATGGCATTCTGCGAATAGAGTGGTGAGGCTAACCTCTGCCGGTTAAGGTGTTGCTGCCCCTTCGCCCGCTTGCCATCGTGCATTACATACTGTCGCCAAGGCGTTGGAAGCCCATGGTCATCAAGTGATCCCCGTGTCTGTTCCCTAATGTATCAGAGTGACGTTGAGACTGACAGATGCGCCATATAGCTCTCCGCCTAGCCCGTATGAAGGTCTGAAGATCGCGGCCCAATTGCTCATGGCGGACGGTTGTAAGTATCACGTGCGACTACGTTCATGGAAACATACCTTACGGTTGTGCAGGCAAACTATGCATTGAGCCTATTCGCACCGGCGAGTTCAACGACCCCGGCGTACGCGAGGCTCTAGGGATGTTCCGCGCTCCACGCATAATCAAGAAGCTATACGCCTGGTACCTCCGCTACATCAAGCGCGACCCACTCTATGCGGGCCTGGTCGAGGCCTGGTCCGAAAAGACGGTGCCCGAATACTTGGCGCTCGTCTCCCAGCGCGAGGCGTACAGGGAGCGCTGGTTCGAGTTCATGAATGAACAAGGGTTGGATTTCATTTTGACGGTACCAAACTCGCTGCCCGCGGTACCGCACGGAGGCATGAAAGAAGGATGGAAAGCATGTGGATATACATTCCTGTGGAACCTGGTGCGTAGACCCCTGGAGTCTCTCGTTTCCCAGTCAATAACTGATGCATTCGTCAGCTGGACTACACTGGAGGAATCTTGCCTGTCACCCACGTGGACCGCGCACGCGATGCTTTAGGCGCATCCAAGGCCAGGAACGCAATCGAGGCTGGTCAAAATCGTATGTATGACGCAGACAGAATGCACGGCCTGCCCGTCGGTGTTCAGGTCGTTGGGAGGAGGCTGCAGGAAGAGAAGGTCCTCGAAGCGATGAAGATTATTCATAAGCTACTGAGCGAGGAAGGAAAGCCGTATATCCCACTCAGCATCCCTGAATAGACTACGAGTATGTCGCTACTGGTGTACAGCTACTGATATTTCCCTCATACCGCGTCCACGATATACTGAGCTGTTGGTACGAACCGCAGCATTGTGCTGATCTTGTCGTAGTCTGGGTGGATCTGAAATGTTTCGTGGATCCCTTGGGTTGTCGATTAGGCGGTATGGCTAAGTATGGTAATAATATATGATCATGTTCTGCAGCGCAAACAACTGTATTGCGCCAAATGTCTAGGCGCACAAACATTCCAAAACTGAAGCTGACTCTGAGTAGCTCTGAGTGCCTCCGATCACTGGGATCATTGAAATGATTGGATGCATATGATGACATAATGCATATACAGTACCGTCGAAGCTCTGATGCGATGGCCGGAGCACAATACGTCCTATATCCTGGGCTTTGCAAACAACAGTAGTGACCGCCTTCCGAGCCAGTGTGGATCATCTGTGGTGCGTGTATGCGCAGTGCGCACACATTCATATATCCGCGAACAACTGTGAACTACAGCTAATTCCATTTAAGTAGGCCCACGTCAAGTGCGGACACCGGGGGAGTGCGTCGGACTCGGTACCACAAACGTGATTCCATGATTTCTATCATCAACGTTTGACTGGAACTGGTACCGGTCGCATCTTCGAGAGCGAGCCAGACCGAGGTGTGTCGCTGAGGTCGACCGGCAGAACGTGCGGATCGCCCAAATACAACGTAACGGCCCGACCTCCTGCTCGTATTTTTTCGGCGACGTGTCTCGTCATATGGATCAGTTGTGAGTGACATGCAGTGGTTTCTACTACCTGCAGTGCTACTTCCTGTAGGTGCAGGTACTGCTGTTCGGCCCGTACCCTTGGCGGATTGCTTCCGATCTCACACTATATGCCAGCAGCATCCGTGACCTTGCGATTAGTATACGTCGGATGTTGGGTCTCCCGCAGTGTGGGTTGAAGCCATTCCACGTCAGAATAGAAGAGTCACAGGTCCATGCAGCCACACCATTCTGCGCAGCCCGCGGCCCGCGGCAAAATGTGAGTGCTACAGTCTTCCCAGAACCTCCGTCACGGGGCCTTTCTTTGGCAAAGCGGGGTTGTGATATTCTGACGACACGGCGATCAGGACACGGTCACCAGAGGCCATTCACAGGAACAGCCGTGGACATTGAGTGATGTAAGACGACCTTTCCCTCGTGCAACGACGTGCTTCTCGCCCACGTAAACCTGGATCACGGACCGCTCTCACCCATATAAGCCAGCAGGAAATGTGGGCTTTACCGGTGGAACACGGCCATGACACCGTTAAACCTTCGGTCCTTCTTGATTCCTGCGCTTCTAGGCGTACTGCACATCCCAGCATGTCGTGCCGTCACGACAGTATCCGTGAGTGCAACGGCAAGTCATACGATCCCCACGACCCTATGTGAGCCGTCATGCTGTGCGTTTGTAGTTGTCTAGTACTAATCGGATGTCGTCTAGACGGGCAAATGTTTGAAGTGAGTTTGTCCGCTTCAGAGACATCAACCATCCCTCATGGGTATTTATCGCCACTGCTTTGTAGGATATCAATGTGAGCATACTGCCTTCGCACACTGTAGTCCAACACTCACCTCGACGTTTAACTCCAGCACGTAAGCCCAGTGTCATAATTTCCAGCGCTATTAGCATATGCACTCAAGTATTTCGATATTCTCTGAAGAGCGGCGATGGTGGTCTATACGCAGAAAGTGAGTCCCGGTCTTCTCTATCACCCCATTAGACCAATCTTCTGATCGTGATCCAGTACTACAAAACAGGGCCTTCCAGCAGGTTACTCCTAGTGAGCGTACAGGGTAGATGCGCAGGCATCTGTGAACTTACCCAAGTGTACCAGGCGATACGAGCGCCCTGGATCCTTGGGTGGCTGTCAACGGTGCTGAGCTCGAGGTTATTGCGGATACAGACCCTGTGTCAAGCGCGCTTCCGAACTCTCTGCAAGTTTCGATACCTTCGGACGCGACGGGCTCGGTGGGCTTCAGTAATCCTGGCTACTGGGGTATCTATCTACCTCCTCCACAATGCGGAGTCATGTCTGACCGTTGTTGTAGGTATCAAGGTGGACTCGTCCTGGACCTACAATGCGTCACTCTACTATCGCTTTCCATCAGAGTCTTCTTACTCTGGTACTCTCACTGTCGGTCTTGAATCAGACACCGGAGAGGTCTTCGCGTCGAACTCCACCACCATTGACGGTTCGCAGACGTCGTGGGCGAACATTTTCCTGACGTTGACGCCCTCGAGTTCTGCTTCAAACACGAACAATAGCTTCTTCGTTGCCGTAAATGGCTCTGAGGCTGCGGGCAAAACTATCGACTTCGCCATGTTCTCGCTGTTCCCGCCCACATACAAGAATAGGCCAAACGGGATGCGTATCGATATCGCTGAGGTTTGTCGATTCAGTGGGGGTTTGACTGATTCATTGCTGATCCGTATCTGCAGACCCTTGCTGCAATGAAGCCCGCTTTCTTCCGCTTTCCGGGTGGTAACAACATTGTGCATACTGATATCAGTACTCTGACCGACATACTGACGAGGCGACTGATTATTTGCAGGAGGGCCAATCGTTTGATACACGCTGGCAGTGGAATGCGACAGTCGGTTCTCTCTTGGACAGACCGGGTCGCGTGGGTGATTGGGGATATGTGAATACGGAGTGCGTTGTACGACTAGCTCTCGGTGCGAGCGCTCATAAGATAATCGTGCATCTGCAGCGGCCTTGGTCTCCTGGAGTACTTGACATTCTTCGAAGATGTCGGTATGCAGCCGATCATGGCAGTCTGGGCAGGTTAGTATGCAACGCTCAGATATCGAACACTTCGCTTCATGTAGTCCGACAGGCTACTCCTTGGACGGAGAGAGCGAACCTGAAGATGCGCTCGCACCCTTCATTCAGCAAGCGATTGATCAGGTATGAACGTCGCCTTTCATCTCTCGCATCCTCCCGTCTCACTAACTTCTGCTCAGATTGATTTCGTCGTCGGCGACCCAAGCACCAGCGACGCAGGTGTGCACGAGATGATGTCAATAGTGTGTCTAGAAGTTGATGATCGTGCAGCTGCCTTGCGAGCCTCGTTGGGCCACCCCGAACCATTCTATCTGAAATACGTTGAAATCGGAAACGAGGTACAGATTATGACTTATATTGACGTATCCATCTAATACATCGTTTCTTTAGGACTTCTTTGCGTCGGATTCGTGAGTATGCTGTGTGATGTGTGGGTGTAGAGCGCTGATGACGATGCGTTGCAGATATACGTACAGGTGGCCGGACTTCTACGGTAATCTGAGCGCGGCATTCCCAGATTTGAGTGCGTCACTACCATCGTCTATCTGGTATGCTGTGCTGAGGTACACTAGCCTTCATCGCGACGACATATCCGTTTGATCCTGTCATCTACCCGACGCCTCCACATTACGATGTGCATGTTTACCAAACACCAGGTAAGCGTTCCAATACTTCAAAGAGATAGATTCCAACATGTTGGGATCACAGAATGGTTTGTCGAGAACGCTTTCTATTATGATAACTTTGAGGTAGGGCATGATGTCCATGCAGTATAGCTTAGGACTGACGCGGACGCTCGACGTGTAGCGGAACGGGACGACTTACTTCGAGGTGAGTTCAGCTGGTACACAGATATCCTATAGTTTGCTCACGACGCTCAGGGAGAATACGCATCGATCTCTACGAACGCCAGCAATCTCTACGGGACTTCAGCAGAGGGGCGCTTCTTGTATCCGACCATGCAGAGTTCGACGGCGGAAGCTGCCTTCATGACAGGTCTAGAGCGTAATAGTGACATCGTCTTCGCTGCATCATATGCTCCTCTACTTCAGGTACGCAGCGGTTATACTTAGGCTTGTCTCATGCGTCTGATGTGATCCTGCCGAAGCTCGTGAATGACTCACAATGGGTAAGTTTTCTAGCTGTCTGAGTACCGTTACGATTTATCTTCTTTATGTCGCAGACTCCTAACCTCGTCAGCTTTGAGTAAGTCACTCTGTTACCCTTCACTCACTTTCTGACGGCCTGGTAATCTTCTCAGCGCGGGTAAGGTATACCCTTCTACGAGCTACTACGTACAACAGGCAAGTTATGCTAATGCGCGGGATGTCAAGGTTCATGCTGACGATTGAACAGCTCTTTAGCGTGAACGTCGGCGATGAATACCTCCCTAGCACACTGCCTACGGAGAACGGCGCGCTCTACTGGACAATCTCGCGCAACTCCACTTCCAACGATGTGTTCATCAAGGTAGAACTTCGAGCAGTGCCATAGCGTCGATTCTGATCGCAGTTTAGGTCGTCAATCCGGTGTCGGACGAGCAGGACGTACTGTTCGACTTGGCCTTCACCAGTGTTGCGAGTTCTGGTACGCTGCAGCTCTTGCAGGGTAGTCAGAACGATAGCAACACGCCGGAGATAGCAGACCTGGTAACACCACATACGAGCACGATCGCTACCGGACAGACGTTCGACTATACGGCGCCGGGCTACAGCGTCAGCGTGATCACAGTCAATGCGAGTTGAGCTAGTTGTAGTGTATTAGCGATGTAGGTACAGTAGTGCTCTATGCATGCAACATCAGTCCCATGCTGAGAATGTTGAGTTCTCGTCTATATCATCCTTCGCTACATCCCCTAGGTTGAGCTCGATAGCAGGTAAGTAGAACTGCTGTTTCCACATGTCGCCAATAGTGAACTTCGTGCAGTCAAACGCCAGCCCAAGATGTGGACTGGGCGCAGGGCTGGCTCTCGGACTGTCCGGCAGGGAGGTAGTTGGGGGGATTTTAGGATAGCGGGCAGAGAAGTGGGTAAGGAGGATGTTCTCCGCGTGCATGCTTATGAAAGTCGTCAGCACCAACCCTGCAAAAAGAAACGTGACATACTCGTCGCCAATCTGCAGAGCTTGACTGAACGTGCTGTGACCTTTGGCCCTGGCCTGATCTGCCTCTTCATCTCCCATCGTGGCCTCATGGATGAGTAACGTGGGATATTGTCCGGCGTCGACAAGAGCAGCCGAAGGCATAGTGTCTGCGGAATACCTGTGTATTAACGAAGTGAGCCCGCTGAAATAATTTGTTGAGCGCGGACACGAACACTATACTCCAACCATCGCGATGTTCTATAACCGCGCCGTAGCATTTAGTCTTGTGTTCAACGTCTACAGTACGGAAGTGCTTCAGCCCGAGGGTGCTTTTGAGGTCCTCGATATACTGTCGGTTCCTAGCCCGTGTCAGCGACTTTGATTGGGTGCACATGCGCAGTATAGTAGTACCTGTGCGACGATCCGCCTTGGTGTCCATAGCCCTGGCACAGAAAGTTCGCTGAGATCATTTTTACGCCGTTACCACCATTTAGATCTAAACCGAGGTCTTCGAGGTCTTCAAGCTCTTGAAGGTACATCAAGTGAGAGGGGAGACCGATGAGGTGAAGTGGTTGGGCCGGCGCAGGGTCCATCTGCGATGTCGTGTACATCATGAACAAAGTCAGAGGTCCGCAATCAGCCGACGAACGATGGGCGAAACTCACCAGTCGACGCATAGCAAGGATCTTGCTGAGCCCCAAGTGGTGATCGCCATGCATGTGACTGACGAAGATACAACGAAGATTCCTGAGGATCTCCCAAACACCCGTTGCTCGATTTTGACCGTCATCTCCGTACATACGGGCAAGTTGCCCCCATGTACCCTCTCCCGCATCTAGCAGAATGCCCCCGTAGCCTGGGATTCTGACGAGCAAGCTGGACACTTGAAAGACGATGAGAGAATTACAGCCAGCGTAGGGACAAATTCGACGAACCGTTTCGATATGCAGTTGGCGTAGCGCTGCTCGACCCAAGAGGTATGATCTCAACATCATCACCAGGCCGTGACTTCCGCGTCAATCGCTTCTGAACTTGTTCGATCTTGCCCTTCGCCGTGCCAAAAGCATGGACCACATTCTGGGGGATTCGCACGGGCGAACCCTTCTCTACCATAGAATTGAAGATATCATTCTTGACTGCGAACGGATCGAAGCAAGGCTCCTTGACAGGCCTCATCTCAATGTGGCAATTTGCGTACAGATGGTGTACTCGAGCGGGAAGGCCAGGGATGGCTACGTGAAGAGGTGAATAGATATTAGCATATGGCAGGAGAGACGTACACACATGCCAGATCGCAGCGAGGGCGCAGTGTGTGTACTGGAAGCGGAAACATGTCCGGGTCGAGTGTACTGAGTTGGAGCTGGTTCAGTGCAGCCTTGGTGAACACCACTCGGTTGTCGCCATGTTCACGCGAGGATATGATATGCTGTACGACGTGAGCATTTGTGACGACATGTTTACACACTGACTTACGTGCGTATCTTCGGGAAAGCCTCTCATGAAGTTTTTGTAGCGTTCATCCTCCAATACACCTACACCGCACAGGTGGTACACAGCGTACACTATCGGTTCCTGCGCGCTTGCAGGCGTTGCCTTTGAGCGGAATTTGGAGTAGAAAGGATCCTGCGTGAATGACTTGACTAGCTCAGAAATATGCGAGGGCGTTGGAACGTCGAACACGAGCATGGCCTGAATGGATCTTAGTACGTAGCTTGATAATGCACTCATGAGACTCACCAGCGGGGTCTCGGATGGCCCCATACATTCCTCTGGAGCGACAGTGCGTTCAATCCTGTTGCCAGCACCGTCATCCACCGTGAATGTAATCGTCTCCCCTCTGGTAAGTCTCGACCGCTCAGCCCCATGAGGCACCTGGAGCTGCTCCGCTTTCGCGGCGTCAAATCGACCTCTTCCGGCGGGCCCAACCAAGACATAGCATAGTGAGGATTTCCCTTCCGGTCCATAGGCAAAGCGCGGAAGCCTCCATGCCCGCTCTGAACGTATGGCATTGGCCTCAGGGCACAGTGGAGCAACCGACGACGACGATTGTCGGAGCTCTAAAGGTAACGGTAGACCCGCGTTTTCGTAGCCCTGGCGCCTCTTCTTGGCCTTTAACTCTCGTTTCCGCCTCAGATATGCGTTCTCTTGTGACTCCTCCGGAGCCTTGAATGGGAACATGTTCTGGATCACCAACCTGCGCCACTCTTGTGGGTCCGATTCAAAAAGAGCGGCAAGATCGTCCGGGGCCGCTGCTGCTACCTCTGCTTCTTCGGGAGGAACATAGGGGTCCAATGGTTCCGCCGCCTCGTCCACGACTTCAGGGGCCACGTCCGCCAGAGGTGTCCGCTTTGAAGGGACGTCGGGTGAAGGCGATCGCTTACGTTTGGCGAGAACCGACGAGTCAGGCGTCAGCGCTTCGTCTGCGGAGTCGATTGTAGAGGCGTGGATAGGAAGTGCATAGACCTTGATCTTGTCGTCTGAATACACGGGCGTCGGTGTCACATCTCGAGCCACGGACGGTGGTACCTCATTGTGCTTTAACTCCATGTTCGCGCTGCGATGCAGTGTTGTGAGCTTACGTCAACTGAGAGTTAACAAGCACACGAACCGCCTTAGACATAAGCGCATTGAGGCCAGGTAGTGCAGCAGACCAGATGGACCTGTGAGGGACACTTTCTTGCTCCCGGAATCGGCGAAGAACATCAAGAGGCCTGCGTCGACTCGTCAGCATCGTCAAACAATAAACGCACAACGTCGTTAGGCTCGACGTCTCCTATTCCAAACGGCATGAGAAGGGAAACAAGCAATGACGCGTGACAGCGCCGTTTAAGGAAGAACTCTGGAACTTGGCTAACTCACCTGACAGCCCACTGGCCCGCTGCGTGTCCACCGACGTCAGGAAGATGGCCTTGGTCTTCTTCCAGCCGTGGTTGCTGTGCAGCCAAGCTCTTGAGGTGTTCTCTCCAACATTGAAGAGGTACTTTGCGTCGTCAAACGTGACCACAATACTGGGCTCCGTGTCGGCCGTGGCGGATGTTATGACTGTGGCAGACCAGTTCATGGTGATGCTGATGTCCTTGTGCTTCACGGATCGACAGTAAGGCGAGCTGGAGAATGACCGGATGCGACTAGATATACAACGTTTCGATGTGGGACATAGTGCCCAGGAGAACATGCAAGAAAGCAGACTGGTGGCTGAGGGTGGCAGAAGGAAGCAAAATATTCCCTTTGGCAGTCGGTCGTTGCCGAGCATCCCTTTTTGGCAAGCATTGAAGCAAACTCGTTGCACTTTGTTCGGACTGCCACGTCGGACTGCTGTGGCTCAAGCACACGTCCAAAATCTACACGACTGACCAACTACTAGCCTACTTGTTGTTGAGGTCGCTTTATACTTACTTATTGGAGGCTAGGTATCATCGAAACCCCTGATCTTCCGAGTCCTTCAGCTGTGCGAGTCTATCGACTCGTGTCGCCCCCTCAGGCCGTCCCCCCGTCGAAGAGGTCTTCTCGTGGTAATGCCTAGGGGAGACAATCACCGACCATTGTATTCCTTACAAGTCCCGCTGCTCGAATCGATTCAATATCAAAGTACGCGTCAATGACAGTGAGTTTTGCGCATGTTACATTTGCCTGGGTTCAAGGACTTCGTTGCAGGGCGGCCCGTGCAGGCTCAGGCGGGTCCTCCTGCCCCGCGCGCGAGCAAGAAGCCGCTCATCATCTTTCTACTCGCCGTTCTGGGGGTGCTGTGTCTCATGCATCGAATCGTGCGCACGCTCGTTGCGCGCCAGCTAGTCTCCCCAGGCAGACGTAGACAATTCCTTCAACCTTCGTGCCTCAGGATATCCTTGTCTGACGCGCCAGCAGGCGCTCGCCGAGCAGCAGAATGCAGGTCTGCTGCCACCCGATCCATCGCAATTGATGTTCGCGCGTGCGCTCTATCCTTTGAGGACGCCGCCGAGGAGCCAGCCGTCGCCGGCGACATCGCAGAGGAGCAGGGTGGTGAGACCGTCGGGTTTGTCAGGGCTCTCGCCTTCCTCTACGGCGACGAGGACCTTGCCATCAGCGTACTGGAGCGGGACGCCGGCCAACGAGCCGTAGAGCTCAGGCTTACGGATGAGCTGGCCGTCGGTGAGGTTGAAGACCCAGAGGATGGGCGAGCCCTGGCCGCGGTCGGGGATGACGATGAGGTTGCGTTCGGCGTCGATGATGGGAGCTAGCCCTTGTGGAGGGGCTTCTACGAATTCGGCGAGACGCGCTACATGGTCGAGTCGGCCGTGCGTGGCTGCAGAGCGCCTGACGTCCACGGTTGTCTTTTCGAAGGTGGTCACATATGCCCCGTGAACGTGCAACGACTCGAAGTTACGGTCGAGGTCCAGGGGCTGTTGAGCAATAGGAGACATCGGTACGGGTACTTCTGGCAAGACGATCCATGTCAGCGCTGACGATGTATGCAAGCTATCTATAGTCACTCACTGAGGCAGAGAGAACGCTGAGACGGATGGTTACAATGGGGGATCTCAGGTGTTCGCCAAGATGTTTTGTGGTCGGGCAAAGGTGGGGGGCAAAGGTGGGGGCCTCAATAGAGACAAAGTTCAATCTAAGCTCCTGTTACACAACCTTGGTGAGTTTGGGCGTTTCCATACCTAATGATCGGTACTTCGTTGTCAGGAATCTTATCTGATGATGACCCACCGAGGAGGAGGAGGAGGAGGATCTCTTCGCCGCCGGTGCTTTCAAAAGACACTGCATTAACATCCGCCCGCGAAGTAGGACGGACGGGTTCGTCTGTTCGCACCCCAAACGTACGAGGCCATAAGTTCCCACTGACCGCAAATGTTTTAGGCTTGTAGCCTCCTAAGGGCGAAGAGCTTACGAGTGGCTTCTGAGTGCTGATTCTTGATTCTTTGACATCCGTCAGGTACGGGGTGATCTATACACTACAGTCTCATAGAGCACACGCACCATTAACACACATTGATTCATGACAGCGGTTTGTGGGCATCAGCTCATGGCACATACAAGGCCCCGTTTATTCTCGGGGTTGGGTCGGATTTTGTAAAGCAAAACCTAGTCCACTGACCGGATCCAACCCGACCCATCCCCGAGCATTCAGGCCTTGACGCGGCTGCGGTTGAAAATGCGAAGTTCGAAGGTCACGTTTCAGGTTTGGACCCGCAGAAGACGTATGCTTCAGGGTACGTGCCCCGCCTGTTGATCCTATTGAGCGATGTTACATGTCGGTTGAGCCATCTAGCGCCTCGTTTCGTCTGTGTGTCGGCATGATTCACTGTCCCGCGCACACAGGTTGCCCGGGGCGTCAGTTGTTCACAACGCGGTGTATGAACACGATATGGGCATCGTCACACGTCCGGTCGGCGTCCAAGTGGGGATAGCAGGTCAACAACGACTGATGGCATGCAAAGTTTGCAAGACAATAAAAGGCAGGACGCGGCGAGGATGAACCCTAGGCCGGTCCTCCACCACTACTACTAGTACTGTAGTTCTTCCTACTATCATTCAGCTTCTCTTTACTCTTTAGGCTACTACCCACCTTGCAATCTCTCTTCTTGATATTTTCGCTTTACATCGACTTACTCGACATGCGTTTACTACCTCCTTTGTCGCCATCGTCATCTTTCTGTGCGCTTCCCTTTTAGTGTAGGCTGCCCCCGTTACTTTGGACCCCCGGGATAACGCGGAAGTCTGTGCGAAACTGACAGACTGTGACTCGTGTGGTACGTTGCCATCATCCGCTCATAATTGCTTCCACTGATGCGCCATCATAGTCAAGAAGAATATCTGCGGTTTTACGTTCGACACGCAGAAATGCGTCGCGAGAGAAGGCCACTCCGGCCTCGCCACGACTGCAGCTCAATGCAAGAAGATCTCTTCCGTAAGCGTCCGAACCGTGTTGCTTCATGGGTGATGGTTCTGATTAGTAGATGATACTAGACACCAACTGCAGGCAGCGAGGATGACGCTGCGAGAGCGAAGAGGGCAGCCGAAATTTGGATCGGCATGAAAAATCACGTTCTGATTGGACGGAACGACAAACCGACGTCTGGTCGGCACCTGACATCGACCTGGCTCCCGAAGAATCCGGACATCGCTAAGGTTATGGAGATCAATGAAGAGACGTCTCTTGCTCGGGTTCCCTTCGGTGTATGTCGCATTATAGTCATATACGGCGCGCACGGCTGACCATGTCCACGTCACAGCAAGATGGATCGAAGAGAAAGACACTGTTCATTAACGACCATGTCATGGGCCTCGTTAGCAAGAAAGAGAAGGCCTTCACGGGCAAGTACACTGAACAGATCGTCGGGGACGTCTGCAAAGCAGCGATCGAAGCATCAACTTGAATGAGGGCGGCCCGCTCGACGACGGCAGTGCAAGTGAAGCCTGGCCAGGACACTGGCTCGTTCTCTGTTAAGACGCCCTTCGGCCTCAATATTTGCGTGGTGACCAGGGCTAGCTGCTACCCGGCCGGTATCGCAAGAGCAAACGAAGCTCCAGGATCTGAATGCACACCCAAGGAAGGTACGTCTGCCAGTGATTATCAGGGCTGAATATGTACTCCCAGATCTCTGCATGTCGAACATTGTTGTGGTGATTGACAAATGACGTCTGAGTTTCCCCGCCACGCAGCGGACAACAGGTTTGGGAGTTGCGGGCAGCAATTTCTGCGATGATCCAGCATAGTAACACGAGTCCTGATCACCGCGCTGCACATGTGGTGTTGGTCCTGCATGGTTCTGCCTTAAATTTCGAGTTGCAGCACACCCTTTATCGACATTGCCTCGCCCATTGTGAGCATGAATAGACGGTGGCTGCATAGCAACTTCGACAATGAAGGCGATGGTCTGCGGCAGGTACGTCCGGCTTGCCCGATGGTTGTGATGTTCAAGCCGGAACGCACAACGAGTCGTTGACCAACGCTCGCCTCTTAGGACCGTAGTTCGTAGTAGGATGATACTCCGTGATTCCAGATGTTCGTTCAATCGCTGTCCATGCAAACCCTGATCAGCACCTTGTGCGGCAGGATCTTGACAGAGTGAATCTGACGGTTCTTCCGAACCCACGCAAACTTGCTTTACCGGGAATCGTCTACTACCACCCCGCGGACTCAGTATTCAGTGTCATCCAGTGGCGCCCACTTCAGAAAACTCCGATGAATATTGTATCTCTACCTATCATCGTAAGGTATCGTACCCGTCTAACGTACAGCCTATGATACAGAACACCCAATGCGCAATCTATACACTGGCCCCCGAAACATTCCTCAGGCCTGAGCATACCGGCTCCTCGCCCGAATCTTGTGGCCGTATCGATACAGAACGAACGGAATCGGAATCATCGCGATGCTGATGCCGCCCAGGATGGAACACGCCTGGCCGACACCCTCATTGTGGAAGAAAGCTGTTGAGAACAGCGGAAACCCAGCGCCGACGGACGCCCGGAACAAGTCGTTACCGGCAAGGACCGACGCAGCGTACTTCGGGTAGCTGCAACACATTGACGGTCAGCTCATGAGTTAACGAAGAAAAACTATTGAGAACGCACCAATCTTGCAGGTAGTTCAACCCCGCATTGAAAAGCAGGAACGTACCGATGGAGAAGAAAGAGCTGCCGATGATAGGAACGATCCACGGGATACTCGACGAGGCCGTCCAACCAAACCAAAACAGGCTGATCGGCAGGCAGAACGCTCCCACCATCGCAGGCGGCAGCCTGTCTTCCGGCGTGAAATTCTTGCCTTCCGCGAACTTGGGCTTGACACACACGATGAAGTACGGCACGTAGAGCATATACACGACGAGAGCGCCGACGAACAGTCCCTGCACCCACGCACATCAGTAGGCCCGCGAAGGACGAAGTTGTATAGTGCGTTACCATGAAGGCGAGCCCGTTCTGCCCAAGGTTGAACCCGTGCCTCTCGACGAAGACGACCTCGAAGGACTGGATGAAGATGTACAGGATCCCGTACACGAGCATGATGTACAGGTTCCAGCTCGCCACGATTGGCTCGCGGAAAGCGAGCACGAAGGGCCGGACGAGCGTCATCTTCGCCACTTCACCGAGGGTCATCTCCTCGCTCTCGATCTCGCCTTCCGACTTCAGATTCTGGTTACCGGTCAACCGGCGGAGACGGACAGCGCGGCGGTACAAGATACTGCATACACCATCAGGCTATGCATCCGTGGTTGGTGAGGGTACTCACGCTGAGGAGCTGGTCTCCGGGAGGAGCACGAATAAAAACGCCAGGGCCGCACCACTCAGCCAGAGCAAAGGCCAGATCGTCCAGCGCCATCCGTTCGCTTGCGCAGCGAAGCCACCTGATTGCAGGTAAGTACCTGCTCAACAACTGGTGTTGCTACTCACCGATCAAAGGACCCAGCACCGGACCACAAATCGCCGCCAGACCCCACAGGCCGATGACCACCGCACGGTCCTCCGGGCCCCACATGTCGGCAAGGCTTGCACCTCCTGTCGCGAGCGGCGGGCTGCCCACGAAGCCCGCGAGGAACCGCAGCGGGAGCAGCGCCCCGAGATTCTCGCACAATGCCGTCGGGACTTGGATGGCGACGAAGATCGTGAGCGTAGCGATGTACACAAAGGTTCGCCCCAGCTGCGGGATCTCGGAGAGCGGCGAGAGGAACATGGGCCCGACGCCATACCCGAGGACGAACAGCGTGAGCCCGAGCGTCGCGGCGACGTCGGAGATGCCGAACTGCTGCGCAATGAGGTCTGTCGCGGGAGAGTAAATTGCGGAGCCGATGTAGATAGCGAAGGTGATGAGGCAGATGTCGAACGTGACGAAGCAGCGTTTGGCGAAACTCCACTACGGGACGGTCAGCACGACGGAATGATGGAACAGTCATTCTTCAGGTAGAGGCAAGGCAGGGGCTTAATCCTGAGAGGTCTCATCCTCCTTCACACCGTTGTCTCATAGCCTGATGCACGCTCGAGACAGCACCATGCAGAATCACCATTCAAGAGTCTGGAACAATGCGGAGGAAGACGAGACTTACGTTCATAGGGCATTCCGGGTCATTCGGCCCATACCAGTCGACGAGGTTGGCGTTCACCTTTTCCTCCCTGACTTCGGCGGCCTGATTCTGCTGCACCTCGGGCGGCAGCATGCCCTCTTCAGGGTCGCCTTGCTTCTTGGGACGAAGACCGCTTTGCCCCGCCGCGTCCTGATTCACCAGTGTGCTGCGGTCGCTCGGCTGGGACTGGTCCGACGTCCTCGACTGGCCAGAGTTCCTCCTTCGCAGCATCCCGCCGGCCTGATCACTCACCGCCGTTCCGGAGTCGGATGGTGGCCGTGTAGATGACGACGACGGGCGCGCGGCCGACTTCTCATTCAGCGGGGCTGTTGCGGACGCTCGGGCGTACCTCTCTGGTATCTGGTAGTCATCCTTCTCCTCGGCGTACCGGAAGAGGCGTCGGCCAGAGACATAGTAGACGATTTGGCCGAGGGTGGACTCGCGTACGAGGTCGGGGACGTGCATTGTACCCTGTTATCGTCGTCCAGTCGTCGCGCGTCGTCCTTAAGAGCGGGGGCGTAGGCTGTGGGGTAGGCTGTGGGGTTGGAGGATGTTGTGCGGCGCATTGGATTTATTGGTGGCGTCGTGGCCGAGTTGGTGATTTTGCTGTCGAACGCGCGACGCTGAACTTGCTAAGGAGGCAGCGGTATGACGTCCCGCGCCCTATGGCGATTGATGTGTCGGCACGCTCCACCGTAACTGGTACTTATGTTGCCGATCGCTCTCGAGTTTCCAGCGAATGCACAAACGAGCATGATGACTTTGTTCGGTGCTACGTGGCACGTCCCCATCCTTTGTAGATGGATGAGTTTGACGGTGGTTGTGCCACGGTGAGGGCAAATGGCTGACATATTCTGATTGAACATACCGATCACAAGGCTGTACTTCGTTCATTGCACTTCACATACTGGGATGTTCCCGGAGCGACAGTTACCGACATATGTAGAGGCTAAGTGTCCGCCGGATGCCAACAGAGTGGTGCTTGAACACATTCCGGTAAGTTACGGATATCGAATTCTGTATCGCCGGCAGTATGTTAGACGGGTACGATACATACAAAAGTAGAAAGACAACATCCACCAAAGCAAACACTTCGCATGGGTGTACTTATCGCGGTTGACTGCGTTTAATTTGGCAGTGGGTGAGTGGACGCAGAAAGCAATGCTATTAATAGCCCTGGCGTTGCGATTGGCCTGGTTAACACTGCTGAGGTTACGTAAGCAGTCCTTGCCGCCTCGTCGACAACGTTCCCATCCTCGTCCTCAACGCCCTCGCTCTCCTCGTTTCCGTTTCGCCTCCCCCATACCCCCGCCATGTTCCGGCTCCCGACCCTCGTCTCTCTTTTTGCTCTTGCGGCTGCAAAGCTCGCCCAGGCTACGCCATGCGTGTCATTCGACGCCAACTTCAACCTTCTCGTGTTCGGTCTTGACGGAAAAGACTGGAATGCAGGGACTCAGGATTCTTGGTCAAGCGGTGAGTGTCTTCGCTACGAAAGCTGAGTCACTACGTGCTCTAGAGTCTCATCGTCCATCCATATGTAGGTTCTGCTACCGACATCACCACTTCCGGTCGTCCGTGAGTCTAGAGGCCTCAGACGTGTTAATGGAATTGGTCCTGACGTTGACCGTTCCTCAGATCATTCGACGCACCCAACACTACCTGCTACCTCTCCCAGTACTACAACGCTGTCTACGTCATGAACGGCGACTCCTCCGACAAGTCGGCAGTGTACATCTACGACGCCGCCAAGAAGTCATGGTCCACGCAGTCCGTCACGACCGGCAAGTTCGACCCCTCGAATTTCGTCGCTGTCCTCGACCATGACACCAACGTCTTCTATGCCATCTCGGGCACCGACCTCTATTTCCTCAACATGGGCTCGGAGACGACGGCCAACTCCTCCGCACTCTCGTGGGTCGACGTCGAGACGGACCCCTTCCCGTCCAGCTACACTGCGCCCGTCGCGGCACTTGCTCAGAACCACATCCACTTCCTCGATGTTCCGAACGTACCTGCCGGCGAGGCCAAGATCTTTGTCATTCACTGTGAGTTCCTTTTGGTGCACCTCGACGCGCATGATTAACACTTCTGCCCTAGTCTCATACTTCCAGCCCGACGCACAGTCGTATCCCGCCTCGAGCGGCAACTCCTTCCCCGCCGCGCACGGCAAGACGGCCTCGTTCTTCCAGAGCGAGGGCGTGCAGCAGGAGTTCGCGTTCATCCCCGACGATGGCTCCGCGACGTACGTGATTAACGTCGAGAACAACTCGACGACCTCGTACGCGGGCCCGACCTCCAAGGACGCGGGCTCGGTCTACGCTGCGTCGATCAGCGCGCTCGTGCAGCTCGACAGCTCCGGCAACCTCTACTTCTTCCCGTACACCGAGGGCGACGCCTCTGCGAACACAGCCGCGGCGTGGACGAAGGTCCAGGCTGTCTCGAAGGTTGCGCCCGCGAGCTCGGCCGCTGCGAGTGCGACTGGCGGCCACTCTGGCTCAGGCAGCGCGACGGGCTCCGCGGGTAGCTCGTCGTCGACCGGCACTTCGGGCAACACCAGCGGCGCTCCGGCCGCTGTCAAAGTGAGCCGTGGGTTGGCGGCTGCTGGTGTGCTGGGCATCGTTGGTTACCTACTCTAATCCCTGGACGTTGATAATACGTCAGGAACCCTCTACTAGTATGGAGTCCTCTATTGATGCACTCTATGGACCTGTTGTGACGATCGTATTGGATTCTCTCGTCTGTCTGAGTATTTCGTGGTATTCCAAAGTGAGGTCGTCGGAGGTCATATGCATGACATTGACAAGGAGGTAGGGTTTGCAGTTTAGCAGGAACACCAAGGCTTCGGGCTGCAGGCAAGCCGGCGGGAAGGCTGGACCGGACACAAACCGGACAGGGAGCCAGGTCGGGCCGAGTACGGCCCTGTACCGGCCGTGTGCAGCCAAGTCAAAAACTGGTCGACTCAGCCTAGCTCAGCCTCAGGCCGAGTCCATGGTACATGTCTTGGTGTATCTTGGTCTGTCTTGGTTTGCGCAGAGTTTTTGAGTTGTGTGCCAAGGGCGCATCTGAGATCTGTAGATAGAATGTTCCATGGCCTCGCAGACGAGGCCACGGAAGATCGATATCCAGCCAGATCTCAATGGACAGCGCCGCAAGACTACCTCTTGCTGTCCTCTGCTAATCAACCTTGATCGAAATCGTGTTGGCACGTTTAGCTGGGGTCTCTGGACTTTGACAATATGAACGCTGGTACTTTTGTTACGCTGCCGGACGTCGACTGTCCTACAACATATGAAATATCATGTCTCAGCGCCCGCCGCGTTACTAGACTCAACGTAATACTAAGTAAAGATCGATGCCATTGGATCGCGGCAGTGAGACCCTTCAACCAGTACGAACTTAGTCATGCATGGGATCCTTCTGCTGACCTACTACTGTGTTTAGGTGGTGACTGCATCTGCAGGTATACCTCCGGACAAATTCAGCGCACGTATGTTGGAACATTAGTCTATACATTATACTAGAACATGACGACACTCGTGAGGACACATCTACTGGTAGCACACATGACGGGGTGTAAGTAAGTAGGAGCATGGAGAGTCTGGTGATCCTTTTACTATGCTACAGTATCTAACCCAAGACGAGAAAGAGAACAGGAGGGATCATACATCGCGCTTGAGTTCGGGCTCGATCGACTCTTCGCCCTCGATCGTGTGGCCCCGGATGTCCTTGACCTCGACGGCGTTCTGTGCACCCGTGAGGTTGAAGTCTACTCAGGGGTCAGTACGCAAGCCACGACTGAATTTCCAAAGAAATACTCACTCTTGCAGGCGAACGACACAAGGAACGCGACGCACGCCAAGACGATGGCGGGGATGAGCATGTCGTGCATCGCCTGGCTGTACGCGGTGATAATCTTACTGCGCACGTCGGTGGGGTACGTCCGCGCGTAGGTGTACGAGCCGAGCACGTCCGCGATGACGGTCGAGTTCAGCCCCTGTTGCTCGAGCTTCTTGGGCAGGACGTTGTTCCACATCGAGCCGGCCGCGGCTTGGCCGACCACACCGCCGACCTCGGCGAAGAGGAGAACGGCCGCGGTGGCGACGGCGACGTCTGGAGCAGGAGTCAGAGGTGGGCGCGAGGGAGTAGGATGGAGACGACGTACCTTGGTGAGGAACAGCACCCTGGGCACCAACTTGGGACGCGACGGCGGCAATACCTCCACCAGCTCCCTGGATGACCTGGGTCATGACAAGAGCGGCGGTGCTGAAGTGCGAGCGAGCGTAGCTATGGTAGTAAGGACGGCGCCGTCAGAGGGGCCACGTCGGTATGTAAGTCGTTGATACTTACAACATGAGACCGACACCGATGATGCGTAGGGCAAGTCCAGCGACGAAAGACCACTTGTAGCCCATCCTTCCGCCGACAAGGGCGACGATAGCACCCCAGAGGAGGCCGAAGAACGTCAGGCAGAGCGATTCTACGGACGTTAAATGGGTCTCAGCAGTTCAGCCCAGAGGGTAACAACATACGGGCAGTGCTGTAGTAGTTCAGGTTCGTGAGGTCCCAGTCAGTGGCCACGTAGGTGAACGTGTAGAGGTAGCTCCACTAGAGGCCAGTCAGTCCGTATCCATGCCATCGTGTCATCGTGCTGCACTGACCGTGAGGTAGAACGAGACGAAGTCAAAGAAGTTAACGATACACGCCACGAGGACCGTCCGGTTCCGGAGGAGACGGAAGGGGACGATGGGGAACTTGGCGCGCTTGAGCTCCCAGTAGATGAACGCGGGCGCAGCGACGACACCACCGATGACCATCATGGCCGGGATGGCAGGATCCGTCCACGTCGTTGCTGGATATCCGGTCAGTCACGTTGTTGATATCATTCCGAGACATATGGAAGACACACTAGCATAGGATCCACCCGCAAGCACGAGTGGCAGGAAGACGAGGGTGATGGTGGCGCCGAGGAAGAACATGCCGACGAGGTCCGCCTCGATCACGAAGCTCCACGCCTTTTCGAGGAAGGTGCTCCCAGCGAGACTGTCGCGGTAGACGAGGTTTTCCTTCTTCGCGCGGTTTTGCGCCCAGAAGAGCACCGCGATAATGGGACCAATGGCGAACACGAAGCACTAAAACAGCGAGTCAGCATCTAGCTTGCAAGCCGTTCGCGAAGTGTGAAGACGTACGATGCAATAAAGACCGTAGCCCCAGCGCCAGCCGAGACGGGTGCTGGTGACGATTTGAACCTCGATCTGGGCGCCGGCGTAGAAGTTGATGAAGTACGGCACCGAGGTGAGCGCGCTGACGAGCGCCCGGTACCGCAGCGGGGTCAAATCAGCTGTGCATGCGCCGTCAGAGCTGCTCCGGAGCAACGATGCCAGGAATAACTCACCGATGACGATCTGGATGGCAATCTGAAGTCCGGAGAAGCCAATCTCGTAGATGACCAAACCCGCGCCGAGTGCACCCATGGTTTGGGCACTTGCGCAGATGATGCTGAATTGAACAGTAAGAGACGCGCGGCGTGAAGGTGGGCAGAGGTACGTACTATCCGAGGCAGTAAAAGAAGAGACATACGGCGTAGGCCTCCGCACGGCCAATGACATCGGTGATCTTTCTGTATATGCCAACGGTGAGTCACCGCATGAATTTCATGAAGTGATGTTCGACTGACGCAAAGAAGGGTTTACCGAGCGCGACTATGAAATTGTCTTAGCGATGCGGTGTAGCAAGATAGCTGAGCACTTACGCAAAATCGCCATAGCACACTGGATTGCGCTGTACCAATTGGCGTGACCGAACTCATTGGTCGCGTACGTCCCGAACTCCCAGCTAGTGTTGTTGTCCAGGCCATACATGTAACTGTGGGAGATCGAGCGTCAACAAGTGAATCCCCAATCGAAACACGGCAAATCATTGACCTGGCCAGTCCGATACCGAGCCATAGCAATGTCTTGCTGACCGGTCCCCAGACCTATCAATGGTGCGTGTGAGCTACTTGCACTGGTGCGCCGTTCATACGACCTACATTTACTGCGGCCTCGACCTTCCAGATACCGGCTTGCGTCTGCTTGACAAGCAGCGGCGTGTCATTGTCGTTGCTGTCGTACTTCGTCAACTCGTGCGCTGCGACCTGCTCGCCTGCGCCGTCACTGTTCTGATAGGACTTCTTCTCTGTGTCCGACATGGCTGCAGAGTACACGCTGCCAGTGAAGAGTAAGGACAAGAGGGACTAAGAATATCTGAGAGACAGCGTCAGTGCTTCTGCATTATGTCCCGGACTCTGTAAATTGAATCACCGAGCTAGAACTCTGTCTTGAGTCGCCCGCGGCGATAGAGAGATACTGGCTCTTTCGAAGTCGAGAAGGACAGTGATCCCGCTCCCGCGCATCCAGTGGGCTTTTATCAGATAATTTTACGAGCCGATCTGAGATCTCATCGCCTAATAGATAAGATATGCCGTCCGCCACGGACCCATCGCATGTGGCGGTGCCTGGCTCGATCGCATTTGTTCCGCCGATTCAGACGTTCATCATGGAGCGTAAGTATAAGCAGGCTATCAGTTGGCCATAAGTAAGTCATAGTATGTGCATGTGGATCCCACCGGTGCAGGCGAGTCGTTACTCACGTCGACCTTGGGGCTTCGTTCTCCGCAGTAGCTGGCCAATCGTCTGTGCATCAAGCTAAGATGATCTGCTATCCAATCAGCTCGCTTTCCGATTCACCTCGGCCGACATGATCGAAATTGCAAACAACCGTCACGCCTTGGCCACTGGGCCGCCAACCTTGGCCCAACCGTTCCTGAAATTGGGGAGCACTTGAAAGTTGACCTCAACCACAAGACTCCGAGACGCGTCATCTGCTCATCTGAAATGGACAGTGCCTCAACCGTAGATCACGACAGAATGATCCATGCAGAGTTTAGGTTTAACCGGTGAGCAACTTCATCTTCCATAAGCTTCAAGTACTTATGCTGGCGGCCTATAGATGTCCTCCAACAGGTGCCAGTGAATTTCCTCATGCCACCCTGTCCACGGATACAATTAGCATATTGTGGACCATGGGAACCGGGATTCCGTGCGCAGCTGTGGACACTCCAATCAAGTCAACTCCAGAATAATTCGCCACCACGACGCCTACTTGATATCTACTAGATATCAAGGTGTCGCATCAAATATTGTATACAAAACCTGCATTTTTCCATTGTTGGCATCGTTAAAGCAGCCCCGTCTCTGGCTGGTGCCAAAGCGACTGTGTTGCGGCCTATGCAATGACGCAGCGCGCAGGGAGTTTCGCCCGATAGTTCTCTGCATGATGCATATCAATGATGAGCGTCGTAGGGGCTGGTCACTGTGCTCACTCAGGGTCAACTGGATAGCCCTCCATGTACCATTTTGATTTCCCCCCCTGTATGTAGTTCTCGGTCAATGGTCGCCTTCCTACGCTCACTAGCTCAAGGCATTGCCGCCCATAGTCAATGTGCGAAGGATCCTTCAGCCGACAACAGTTTCTACCACGCCCCTTGATGTCTTCTCGATGTATGCCCTTGACCAGAAAGACGTGCAACGCGTGCTGCCGCGGCATGAATGTGCAGGTACACTGGGGAAGGCAGCGCCGCCGCGGCGACTGCCTGAGGTTCTGCAGGTCTGGAGTCGTGAAGGCACTGGCAGTGACGGTACGTCCAGCGAGTAAACTATGCATGTGGCTGGTCCTGAGCAATGTCAGTGTATGTGCAGCCCCGGATAGAAGTCCAGTATGTGGTACTAGGTGGTACTCGCGATATCCGAGGGTGACGGTCTAGTCTCCGTTGCATACCATAATAGCCGGCAAGCTCGTCGTGACGGTCGTCGAGGGGACGCGTGCAAGTTGGAGTGTCGTGGTAAAGTTGCATGTGATCGCGACGCGCGACGCGTTAGGATTGTTCTCACGATTGGAAAGAGACGCTGGGGCTGAGCGAAGTCCAACTTAGCCTCGACCACGACCACGGCGGCATCGGCGACGACCAAAATGACGAACAAGCACCCCACGATACCCGCGTCCGCACCGACAACTCCTGCAGTGACCCGCAAGACAGATCGACATGGCCCCGTCACTCCCCAGCGCATCTCCTACTCGGCCCAGGTCCGCTCGGTAACCTCGCCATACTCCCCAGCGACGAACCTCTCGACTCCCTACACCCCGTTCAGTCTTCGTTCAGTCTCTTCCTCCTCGAATGGCTCCAACCTTGCGACCCCCGCTTCCGCGGTCGGCCGGCGGCGTCTCAGTCTCTCGCTGTCGCCGGAGGTCAACTTCAACTCGAAAAGTCTCGCAGACATCGCAGAGAACTGGAGGACGCGTGCGAATGAAAATGGTATTAAGGTTACTTCTGGTGATGACATGCAATATGAAGGTGAGTATTCGCGCATACAGCCTGCTGCATCGACTGTTCCGCCTACCTGGGGACACCGCTTCCATGCTCTGACAGCCGGCATCGCCACATACCACCGAACGAGCGTTCAGCTGACAAAATATCAGCCATTGCCGTGCATATCTGCTGCTATATGCGCTATGATTCGGGCCTAGTAGCTGTCGTTGCGGCATTGCACCAACATCCGTGTCGCACACTGTCTCCTGCGGCATAAGCAGCATGCCAGTGCGCATACATGTCGCATGCTGCCCTAAATTGTCGGCTTTGACGCGTATGATTCGTTGCAATATTGCGAACAGCTATGAGATACGTCTTGGGAACACTGCCTTTCATGTTCAGCGGCTACCATGATGCACCTTGGAAGGCAGTTCTAGGCTTGTCTCTGCGAGGCTCGGAGGATGGATCACTCTATGCTCACGAAATTCGCTGTTCTGCGACTTCGAGGCTCGGCGTTGCGGGCGCTGAAACGAAGGCGTGGCTCCCGAATATGGGCGGCGCTTCAAGGATTTGACTGCACAAGTGCAGTGACCTATGACTCGCAGAGATAACCTGGAAACGTGTGCTGCCACGACATTCCGCACCTAGCGCCCACAGGCAGGAGATTGCAGAAGGTATTTCGTCCAAAGTTTATAAGTATGATATTGCATGTCTGCACAGTGGTACTACGAACATGGACGTCGATCCTGATGCACTTCACGCTTACTGTCGAAATGTTATCATCTCTTGTGACGCATAATCAGTTGCTGACAATGAGCTCCGCACAGCTGACGTATCAAGTCTCGACATTAGCATGCCCATGATAGATAAAGGTACGTGGTGGGTTTGTGACATGGAATGTACCGCTCACCGTACTGCGTTAGCCCTGCTGCCTGCACCTTTTCTCTCATCTCAACGTCGTGCTCGTGCATTCTCGCAGACACAGGCGCCTCTTTCTCAGATCACGGACCCAGCCCAGCTTTGTACGCCAAGTCGTGTAATCAGACAGCCAACAGTCTTGGACACCCCACCTCCCCAGCCTGGCTTCGGACTTCGTGGTAGTGTCACAGATCCCGCACGTCTACGTCGGCGCCCCACGTTCGAGCAGGTGCGTAGAGCCGAGATAGAGCTAGTAGATTCAAGATCTGATTGGTTTGTCTTTACAGACGGATCTCTTTGATATTGATGAGAACGATTATGCACCATATCCCCAGGCCTTCGTCCCTGTCGTAGCCAACCAATCTTTGCCGCTGTCCCTGACGCAGCACTTCAACCTTCAGCAAGATTTCTCCGCAATATCCGAATCAGCCCAGCTATATGAACCGTCCTTCTATCCTACGGAGCCTGAGGAACCCGAAGAGGCAACTCCATTTGCCTGCTCCGTTTGCGGCGATTCGGGTGGCACTCTCGCGGTCTTAGAACCATGCGCCCACCCGCTATGCCGTCAATGTCTTACGAGCGCGCTGAACATCGTGGGCGAGAAGGACATGGAGTGCGCTGTGTGCAAGTCTAAGGTGGACAACTTCCAGTTACACAAGGCTCCCCCTACTACTGGAGCGATACCTGGCACGTCGGGCGCAGGCAAGAAGCGCGCGGCCGCGTTCGGCCCCTCCGGTTTATCTCCGCACGATAACTCGATCCTGCAAGGCTTGTGTGACGCTACCAATCGAGTGCGCGGAAATGGTGGAATTGGTGATTACGATGATTTCATGGATCGTGCCCAAGGCTCTTCTACTCCCGTTCCCGGGTCTCGTGGAGGTCATCGAGGCACAGAGGAAAGCGTGGTGCTTCGGGTTGACAACGTTCCCTGGGTATGTTACCCGACTGCCGCAGCTATCACTCGCCCACTCAACGAGTCTTTGCTTAGGATATCACGCCTCCGGCCATTGTCACTTGGTTGAAGCACCCCGTTCAGCGCGTGCATGTCTTGCTCGATCGCAAAGGGAAGACGCTTAGCCACGCGTACGTCGAGATGGCCAACGCGGACGGCGCCAAGGCTGCTTTGCGGAGTGCTCAAAACTCGGTCCTCGGTCGTGGCAAGCGTGCCCGCGGTGTCACAGTGACCAAGAGCAGCCAAGAGGAGTTGATGAAGGCGGTGAGTGCGCTCGACACTCTGCATAGCGGCATTGGCTGAACCGCACGCCCTTGAACCACAGTTATTCCCGTCTTGGCAAGGGAACTTCGACGGCTGCCGGCCCTCCTTGTCCGGCCTGGACAACGAGCGTGTCATCTCGACGCTCCAACGTGGGCTCATCTCGGAGGCCGAGCTCAACTCCTTGCTGCACCTCATTCGCTCACCCGACGTACGTCGATGGTTATTCTTTCCACGCATGGGCATGCTCTAACGGCACCTCTTCATCCAGAGCCATTTCTTGAAAGTTCCGTCGCTCCCTTTCCACTCTTTGATTAGCATTCTTTCGAAGTTCCCATCCGACGACGATAGTCGGGTATTTTGGCCGAGCACGTTGCGAGACAAGCTGTATGGTAAGTGCCCGGCACACGTTGTCGCAACGATGTGCGCTGATCTGCTTGCTTTAGAAATTACATACTGTATGTTCGAAGCTGTCTCGGTGCCTGGTTTTCGAGTCTTCTGACGTTGTTGTAGCTGCTGTGCAGGTCCTCCTCGTCCGCAACGAAGACAATCCATTGTCTGACTGGGCCGCTCTAATAACCCAAGTGGTCCGTGCCGCAATGGATTGTCAGGGTACGTGGGAGATCGAAACCGCGAATTCGGTTGAAGTTCACGCGTACTATTTTTCAGCATTCACTTCCGACCAAATGAGCAAGCTCTCGGACATCCTAGAAGATGCACTTCCTAAATCCACCTCTTCGCCGCCTGGCCCCCGTTCGCGTTCTGAGTCTCCTATGGATCTTCAGAGTGAAGTAGAAGAAGCAATGCGACCGGCCGAGAATGAGAACCGTGGCATCCCCAGCCCAGGTCGCGGAACGTACGGTGATCTTGCGCAAGAATTCGGTGTGGAACCTCACCTGGTTGAGGCCTTGGCTCGACGGCTCTCCGCGATCCGCTAGTAGCGAATGGAGCGGCCCCCGACATGTGACATGGTTCCTTCTTCCTAACACTGCATGCATTCGCCTCGCCACCTTCTATGCACGCCTTGTTCGCATGGCTCATCAACGATCCCCACTTCCATCCGCTCTCCCAAGTCATGGGAGACGTTCTCGCCTACTCTGAAAGCTATGTTGATCATACGCCCTCGGCCTCATCGTCGCTCCCGTCCCACGCTCGCTCTGCCTCGCTCTGCCTCGCTCTGCAAACTGTTGTCGATTCCTATGGTTTTATGTTCCCGGATTGGTCCCTTCGCTCGTAATGTTGCGTGTTCTCTGAAAGATGAGCCGGATAGAACCGCCCGTAATGAACCTGCAATGACAAATCGTCGTGTATATGTGATCGTGGTCGGATCTTTCCCCGTCGGGAACTTGGGTCTCTGTCAGGCGGTAAGTGCACGAAATTTACTAGAGATCCCGGCAAGGTCTACGGGAAGTGCTAGGTCTCGAGCTATACTAGCCGCGAACCTCATCCGCCCTTCGTGACCAGCTCACGGCCTCCCGTGCAACGTATACACTAACCCGTTTTACGGCGCAACCGGCAATACAGCGAACATGTGGGGTGTTTCACAGAAGCCAGAAATCGGTAAGAGTATTCATGCGAATCTTCGTTTCATAGCTCGGTGCTCACGCGCACGAACATGCCTTCAGCCTCCGTGGCTTTGTAAGGACTCATCAGGCTCTACGTCATAAAAAACGGTGCTCCTCGACGTGCAATTGCTGCACGGGTCTGTGGAAGACCTCGGCTATGTGGTGGTCTTGCAGCACCCGGCTTTGCTTAAGGTATAAAAGCCACCGCCCTGAGTAGAGCTCCCCCTGAGTCCACGATGCTTTCGGTACTCTCGACCCTGGCAGTCACTGCCGTGCTCGTCTCGGCTCAATCTTCAATCTTCGATGTATGTCGGGAATCTTGTTGTAGCGCCTGCGATAAACTGATCTTGCTCCCCGTAGTTCCCGGAGTACCCGCCCCCAGGGGAATACGATCCGAATGAGCTATTAGCAAGTGCTGTCGGCACTCTGCCCTACGGTATCAGTGTAGCCGACCAGTCCCTCGCATCGACACCTGTGCACTACGACACTGGTTTCTTTGGTCCTCAGCTCGAGCTGGTACATGCGTACTACGACTACTGGCCAACTGTATGTGCTTCGATACCGAGCCTCTCGATCATCGAGCCTGATCAGTTTCTTCATTGGCAATGGTTCGTAGGGTGTTGGTGTAGGCAGTGATGGCATGGTCTTCACTTGCTACCCTCGTGGAAACGAGACATACACCCTTGGCCTCGTCACTGGACCCACGACCGAGGAAGCATGGCCTAAGTCAGTATGAGCCTCATCACGAGAAGACAGTTGACTGACCTTTCGTCGCAGTGAGGAATGGAACACGCCCCCGGCGTTCGAGAACGCTACCAACCCGGGATACAGTATTGTTTCCGATAAGCTGATCTTCGTGCAATCTGTGGTTGTGGACGGGTTGGACCGTGTCTGGGCGCTCGACACCGGACGCCCGCGCGTCAATGGCACCTATCTCTACGCACAGGTCCCGGGTGGCCCCAAGCTGGTTGGGTTCTACATGAACGGCACGAATTTCGCCACGTACACCTTCCCCAGCTCGGTCGTGTACTCCGACTCTTCCATCAATGACGTGAGGTTTGACTTGAGGGGCGGAGGGTATGCATACATCACGGATAGCTCACCATACCACGCTGCGTTGATTGTGGTGGATCTTGCTACCGGAGAATCTTGGAGGCACCTCGATGGGCACGCTGCTGTCAGCCCCGATCCAAACTTTGTGCCTGTCTACAACGGAGGTGAGTTTCACCAAGAAGATCGCGGGTCGATGCTGACTAGTCACTCAGTTCCTTTCTACTACCACACGCTGTTTGCCCCAAATGCTATCCAGTTCATGACTGCTGTTAGTAGCTCATTTAATTTGTCGAGTCCTGCGGTCTCACGGTTCTTCGCAGTTCGCCGCAGACGGTATTGCGCTGTCAGCAGGTGCGTAACAATGTATGCCTAGCATTTTCCGGACACTGACATCCATGTATACAAGACGGCGAGTACGTCTACGTCACGCCGCTCACGAGTCGCTACCTGTACCGTGTCCCGACGTCGTACCTCAAACAGCAGCCGTCAGGCAATAACCCGTATGCCGCCCTCCTAGCAAAAGAGGCCGTACAGGTAGTCGCCCAGTCCGGAGGCCATGCTGACGGTCTCGAAACGGACGCATCCGGATACATCTACATTGGGTCGCAGGGTGAGTCATATGTGTCATATGTGCGCAGGCGACCGGGGCTATCGCTCACCGGATGATTATAGAACACAATGCTATACATCGCTTCAACGCGACGACCGGCATTGTGGAGCCGTTCATCCGCAACCCAGTGATTCAGGTATGAACCACAGGTTCGATGTGGTTGGATCTGACGAGTAACGTCGTTTAGTGGGCCGACACCTTCTCGGTTGTCACGCTCGCAGAGGGTAACTTCCTCTACTTCACTGTCAACCAGTACGCTTCCGAGAAATTTCATGCATGATATCCTCTCTGACCGCGTTCTGCTAGGCTCTGGCTCGCACCCGACTATCAAAACGGGCAAGTATTATCCTACCTACGTGACGATCTCCCTTTCGCTGACACGTTCTCTTGTTCAGGACTGATCTGCGCACCAAGCCGTACGCAATGTACCGTGTGCCGCTGGAGACCGGTCGTGCAAACCAGACTGAGTCTGCTTGATCGTTTGTTGACGTGGTCGGACATCAGATGAACCAAGATGTATGATGAGCCGAAACGGACATAATGTGCCTTGCAATGATGCTACTTACGCTTTCGTCAAGGAATGCAGCAGCCTGTGACTATCAGTGAATTGTACACATCGGTTTAATGTCCGCGTAAGCCGTGACTATCTCCGCTATCCGCGCATCTGGGCCATGTCTACATTCCAATCTGGGCTGACTCAATGCGGACTACAACTGTGGGCTTTGTTGTAGAAGACTACTCCGCAAGGATGCATACAAAGTGTGTCGCCGCGAGCAGCTCTGGTGGGACGTCGACGTGAAGGCCAGGTGCCGTCAACAGAGTATTCGTCACCAGTCCATGACCCAGGGCGAGGACGGTCGAGACCATGCATATCCCAGCTGGCGGGTAGAATCGAAATATCAACGGATGTGCTTACAGTACGTTTGCGGTGCAGGCGGGCCACAGGACCCCTGCTTCGAAACCACACACGGATACGGATAGACGGGAATGGCTCGCAAGAGCAGCCGCCCTCCCTCATCCGCCGTACATATATAAACCTCGAGCATCGCCGGGCGAAGCAACCTTCATCCACACTATCGACCTTCACTTTCGACTTGCCGGACAAGTCTCTACCCGTACTTCATTCATTCATCACATCCATCCATATCTTTCCTGCCAGCTACTATGAAGATGCATACGGTGTGTCATTACCCCGCTTAGGTTGTGCATTCTGCTCATCCACGATCAGTCTGCGTCCATCCCGGAGATGTACGATCATGTCATAGACGATGGCCGCCTCCAATTCATTGAGAAACTCGGAGAGGGTGCATATGGTGTGGTCTATCGGGCGGTGGACTTGGACTCTCCGACGTCCTCGCGCTGCCCAGACCCCAAGCAATACGCCATCAAAGTCATGATGAAGGCGCAACCGCGGACCCGCCAGCAGAGATTCCAGCGGGGCGAGATCGCCGCCCACCGCAGGGTCTCCGCTTACCCGAACATCCTCACGCTCCACAAAGTCATTGAGGACAGCGCGTACATCTATCTCGTGATGGACTATTGCCCTGGCGGCGATTTGTTCCACCACATCACGGAGCGCAAGACGTACGGAGGGAGCACGAACCTCGTCAAGAATGTGTTCGTCCAGATCCTCGACGCCGTTCGTGCATGCCACGAGCAAGGCATAGCTCACCGCGATATAAAGCCTGACAATATCTTGTGCATGAACGAGAGCGGCTCGAGGGTCGTGCTTGCGGACTTCGGCCTCTCGACCAGCTCAGAGAGGAGCTCGACCTTCGGGTGTGGTAGCTCGTTCTACACCAGTCCTGGTGAGTGACCCTTCCGTGAGCGCAGTGGTTCCGTATGCTTAAGCGACTTGCAGAGACCAGCGGTATAGACTTCGGCTACAAGCCGTACGACGCTAAGGTCGCCGATGTCTGGTCTCTTGGTGTATTGCTCGTCAACATGATCGCTGGCCGAAACCCGTGGACGTCTGCCACGATAGAGGATCAGTGCTTCCTGCGTTCCATGACGCGGCCGGGATACTTGCAGAAGATGCTTCCGATCTCGGACGAGGCGGTCACCATACTGCAGCGGATCTTCACCTACGACCCGAAGATGCGCATAACTATCCCCGAGCTCCGGGAGGCCATCCTCAAGGTCAAGACGTTCTTCATGACCGAGCCGCAGCTCGCGAAGGGCCATCGCTTCGCCCAGATTGCCGCGAGGACCTATTTCCAAAAGTACTACTCGCTCACAGAGGAGGATTACAGGGAGATGAACGCGCTGGAGGAGGCGGAATTCGGCAGGCGAGAGAACTTGGTCGAGGCACTCGTCGTAGAGAGTCCGACGAACCACTTTAGGCTCGTCGACTGCGTCGGATCCACTGGCATGCCTTCTATGACGAACAGCGATTCGGACTCGGATGCAGAGAGCATCGGGCCCGTCACTCCCGTGCGGAACGCTGTGGAGGTAGAAGCATTGGCTGAAGTGCCACCATTGAAGGACGGAGAGGATATGGGTGTACCAGTCGTGCCCACGGTGGTCAAGAAGAGACGCGACCGTCCCTTCGAGTCTCTTGTACATTTGATGGAGCGCTTTGCCTTGTGATGTGCTTCTAAAGATATCATAATATCACATAAAAATACAATAATGTTACACTCTGTGGCGATCTGTGAGCCCACTCGACGATCAAAAAGTTAACGATAGATAGCAACTCAAGAACTACTCCGTATCAATGACTCTAGGAATGACACAACGTCATTCGCGACGGCCTCCCCATGCGAGTCACTCAACATCTTGCCCACTCGATCGTCCTCGCTAACGGCGAAGCCGCCGAGGTCTTCTATCGGGCCATCGTCGTCGTCTAGGTCGAAGGATTGAGACTGAGAATGGCTGTGAACGACTTGCGATATCCGTCGGGTGAAGTCGACATAGAAGCTCGTAAAGTCTCGTGCATGTTCAGTGAGCCTCTCAAGCTTCTGCTTGTCCGAGGTCCCGGGGAGGGTGTCCAGCAAAATACGCTGGTTGTCCGGGCAATCTCGCATGAGTAAGCCAAAGAGGACGGCCATGTGCCCACGGATTATGGACTCGACGCCATCCTCCGTCTCAGACTTGGTATGCTGCGAGTAGACGAGAGCCAGGCAGGAGAGAGCGCTGACGCGCGAGGTACAATGGCAAACTGTTGTACAAGCGCGCTTACCAGCGCATTGGAAGCTTAGCCCTGTCATCGCAAGGATATCAGTCCTGTGTCTGTGTTATTGACTCAATACTTACGTGTGGTTCGGAGAATATCCTTAGCGGCGTACGAAACCTGAGCGAGGTTAGTGAGGAGCCCGAGAGCGAGGCATTGTCGATCTAGAGACGTAGCCGCACGCTCGCCATCTGCGACCAAGTCATCGAGATCAGACTCGGCTTCCTGCTCCCGTTTCAACGGGCGATTGCCTAGTGATTGATGTCGTTGTGACTGCACGACGAGGCGTACAATCCACAATGCGAGCTGGCCATCGAGCACAGCTTGGCACCATTGAACGTCGTCATGCGTCAGGCTGATGAGGACTCGAAGCGCCGACTCCATGCAATTAGAGGCTGTGTGCAGCACATCAGCGACGTTGCAAGCCCTGGTCTAAAATATCGAAACTCACCTGCGATAGAGTGCTCCTCATGTTCTGGATCCCTCGCCACGACATCGCACACGCTGCACAAGCTCACAATCCCGGCTGCTAGACCCTCCTCGCGGTCGGAATCCAGCCGTGTGTCGGCGCTGGATCCTTGAGATTGCGAGGACCCACTGCTCGTCCATCTGCCTAGGAGATACGAGTCTAGCAGCCGCAAGCAGTTGTCCGCATGTCCGAAACTGGGAGCATCCAGGCTAGATGACGCAGATAGCGGAGAGAGGATGGGTAAGCCGGAACCGTAGACCGAGATACGAGATGGGAGTGGGGCGAGTTCGTGCTGGAAGATGCGCAGGAGAGATGAGATGTGTACGATGTCTTGACATGAGGATGGGAGAGCTGCCAGGGCGGTTGATACGAGAAGTCGGTTGGAGATCTAGAGATTTACGATTAACGAAAGGAGAGAAAGGTATGAACGATGACTGACTGTCTCATCGGGGTCGAATAAACCAGACTTCTTTTTCACTAGTTTCTCAAGCCCTGCAAGCTGAGAGACGCTGCGTTAAAAACCATGTCCCATGCTACCTTGATGGAATGACTCACCAGCGCCTTGTCTGCTCTTTGGATACCTGCTCTTCTCAGCTCAGCATCGCTAAGAGCACAAGAGATCAACCATAGAGGATCGTTAGCACGCTCGAGGCCATCCAGCATGTTATACAAGGCGGAGAGGAAGTCTGATCGCCCTACGAGATCTGTTAGGTCGCGAGTGTCTCGTGATACCAAAGCGGCATAGAATGCCAGGATAGTATCCATAACCTGCAAACAAAGTCAGCAACTAGACCGGCCGCCAGGGGATCGATCATTCAGTCGTACCTTGTCCCCGTTGCCTGCACCCGCCTCACGAAGGACCTGCCATGTTCGCTCTAGAAAGTCCGCAGCCTTGGCCTTTCTCGCGAAGTCTGGTTCGCATAACTTGGTCACAATTTCCAGCGCGCTGGACATCCGTCAGCGTCTCGGACACTCACATACTTCACCAAATGACACCCACCTCGCTCTCCGCACACTCAGGGGCGAGCTCGCCTCGAGCCCCTCGAACAGGTATCCGACGTCGTCCAAGAAGCGTCGACTCTCGCCCTTACTCCGCAGCTCCGTGATACTCTTCAGGTCGTTCATCATCCCGTTCGGTAGCGGGACGGGCGGGGCTTCTACCAGCTTGCCCTTGCCCTTCCGTTTGCCCGGACTGGCAGCCTCCGGCGGCGGAGACCACGGGCGCGGATCGTCCTCCGAGTTGTCAACGCCCCAGCGGATGCGCCTGTCCGTGTACGACTCCTCCAGCTCGAATTCATCCTCTTGGCTGCCGATCAGCGCGCTCTCGTCGAGCCCCGCGTTGTCGGAGTTCGAGCGGGAGAGCCCGCCGACGCCTAGCTGTGCGGCGGGGAGCGCGACGAGGAAGGAGCGACTTTTGCCGGCGTAGGTGCGCATGTTGGTTGCGCCGAGGGAAGGGCGCACGGGGTGGGGAGGGGAGGATATGTCCTCCAGGCTTTGAGACTTCTGGGAAAGCTGGCGAGAGGATGGAGAGCCGAGCGTTAGGTCTATGATCGAGTCCGAGCGAGTTTTGGCGAGCTTAGTGGGTGTCCGTGGCGCGGAATGCGACTGGTTGTGGTTGTCTACACTGGAAAACGAGCCACTAGGACTGGAGGTGCTAGACTCGGTTGCAGTGCGACGCAGCATGCGCTTCGCCACACTGGTCGACGGTTTCGCTGAATTCGAAGCGGCACCATCTCTTGAAGGCGTGAAGTCAAATAGACCCGATAGGTCTTTTGCCCCCTTTACTGGCGACACTGAGGCAGCTCGTGGGGATGTGTCGATATGCGGCAGTGTGTCGGAGCGCGTAAGTGGTCTCTGAGACGGCCTCCTTATGCTGTCTTCTGGCTTGGTGCTTTTGGTACTCCGACCAGTGGAGGCGACGGGATGTTCTGGCTCTGGGTCCGATGAAGACGTATTCAATGCTCGTTTCTTGGCTGCACTATGCTGGGTTTTGGAGACTGTTCACCGCATGAGCCAACGTACTGTGGCGAGTAGGAAATCAACGCACCTGGTGCTTTCCCGCTGCCTAGACGACCACTTCCGCTCTTTCTCGTGCCGGCAGGAGTGTCATGTTCCCTCACGCTGGTTGATGTTTCCGCCTTTGCCGTCAGTCTCTGCCGTTTCGCTGGAGGTTCGGTGGGCTCCGAGTCCGAGCCCGACGATATGGATGTTGGGCGCTCCGAAAGTCGATTGCGGCGGTTGGCCCCTTTCCGGCTGTAAGTCTTCTGCATCGCAGCACTACAGCTCCTCGTCTGGGGGCTATGGAAGAAGAAATCATGGAAAGATGGTGGACGTGAAGGACCCAGCAGTTGTAGCTAGTAGCGCCGGTCGCTTGGTCCAAGCGGCGCTCGCGGTGTGATTCTGAACCGTTGGTCACTGTGTGTGACGCGACGTGACATAACGCGTTCGTGACACCACCGCCGACTCTCATCGAAGGTGTTCAGTGTCAGTACTGTAATAAATATGTATGTACGTAGGACATCTCACGCCCTCAGCGATGGAATCGCGAACGACGATTGCGGGAATCCATCAAAGCTCTCACATGCATTACACAGCGATACGACAGCGAGACTACGACCAGTAACAGCGAACAGCAACACGATCACAACGCCTCAACGACCTTCCTCACCTCCGCCGCCTTCTCCCTAACCGCAGCAATCCGCCGTTCTGCCTCCTCCTTTAGCAGTCGACATTCTGCCTCGATCTCGCGGCGAATCCATTGCTCCACCGTCAGTGAACTCTCCTCCTCCGTCAGCACGTCCAGCCGGTGCACGGGCACCATGGGCAGCATCGGTGTGAAGGGGAATGAATCATCCGGCTCAGACATCGGATTGTCTTCTGGTGAGGTCGACGCAGGAGGAGACGCGGGTGGGGGCGTGACCGCTCTGAAGGGATCAGAGGGTGGCGGCGTTGAGGCGGAGGCCTCTGCTACGTGCTTGCTGTTGATTGCAGCGACAAGTCCACCCGGCCCTTTTGCAGAGCTCCTACTACCGGTACTTGTTCGCGTTGGAATAAGCACCTCAACCTGCACCTTCTTCCCTTTACTCGATCCGGTTGAAGTACGACTGGTAGGAGACTGGAACGATCGCGAGGGCATCGCATCGACGTGTGCTTTAGCCCTCCCCTTCGATGATGGTGCCTCCGACGCTGCAGACGTCTGCGACAGCCGTTTGTTGACGACAACCTCTGGCTGCAGTTTCCTGCCTCCCTTCGTTGCAGCGGCCGATGCTGCTCCCGTCTCGCGTAAATCACGCTGAGGCGGAACATCGTCCCCTTCATCGTCGGATATCTCGACAATCTTGGTCCGCGAGCTGTTGACCGTGCTGGTGCTCGATCGCGTTGTCTGCGACACTTTCGACTTCCCACTGACATGAGAGAGTTTTTTGATGGCAGGATGACGATGACCCGCAGCGTCTGAGGACGTCGAGCGCGGGGGGCTCCGCCAGTCTTTACGTCTGACTTCGTCCTTGGGCTGCGCTGGTGCGTGATCGGTCATGACCACGTCACTGTCGCCCTCATCCTCGGTCGAAAGAACACGCCCTCGATGCTTCGTTGGCGCCTCGTCCGTAGTCCTGGAGGGCCTCCCTTTCGAAATGCGCGGTTTTGGAGGCTCCGCAGTCGCATATCCAGCGTCGTCGGAGGCAGACGATACATCCTCTTGGGGTCTGGCAGGTGCCTTGCCTTTTGCGGTCCTGGCCTTGGTAGCCTTCGCTGTGGCTTTCATAGGTTCTTCCTCCAGCATCTCGACGTCGCTGTCAGGTTCCGGTGGTGTGACCTGCTTCGCTTTGCTTCGAGACACAGTACGTCCCTTCACGCCCTTGCCCCGAGAAGGACCCGGAGCGCCACTAGGCGGCTCGGAGTCCTCGCCCTTCCTCGTCTGCCTCTTCCCAGGCCCAGGCTTTGCTGCAGGCACTTCCTGGATCTGTTCATCCTCCGTGTCCGGTATAGGCGTTTCCTTCGCCTTCGCCGTCGTCTTGCGTCTGGACCCCGACTTCGAGCCTGAAGTCAGCGACTGGGGCACGTCCGAGTCCGACGCGAGGTTCGCCTTCGACCGTGTCCGCGCAAGGCCTTTCTTCGCAGGCTCTTTCGCGGGCTCCGGCTCTACCTCAATCTCCTCCGCGACGCTCTCCGGCTTCTTGTGTTTTGGGGGGCGCCCAGGTCCCCGTTTAGGTTTGGGGAGTGGCTCCGCCTCAGCCACTTCGTCCCTCCCGCCACTGTCAACAACAGGTTCCACTTCCTCTTCGACCACCTGCATGCGATCCTTCGCCTTGCTCGAGGCGGCGGTGCCTTTGCGTTTCCCTTTCGTCTTCGACACCCGCTTGCCTGCCTCGCTCCCGCTGGCGTTCTCGGTCTCTGACACCTCCGAGCCTGCTAGGGGTGTAGTGCGACTTCCCGTCCCCCGCGTAGAGCGCCTTGAACCTGATGCAGGTGTCTTGGATGCCGATGTAGAGGCTGGCGCCCGGTTGACTGAACTCCTCATTGAGCGCGACACGTTGGAGTTCGAATTGTATGCTGACGCGATGGAGCCGGCCAGTTCGTCTTCTGACGACGGTAGCATAGCATGCGAGGAAGGTTTCGAGTCGGTAGCGCGGGATGGGGCTTTGGCTTGTGTGCTCTTGGTAGTGGATGGATTCAGGAATGGACAGAGCTTGCCGGACCTGTTGACGCGCTTCACGTGTTCTTCACTGCGGGACCCTGTCAGCACGCATATAGCACATCAGCAATAAGGAGCCACTGACGTGGGGTCATCATCCTCGTCCCACCCGTTGAGTGCGAGGTCACAATAGAAGCACGTCGCGCTGTCATCGCCCAGATGCCCCGGCGTGAAAACAAAGCCAGCCTTCGCCATCTATATGAATATTCTTGTCAGCACCATATGTCTGACGGTGCCCGGAGCAGAAGACAGTGCATACGTACCTTCTTGGAATTGGCACCGTGCCCTTTTGTCGCGTCGTGGGGCCACCCGTTGTTCAACGCCGTGAACGTTTCTAACCGTGCTTTCTCCATAACCTTGCTCGTAGGCATACGCGACGCGTCTGGGAAGTGAAACCTTGCAATCACAATTAGCAATACATACTATACGCACTGGACGTCACGTACTGTCCGTTCTTCCCCTTCTCCAGCTCGATCCCGCACCTAGCACTCGCCCACGCGCAATTGCGGTTGCACTTCTTGTAATGCAGCTCGAACGGGTCGTCTTCAGGTTCCCACTCGCTGAGTTCCTTTCCGCAGACGAAGCACGTCACATTGTCCGGCTCTTCAGGGCTCGGATCGTAGTAGAATCCTGCCTCTGCAAGCGTGCGCGGAGTGGCTAAGTAGCTAGGAGGGTGAGGCCATTTCGGAGCGTTGCTGGAGGTGGATCGCACTAATGACTGTTTCGTGCGTTTTGCCTTGTAAGTGTCCAGTCGTGCTTGAAGGCTCTCCATGATCTGCGAAAGAAGGAAACTGTAAGAATTGCAGAGAAGTAGAGCAAATGGAGGCCGATAGGAAAGCCCAATTTGGTAAGTAGGACGTACTTACTTCAACGTGTCAGGTGACTTCACGCTCTCGGAGATTGAAGTTACAACTCGCGGATCGTTGAACGTTCTCCTGTCCTGCAATCCGACGGTGATAATCGACATGGGACCTTCACTTCTTGAGCTGCGCCAATGCCCGTCCTCAAGACTCAGGAAGCAGTTTGGTCGCTTATGCAGCTTGAAGTGCGCGGCTGTATCACGTGTATAATTGGAGAGTCGGCACGCGTTTGTGGCGTCGACCTCAGGGTCCTGACTCCTCAACTCCTTGAAGTGCAGCGTGTACTTACTACTTAGCGAGTACTCAAGTCTTCATTGAACGCCTACACAACCAGGTTACCGTGTGCGCAAGATTACATATCTCAGATTTGTATAGCAAAAGTATTACATATACAGTCTCCCCGCCATCCGCTTGAAGAAACCACGCGGCGGCCCTGCCTGTCCATTCTCCGCTGCTACAAGTATATCACTGCGGCCCAAGCTGTCATAATCAGGCAGCTCGGACATTGGGGGAATGTCGTGCAGCTCCTCTGTCCGATCCGGCGTCCTTGGCCCATGGCTATCGGTATCCGACGCCGATACGACGTCCTGGCTCGTTCGCTGCGAGCGCGGAACTACCACGACGGCTGGTTCATATGTGGGTGGCTCGATGTAGTTGGGGGGCTGGGGCGATGACTCGCGTCTCTGAGGGTGTCGCCTCCTCCGGAAGAACGAGCGGCGGCGAGGCGGCGCTGGCTTGAACAGCTCGTAAAACTTGTCGATCGAGAGGATTTGGAGGCGCAGGAACTCAAGGGTGATACGGTTGGGAGACGGAGAGAAGATGCGCTTCAGGACATCGTTCACCTCGTCAGAGATGGGCAAGGTGTTGCGGAGGAACATAGGATCTTCGATGTAGGCGCGGTAGCATGCGTCGAAGTAGGACGCCTGATGCCATGGGTTGTGTCCGGTGATCATGGCGGTAAGAATGATACCCAGCGCCCACACATCATTGGTGCGCGTGGAGTACGCTGGGTCAACACCAAGCTTGCCCAGACATTCTGCGATCGTGTTAAGAAGTGACAAAGCATGATCTCTGGACTGCTTACCTGGGCTCATGTAGTACTGGCTTCCACAGCCGAACGTCGTGCTGTATCTCTGCGTAGTCGACAGCCCGAAGTCACTGAGGTAGACCCGAGTTCCGTCGGTGTTAATCATGATGTTCTCTGGTTTGATATCTCGATGGAAGATGCCGATGTGGTGGCATTCTCGCACCGCGTCGATGATCTGAACCATGATTCTTTTGATGCGAGTGTCGTCTCCGCGAGCGATACCACCCCTTGCGAGGTAGTGAAACAGATCGCCTGCAGGGTAGTAGTCCATGACGAGGTAATAGAATCTGTGGTCCTCGATGACACGGTGTAGAGTGACGACGTTTGGGATGGTGGATGCCGCCATATGATTCTGGATCTCCTGGCGCTGATTCCTGAATCTCCGCGTGCCGAAAAGCGCCTTGGGCATACACTTGACGGCGTAATAATGTGTGTGTGTCGATGGGGATGCGGTGTCTTCCGCTAGGAAGACAACACCGTTCGAACCGGCGCCGAGGACCTCGATGATAGAGAGACGCCCAGCGTCGATGGTTTGGCCGACCAAGTTCGGCACAGCACGTCCTTTAGGCATATCGTGGTATTGAGGTCAATGAAGTGGGTGAGTGATTGGTGCGAGTACAGACGCGAAGAGCCTGTCTTACATACCTGAGGGCTAACACGCATATCCGCGACCGACATCCTCCCCGCGGCGGATATCTGAAGGGGGCATCCGATCCGCATTGAATACCCACAAAGTATTTGTCTGAGTTGTAGCGGAAGGATAAAGCTGGGAGCGGCGGGCCACTGGTTAGGAATTGAATCCGCCCGAGCTCCTGGGCGCCCGTAGTTTTGCATCCGCTCCCGTCGTCGTAGTTAGGAGGAAAGCGGTCGACGGCAACGGAGGTCGCATATGGCCATCCCCAAATCTCGAAACACTGTACCCCGCATCAGTGATATCATTGCGTGTGCGGTCCAGTTGCGTTACGTTACCCAATCTGCTGCACAAAGGGCGATGCGGCGACGGGACCGATTGCAATCATGACCAGCAGATTCCGGGACCCATCCGCATTGCCAATGGACTGATGGATTTCTCAAAACTTCGACCCCGGTGCAATTAAGCTAGCATTGAGGCACAGGACACAACAATGGCAAGGCACGAGAGCAATACACCAGAGACAGGTCACCATCCCAAAGGCGCAGCCATACGCATGAAGCTTGTCTCGTCGATGGAGCTGCTCGAATGGTCGTCCAAAATTCCTTCCGTATCGGATGCTTCCGCCTCACCACCAATGACTAGGCCTTGCGCATCAATCGGCGAGGATATGGTATCCGAGATGATGGGGAGCTTCTCCTCCCAGCTCCCCGACGAGTATGCGGACGGAATTGTCGGGATGTCCGAAGACAAACGGGGGCCGCCCTCTCGTGTCGGTAACCCAGTGATTTCACCATGGCCCGGGACGCATGGCGTGAACGGTGTGGCACATCGGTATCGGGGTGTCTGCATCTCCAAAGCGAGTTCGAATCCTTCGTCGCGACGTCTGATGTCGTCCCTCGCCAAAGCGTCTTGTAAAGTGATGAGGTGTGGTCTGGGTGTAGCAGCAGGTGATTGATCAGATCCTTGTGTCTTGAAACCTTCCGCGCGTCTTTGTATGCACCAGTGGGCAGCCAGTAAGGGGACTAGAACTTGTTTGTCACTTCGATCGGTCACGAATTTCGCCCGGCTGCTCCGGAACGAGTCGGTGTCGCGAGTAGTAGAGACCGTGTGATTCGAATCGCCGTAGAAGTATGCAACGTCAAAGTCGAAAGCGGACCCATCGCTGATTTCTTCGTCACGCGACTGAATCGTGCAATGACGTGGCAGGAACACTTGATTTTCCACCCCGAAGGTGGAAGATACGGTCACAGCCAGAGGTAGCGAAATACCCAGAGAGGTTGTGCTACACTTGACGTGGAGACGGCTACCTCGAGTCGCTGCGCCAGGCGGCTCGCGAAGTACCGGGGTCGACGCGTCGTTCTTGTCCCTCAACCTCTTCAACCGTGCAGTTAATCCGGGCATTGGGAGAAAGTACATGCAGTCAGCCGTGCGTAGGATGTGCTACAACAGCTCGGCAGCCCAGCTTGATGGGACAGGATTGTGGATGGAACGTGCAGATGCGATCCTATGGTGTAACAGGAGCGCCTTCAGTATCGATGCCGACAGCGAGCAAAGCAGATACACAACAAAGAGGTACGTATTATTGGCGAAAAAGATTTGCTTCGCGATACATTCGTTGGCTGGCTGACCGTTAGGCGGCCAACACACCGTGAATTCGTGTCAGCCTCGGGCTCAGTCTAAGTCGATGCCGAGGACGAAGGCGGTGTAGAGACGCAGAGGCGGACCCCGTTCATAGTTCAATTTGGTAGGTATCTATCGACTCGGGAGTGGGTCAGCTGGCGGTTGTAGACTAGGTGATACAACGGGTCATGCACGTACGGTATCCTATTCGCTACTTTTGATGGCCGAAGCGAGAACGGCGGCGCTAGCGCCACAAGATCCGATGGCGTATGCAAATTAGGAAATTACCTATTTGTGCGGTACATCGGCGCCCACGGACCGGGCTTTGCGGCGTTCGACAACGAACGCGGCGCTCTTGTACACCAGTCATAGTCTAGTCATTCGAGGAGCAATGTACGGCTTGCGTAGTATTTGCCTCCATTCCGTGCGTCTACACCGCCTTGCTTCGGCTCGAATACCTTCGTTCGCATTGGCAATTCAAACCACTGTCTCCGGGCGCAACAGACTTAGCCCCCGGGCCCTCACTGCAACCTCGGCGGCGGCGGCAACTCGCAATCTCTGTCACCTCGTATGGACCGCCAGCATAAGCTGTCAGTCAGTTACCCCATTAGAGTGCTTCCATCCTCGGGCGTTGGGCTGTAATGGCGCATCAGCGCGCCCTTGCCATCATTGCGTCGACGCATGACCGGTGGCAGTACTTGTTGTACAAACACATCACAGTGTGGTTATTAGGTATCGTGGGGCAACACTTCTCGAGACTGCAACTAACCGCATCTGCAATCTACAGGACGACTTCCCTGCGTACCTGCCCTCCGAGCCGAGTGGCAGCATGACGGACGGCCGGGACTTGTATGCGGTTTGCGAACGGCGCAGCCATGAGATGCTCTGTTGCCGGGAATATAAAGAATGCAACGCTACAAGTCTCACCAACCATATTACAACACTGTCTACCCACCTCAGGCAGACGAGACGGTCGCAACTTAGTAAGTAAAGTTGACCGTGCAGTTATAACAGAACTCGTCAGCATCCCCCTTCCACCCCACGTCTATGGTCCTAATTACTGACATAAGATATTTTAGGATCGCGCGAACCTGTTATCCGTTTTCTCAAACGTCTCCTACGCGAATATGAGTGCACGATGCTGCTTTGGCTCTTGCGGTCAACTCGTTGACTGCAATCATCAAGCTATAACAAATCATCTGGAGATGGTTCACGGTGTCAATCTCAGCAACCCGACGGCGATGCAAACGTGCCAGTGGTCAGGATGTCGTACACCGATTCCGGGACCGTCTCTCGTCCGCCATATTTTGACCGCACACTTAAAGTAGGGGCGATAACCCAGGTAATCTAAAGCCACGTTCTCGCCGGTTTGGGTCTGACGTCCTTCCAGGATCGCCCGTACTCAACTGATGGTTCGCATGAGACCGAAATAATACATACGCTCAGTCTCCCTCTAGTAGTACCATGGACTTCTATCTACCTCTCGAACAAGTTCTTGGACCCCTTACTTTACCTCTGCAAACTGTCTTGGACCATAACTCTACATACGCTCCGTCTCCCTCTACTAGTACCAAGACACACAGCTACTGTAGCATTCACATATCTCGCTGTGCTGCTAAAAAAAATTATACGTCAATATATCGGTGAGACAAAATTGTAGACGACTGTCCGTTGTTATCTCAATAAATGACCAACGGGTTCCCGAGCCCTTGCCACCCACTCAGGGCATTGGCACCTATGTAGATGTCAGCCAGCCACGTTGATTGGTTCAATTCATTGTCTTCGTAGCAACATCGCTGCACATTTTAAAATACCCGTCAAACTGGGGTCCTAGAGTGCCTACATATCCTAGATGTACTATGCGGCGACAGCCCTACTACTAGTAGCAATGTTAGCGTACCGGCTATTATCGCCAAAATACCGCTGACTTAAGACGATAATTATCCGGCCTATTGCGTCTTTCGAGTGTTAAGCTTGAAGCTGTTAGACTCTTGGTCAAATGTTCATTGCGGTCCACGCTGATTAATGACATGAAGAACGCGTCCAGGAATGGCAGGATCACAACGCGGTAAATGGGCACGTGATCGCGTCCTGGCAATGCCGTCGGCGCGCGCCAAGTCAACAGATACAATACGTGGCGGGGCCGCAGGCACAGTGTGCGGATTGTTCCTACCAACTCAGGTATTGCGGTCCAAGCCTATGTCTGACTCTCTATTACAGCCGTCATGGACCGCCGGAAGGATTTCTTCCGGAACGCTCACTCTGAATGAGTCTGCCGGCCCGGGGGTCTCGGTGCGAAATTGGAAAGAAGGATGGCCTTCACCATTTTGCCAGGTATAGGTACGCCGCTCAAGCCGATTATGCTCCACAGCTACGGCGTAACCGTAGTGTGTGCGCCGCTGGGCGCTGCGGGCGCTGTGGTCAAGGACTATGCGGGCAATTAGCCCTTTATCGGCCCGCAGACCACTGAGGCCCTTACTTGTGCGCAGCGGACAGCTTGCCAATGAGGCGGCTGGCGTCGGGAATGCCTTGCGGTTGCCAAATACAGATGTAGAATCCGCTATTCTCCTCAACATGCTATGCCTCCTGTACTAGGAACGAGTCAACGGGTATGGCAACACAGTGGTTGCTCTTCCGTTGTATGTGGACGCGGTGCCCGGAACTTGCGTACTCAGCCTCGCACCTCTGGTATAAATTGGACTTCGAATGATGCATCGAGTCAACGGCCTGCCAGGGATCCCCGCCTCTCAGTCATTCTACAGCGCGCCTTTTAAACCGTTGAGTGTTCCATACGCCGTCTTTTGCATCTAGTTTAACCCACTGTGCTCTTCTCAGCGCATTTGGTCTGCACGACTTTCGCCCCTTCAATCTTCGGCTCCCCCGCTTCCGCACGCTACAGCAAACAACATACGCATCACCGTTCGCGTCACGATGTACCAGCAGCCCGTCGCAGGCCAATCATATGCCCACCATGCCTATGGGTACGCCCACCTTCCTCCCCCTGGTCACCCTGGCGCAGGGGGAACACCACTTACGACGGTCTGCAAATGGTCTACGCCCCACGGGCGTTGCAACCACCTCATCATGTGCACACGGGAGGGTATCGATGGGCATTTTCGGGATGCTCACCCTAACCACAGTCTCAGCCGCGGCACAACCGTCGTGTGTATGTGGGACAATTGCAACCATCCCATGGACGCTGGTAGCTTGTCGAGTCACATTGACCGAGGGCACCTGCGCATGCACTGATGGGTGTCGTCGTCTTCCATTCCCCCAGGCTCGTTGACCTGCCTCCGATGACCATTTACGTTCTGCTTCCGGACACTATGCCGCTACACGGACATATTTCTTGTTGATACCCTTTCTCGCTGTATTCCGAAGTGTTTCCATACATGTACCGTACAGGCCGACCATTCCGCTGACTCTTGCTTGGAGCTACGATATCACCTTTCTTCAGACTTCGAACCTCACTCGCCAACAGACCATACTCCTTTCACGCTGTTAACGTTACAAAGCTCAGTATGTATTTGGCTTTCTTTTGACTCTGTGTCTTCCTCGGTTTGCACAACGATGACAGCAGTCCTCGTGCCCCTGATCCGACAAGTCTATGCAGGTGAGTCACGAATGTGGCTACGACACTGCTGTCATCGTGACAATACCGCGGCCGCGCAGACTCCATGGCTAGAGGCATCCGAGCGCCGCTGTGCATACCGACACCGCGACGCAGTATGAAAAAGCCGGAGAAGACGAAGGTAGGTACATATTACGGATAGCAATGTGTGGTTTATGCGTGCGTCCGCAGCATCGCACTACCCCGGCGAATGTGAAGTTGCACCTCCGGTGGGCGGTGCATCATTCACATTTGCCAGGGTGTATACTCGCGAGTGGCGAGGAGGAACTCGGACATGAGTCACAATTCTACCGCTCCTCGACGTGTGAGTTGTAAGGTACAACACCGATGCATAATACCAACTGATAAGGACACAGCTTCGTCGTTTCTAGCTCTCGCCCTCACTGGAAACCTTCGACGCCTCAGGTGACATGATCTATATCTTCATGCAAGACGATTGTCTGACAGATTACACAAAGCTACCCGATAACAGGACTCTGCACCGAGCTCCGCCAGAACCGTACGCAGCTCCGTGGGTACTAGCCTCGGTGTTGAGGCCGGAATTGTAGGACTGTAAGAGCCGAGCACTCCGCTCACAGGATTAGGACATCTGCCGAGTTCGACGACGGCTAAATCCAATGCCTGATAGTGGACGCACAACACACAGTGTCCAAGCGTGGGTGAGCAGTACACTCACTCTCGGTGGTCGTCTCCACCTCCTCCGCGGCTGTCGAACGCATGTCCAAAGACATGCTCATGGAGTTGCGCAATTCGAACGGCGGTGATCTACGGCATCGCCTTCCCCGGAGAACGGATGAGTACCGAGGATATGATACGCACCTAAGATTCGTCGATTGAACCGTGTATCAGCTTCTGCCGAGTGCAACGAGTGTGGGTTGTGCACTCGGCACAGCTTGCTTTCGTCATATCGACCTTGCGCCCACTCGACCCTAGTGGTCCCCTATCGCATATGATCGCGCCCATACACATACGCAGTCGATTGCATAAGTTAGTAGTAGAATGACCGAAATCAAAGAGGACGCTACTCACAATTATCACCGGATGACTCTTTGACGTCGCTTCTGTATTTCAACGGAGACATATCAGGAAGTAGGTCATGAGTCAGTCTCTGTCAACGCAGTGCAAACACCGCGTCCGAGGCGATTGCAGGTTCAGTGAGTCTGCATGACTTCAGCGCTTCATCTTCAAGCTTCAGCGCGCAAGGCCGCTCCCATGGGCCATGGCCAGCCTCGAGGCCAGCGAGATCCATGCCACAGATCGGATCAATGGCACCACCTGCGGCTCTCAGCCACCAGTGGCACCAGGGATTCCGGATCCAAACTCCCAAATCAGCTTTGAACGTTGAACGCCTCTACTGGGACTCATTCCTCTACTCGAGTTGATCAGGAATACACGCATTTTTAACGTGTCTCTAGCTGTACACAAGATATACTTACCATCATATGGGTTGCAATTTTGTAGTTAGTGAGGCTAAGTGAGCGCTGGCGCCGTCAACTTGAAGAAGTCGAGGCGCGCTTGTGCTATCGGCCGGTGGCTAAATGCACCCGGGCCCCCACCTCCTCCTCCTCCTCCTCCTCCTCCCCCAAGGGGTCTTTGTGTTGGAAACGCGGTGTTGAAGACAACAGAACCCAACGTCTACTGGACGTCTAGACTCCGACATGACGCATTTATTACTAAGTCTTGAACAGGCTAGAGTTCATGTATCAGTACGAACATGATGTGATCATTCCCTCCACTTGGCGTACGGAAATCATCATCACTACATGCAAGCCATACCTATTATATTACAATTTACTGGCAGCGACGAACGTTCCCATCAGTTGACGCAGACAACTGATGGATCAGTCGGGCCGCCTCGCATGGCGAGCGGCGAGGGTACATAGTAACATACCGTGGGCATTCCTTGATCCATATTCAAATGAATCCCGGGAGGCTAAGCCTGGCTAAGCGCCTCTGCTCCCTGATCATCGCACTCACGTCGGCCCTTTAGAAGGAGGATCCACCAACGAGCCCACCTACCGTCCTCAGACTGACATGAACCCGAAGCTCCAGTATCTCTTCCCAAAGAGCTTCCAGCCTATTGTGTGGGTTCTACTCCTGGTTAGCTGCGTCTTCAACCTCCTTTCTGTCAAACACTTCACCCACGGCCCGATCCTGGACGATAGTTGGTACAGTATGTGTAGTTCTGACTGCCCCTGCCGAGTGCTACTGACGCTTTCGTCTAGGTTACGCCGGTGATGACTACCCGAGCGAGCTGCCTATTCGCCTCGACGCTGTTAAGATGGACTTCGAGGATGTATCAGGAGATAGCTGGTACAGCCAGACGGGGTTCGACGCCTGGTTGCAGTGGCACGCCTTGGACCATTTCCCTAGGGCGCATGGCTTCGTGGAGCTCGGTCGTGACCGTAAGTTACACTCATCGAATAACGGAACACCGTCCGACGGTTCTCATCGGTGTTCAATTTGCAGGTAGGCAATTCGGTATCTCGATGTTCCACCAGATCCATTGCCTCTCGATGATTCGAGAGTCGCTGATCAACGGCATAAACGACCACGCCGCGCACTGTCTCAACTTCATGCGACAAGCGGTGCTGTGCAACGCGGACACGACGCTCGAAGCGATCACGGAGACCACTCATACGTGCAAGGATTGGACGCAGGTCTACGACTTCATCGCGGAGAATCAGAATAACTGGCCGAAGAAGGCGTCTAAGAGTCAGGCTCACAATGACACTGAGGCGGATCCACACGCTGGACATGACCTCCGGTAGCACAGATAGTCAACGTACTATATCATCGCGCTGTAGGAGTTCTACCGACAGTCCTTGCCGATCTCTTTGCAGAGTTGCAGATCCCCTTCTAGCAAACAATGACGGCCACATTCCGCACGCGTGCGTTCACACATAGCAAGGATTGCGTGCACCGTCATTACACACAAGTACACTGATCTTCATCCATAGCCCCTTGACAACCTATATCACGAATCGTGTTCCGTCACTTTATACTTGGTTTATGCGTGATCAGGCGATCTGGAGGAGATCGAATGCTGGGGAAGGACATGAGTACCCATGAACCATGAACACCAGTAGGATTCGCCCATACCCATAGCAGGATCGGAGAAGATCTGCTCGAACTCAAGGGTGCAGTTGTCGCACGACACCTCGAACGTGAACCATTTCTTCTCTGTGCAATCAAAACGCGGGGTCTGTGGCTTGAGCTGCCAGCCGTCCTCCCAGTCGAGCTTCTCCATCCGCTCCTTCTCGGGCATCCATGCGACTATCCCGAGGAGCTCGAGACGCTCTGGACGCGTGTTCCAGCTGAGGCTATCCATCCGCTGCTGGGGGTACGAGACGTTCCAGACTTGGATGTTCAGGAGGTTTCCCGAACCTGTGTAAAACTTGCCCGCCTCCGCACCTCGCTCGGGAGTGGGCACCACCGCGTCAATGTAGCACCACTTGAATTTATTTGGCTTGATGCGGAACTGGTAAAACATGTGGTCCTGATGACTGGACGTCAGATGAAGCTGGAAGCGGGAAAGACGGAATCTCACGTTCTCGCTCAAGACAATGTGCGAACTGCTGGTGTACTCTTCGTCCGGCGTGGCCTTGTTCGTGCGTATCATGGGGCCAGGGAAATACATCATCGGGCCTGGTAGACAAAGTGAGTGGTCTCCCATGTCACTGTATTGTATATTGGAGTGACGACCTACCTTTGCGCTTCTTCTGGAACTCTGGCACGTCAGCCAACCCAGGGTATGGGTCAGGTTTGCGCAGGCCCTTCGCGCTCCGAGGTTCAATGACATGAGTCGAGTCGACATATAGCGCGAAGGAGGTGGTTAGCATGACCATAGCGAGCACGAGCGTGACCCATTCGGTCAATGATCGTCCCTTGGAGGCCGCCGGTCGAGCAGCATCGTCTTCCGTGACAACGAAGCCAGAGTGCAGCAGGGATTGCTTGACAGTCTCATCGACGTCTGGCGTTTCCGGCTCCTGGCTCTGCAGGGGGAGGTACGACGCCATGATGGTCCAGGATGGGCTCGGACGGGAGGCGGAGGCCGTTGTAGTCTAACGCATATGCTGCCCGGAGGTACCCGTTCATGCAGTGTCAATCAGACAGGCGGGGTTTGCAACTGATGGTGCAGTGACATTGATCGGTGGCCTGGGATGTGCCCGTGCCAGTGCGGCTGAATGTAGTTCTGGGCCGCTTCATAAGCCAGAGTCCGAGTTGAAATGCCAACAAACATGTAGCTTGACAGAACGCGCGCGATCACTGTGCAGACCAGCCCCAGCCTCCTGCAGGTCGAACAGGTCCACGAGAGGACAGCGGAGATCTTGTGAGAGCGCTTGACCGCCACGCTAGCACTTACATACAAACGCTATCGGCGCCTATGATGATGATATAAGTACTACTTACATGTCAGATAATCTACCCTAGAGACCATTATGTCATGCAATATTAACGCCCGCCACGTACTTATGTCATTAAACAATGGAACGTACCGACGAACATCACTGGCATTTGCATCGACCTGTCTCAAATGGCAGATTCAATCAGCGCAACCTGGCAGGTAAACCTCACCGTAGTCGATAGTGATAACTTACTAGCGACTCGCGAGCTCCGAAGGAGTCCGAAGCCTCCGAATTCTGTGCCAGCGCTCTCATAGAACGGCACGTGATTGTCATAGCGGAGGAGGACTTCTTCCAAACGGTTTCTCACGACTGGTCCGAAGTTCAGAACGTTCAGAGTTCTTGAATGTCCACGTCTTCCAGTGCACTAGAAAGCCTATCTGTGTCTTTGGCTCTGCAGCATGATGTAGCCTGTCGTTCGCCAGCGCGAACATTTCCATTAAATGGATTACGTTTACCTATACGGGCAGCCTACGCTTCACTGCTCCTTCGGTCCGACGGAACACGGACAACGTACACCAGGTGCGGGATGAAAATTAGCTTTGGCCGCTATCTTAGTGTTGTTGGCATGGCGTACTGTAGTATACATTGCTCACCTCGAACCACTACAGGCTGTGCGCTTAGTGTCCATCGTGGAATCCGAGTACGTACGTCGTGCCGCTGGAACCTTCCTCAATTGCAGCTGCTCCATGATGGCCCTGGAGGACCTGACAATCATATACACCCGAGCATCATGTCATAGCACGCGACAAGATGAGGTATTAAGCAGCCCTGCATGCCGGCCGAAAGGATGCTACCATGGTGCGCCTCATCGATCATTATCGGAATGGAATGGAGCAGGCTTCATACACAAATGCATTCAGACGTTTACACGAGGAGGATTTAGTGCCGGAGCTTCGGTCCTCTCAATATTTGCTTCCGCAATGTTCCCAGGAGGGGCCGTCTTTACCTCGGTACTTTCTTGTCGCCCGGTCTACAACAGGCATTCAAGATAGCGTCCAAGTTCACGTCTGCTGTGCCGGCGGGGAAGGCAAGCCCGGGATCCCACACTGGGGCCCGGGACGTCATACCTCGACGGACTCCGAGTCCTTGTGACCCGTTCCTCGACGGTGGGCTTACCAGGTACCTGCCAGCACGTTGCTCGCGTCGCTTCATCTCCCTAGCGTGATCAGCCATACGGCTGCCATGCACATCTGTTGGCGCTTGTGTACCACATCGGACGAGCAATCGACGCATGGGCACGTACGAAAGTCGTAATGTTCCCTCCTGATCTGCATCTACGGCTGAGCGCATGCGTATGGTGCGTGTACGCAAGCCTCTTGCGTCGGGAGGCCACGGGGCAGCTATTGTGATCCGTTGAGCTTGATCAATGATTGTGTCGGACAACTACAGTTGCCTCCGTCTTCCCTTATCGATCGGTGCGTCCGCTCCATGATCAAAGAACACTCGTAATCAAGTGGCGGAGGACCTGACGTAGTTGTCCGAAGAGCCAGCGCCCGAGTTTGTTTCCTGGACTATCATGTTCAAGTGCCCGCGCAAGGGCAACTCAATTGTCTTTGTTATCGGAAGGAAGGTTGTGGTGGGAGAGCGGGTCCGTCGACGCCGATATTGCATTATGTGGTCGCAGAAGCTCACGCGTTCACGTATGCGGCGACAAGCTATGACAGTGCAAGTGGGGTAGTCGGTGCGCATAGATCCGGATGTCCTTGCTGATAAGTCAGACCATCACTCGCATACAATCCGACATCGTTCGCAGCGCATCTTCCGCGTTGCAAACCTTCATCGGTGTGCGACGATCCGGGACAGAGATGACGAACGCTCACAAGGGTCCGCAATCGATCCATTCAACCTTAAGCCAAGTTACTTTCCGTTCGGAGCGCCCACGCTGAGGGTGTGAACTTCCATGCTATGTCGCCGGATGCATGCCCGAAAGAGGACGACAGTTGTGGCCCGCAGCTCCAAAACGTGAGATCCGGGATGACTACGAGCGTGGATGAGTGCCTCATGGAGGCACTGCCGTGGAGGCAAGTGATGTTACCATTGTTCTCTGTCGTCTGCTGACCACCGAGATTGTCTTCGGCGATGAAGGTCACGAAGGTTCGGGGAACGTTTTCCAGAGATGGTTTGGACTGATGCGCTACTTGCGTGCCACAGAGACCGTCGGGATGGGTATAAAGGAATACGGTCATTGTTTCCGACGGCTCGTCAACACCTTTCGACCGCTCTGCCCCTTGTGCCTTACGCCCCTTGTCTGTGAGTGTTCTCCGAAACACTCGCGGGTCACTCGCGTTGACTGCGCCTCCACAGCTCGTGTCCATCTCGCTTCGACACGTCCATTAGATGGTGCCGTATAACAGACAGCAAGGGGACGATGGGTAAGACCCCTATTTGCCCTGACTGTACTCCTGAGACCAGAGTACTCACTACATGTCTTTTTACATAGCGTGACACACGCCCGCTGTACATGGGACGGCGGGATATGCGGCATTACGCTCGACGACCTGACGCCGTCCGGCGTCATCCGCCACCTCAAGGCGTTCCACTTCAACAACCCCCTGAACGCCTGGGAGAACAAGAAGCGCGGTGTGTGTCGCTGGGGCCATGACTGCTCCGGTTGCGAGATGAACTACGAGAGCCTGGGCAAGCACATCGCGAGCGTCCACTTGCGCAGCACGGCGCGCCCGTGCACAGTCTGCGGGCGGCAGTTCGCGAGGACGGATACCCTCAGTCGACACCAGTTGGAGAATTGTCCAGGCGCATGAGTGCCTTTGGACTTGCTACAGATGCAGATACCCAGCTCTACGCTTGACGTTGTCATTTATGCTTGTATATTGAATTATGATGGTTCATATTATGTCCCGAAGCGCCAGGCACTAAGCTATGTTTACCGTCGCTGTCTGATACTACTAGTACTACACGTCGGCATGAGGTTCCCCGTGTCCATACACCAATACACTATAGAATAACGAATTCAAGTTGTCGCTACTGGGAAGCTGAGTTGCTACGAGGGCCTCCGACCCAATCGCCAGCGACTGGGGTGGTACCCGGGGCCCGCCTAGTGCAGACACGGACGCGTTGTTTGTCAGCGAGACTATGGCCGCCATTCGCGCCTACGTGTCTCGTCAGAGAAGCACGCACAATTAAGGGGCATGCTCACCGTGTGTCACGCTCGTCTCTTGGGGCACGCCTGCAATATCTCTGGATATGGAGCGGCAGAAGCCCGGGCCTGCCAATGTCTCGATGACAGTGCGGGCATTGCACGCTGTGCCGCAGGTGCACGTAGGAGACGTGCTTGCCGAAGCTGGCGTGGGCCATTTCTTTGCCGCAGCCGCCCGCCCATTGGCAGTAGTCCCTGCGTTTCTTGTGAAACGGTCTTTCGGGACTGTTGAAATGCCATTCCCGCAGGTGGCGCATGATCCCGGAAGGAGAGGTGTCGTCCAGCCCAATGTTACAAAGGCCCCACTCGCATCTCGCCAGATACAATGGCTCCCCTGCAACGTCGAAATTTGGGACGGGTAGATCATCCTCGATGATTGCTGCATCAATATGGGGTCGAGCATTGGTAGGTGCCGCAGTGTGCTGAGCATAAGATGCATTGTATGCAGATGATTCTCCGATATTCCACGAGCCGCTTGATCCCGCAGAGTCTGTGGCAGGATGTCGTCAGCGATAGAACTGAGGAGTACGAAATTAGACGAACTCAAGTACATCGGAAGAGATATAGAAGTGTTGTGAATTTAGGTGATACTGGGAGATTTCAGTAGATAGATGGTAGACTGTGAAGAATGTGCCAGCACACCTTCGAGCTTATATGTATCGTCCGTTCCCGAACTTGACCAAATGGATCGCACAGCATGGCCGCGAACGGAGGGCGAACGCGTGCAAAATGACTGATCTTTGCAGCTAGGACGCATTGAAGCAACCGAAATGGGAGCCATTTCCATCGTTGACTGCGAGAGAGCACAGCTCAGGACGATGCGGCAGTACTGACTCATGGATTCATAGACTGCTACAAACAACTTTAACATCCTCCCCCCGTGTGCGCGCAGCGGTGGGCAGATGCCACGTGGAATAGGCGTGGCGAATCTCCCGATCTGCTACAATTGCTACTCAGCGAACCGAGGGCGAACGTACTGTGGCACTGACAACTCGGTATCATCTTGGCGTACAACCTCTCCGCGATCCTCGTCTCCCCCACACAACTTACCGCCTTCCCCTTCTCTCTTTCAAACCCTGATATCTCTGGTTCTTGCGCGCTCCAGGCGCCATGTCAAATGAAGTCGGAGTAATCCACGTTTCATACGCATGGTCTCCTGGCCAGACACGTACGTCAAATCCCGTCCTCTTCCGCCACCTCGCGCCGAGGCTATGTGGTCCTACGCAGTCCGTCTACTTCCACAATTGTCCCAAAGACACGTTGTAGGCGCGAGGGTTGGTTCCCTGCTTCCAGTCATGCAAGTTTAGACTCGGGGCTACTGCAGTAACCTGGCGCCAAAGCTACTGCGCCCGAATCCTGTGTGCATGATCGACCTGGCGCCACGCCACGGCGGAACCTTTGTCTCGGCTCGTCTGCGTTGCGGAGGTCGTTCGGAGGTCGGCGCAGATATGTCGCAAGCGAAATGCGGTGTTCATAGCGGCGTGCTCGTGCTTCGGCGCCGTTACCATGCGCAACGTCGCCTATAGTACAACGTGCACTGGCAAGAGGAAAATTTCCAGGTCCTGCGTCAATATTTGTATGGCTATGTCATTTCAACACAGGAATGGATATCGTCAGCGTTGTTCAAGCAAGTCTTGTGTTGGACTGTGCCTTGCGCTCGAGTACTTGAGTCGGGTTTACCCACAGTGCGTTGCTGTGCTGGTCAGTAGCATGTGTATCCCTTGACAGAAGTCCGGCGCGCTCGGTATGTGGCAAAATTTCCTCAGAGGCGCCTCGCTGATGGAATTATATAGCCGGCTAGTGTTCATTAACTTTCTATTGATCTCCACTGCGGCCTGTGAATGATCTGTTGGTCAGCAGAGGCCGCGTACTTGATCGAATTGGACGATCGCACGATCATGACAAGCCTTTGCTCGACAGTAATCGACCCGTCGGCGCATGCGCACACTTGGCCGCTAGTCAGCGATCTGCGGTCGAGTGTGTATCCGACCTTTCTGTACGCTCCCGCGAACGACGGCGCGAGCTTGTAATCGAATCCCTGTAAACCATGCTGACACCATCATAGTATCCGCGCCGACATAACTGCTTTCTAGGGTGGCTACATACCTCGTCTCCTGAGTGTCTTCAATGCAGCTGTATCATCATTCATCGCTCAACATCAAACGTCAGCGTAACGCACATGCATGTATACAACCGGCTAGCTTCTTCTAAGGACGTTACGATAATCCCCGTGCCATTCGGGAGAATTTTCAGATGTCATTTGTGAGTCCCGAATCGCCTTGCTCGGCCATATTTGCTAATCGTTGCCCGGCTGGTTAAGCTACCTTGAATCCCGGCGAGTCGGCGAGATGGCTACGTCGCCTCTGCGGGATAGTGTCAAGGTGTATCCGCACTCAATGCCGAAGATAGTCGATGGAGACGCCAGCTGGGCCCTTAGCTTCGCTTTGAAACTCGTGCCATGTTCTGGCCTCTCCCCGCGAAGGAGGCATGTCGAGACGTAAGAATTAGGTGTCACCAATGTTTCCGAACGGCTACACGGCCAACGGGACGTCAGTAATTTGCGCAACACAGTCGATAGACGCAGGAGGTGTGGGAGAAAGGCCTGGTGCGCTGTCGGCGCGGCTTCTGGGGATTGTACGAGAGGGGCAATTAAGCTCCCGACGGGTACGTATCCAGTATTGTTGTTTCCGGATTTCATATAGACGTGGCGTGTGCCTACGTGCATGCATGCTGTAGTTCCCCGGGCTCTGGACGAAGAGATCAATCGGTACTGACCTCATCTGCATTCAGGCATCAACGCGTGCATGTTTCATTGATTGACCGACTTGTGAATTCCACGTCCCGATGCCAGACAGGCATAGCTGCGCTCATCCCATATGGAAAATGACAGTCCCGAAGCCGTCCCTTACGAGCCGGATGACGGTGCCATCTCAACGTCAACTTCCTGCGCAACCGCTCGCGCTACGGTTACAAATCTATGACACCGTTTACCGAGAATCATGGAGCCCGGTCCAGACGGCATGCAGCACGATGTTTGCCAATGCGACGCCCGCACGGGTGACCCAAGCGCGGGAGAAGAGACAGAAACGGAAGCGAAACCCGCGAAGGCTGGCCGTGTTGTTGTACTCGTCACGTACGCTGTCAGGCTGGCCGCCAGGCCCACGTTCCAATCACTTCTTCGCGCAGGCGTCACCTGACCACGCCCCAGCACCGAACTTAGTATTGTTTCCTCAACGATCAATCCTTCCATCGCATGACTATACAGGCCTCCCCACGCCAGTCGAGGATGAATTTACCTCGGAAGCGTCTCTATATGGGTTCCCTTCTCCGAGGATGACATGGACGTCTTCGATGCAGGCCGTTGCGAGAATTGTCCGAAAATGGCTTCTGGCTTCTGCTCCAGCGACCATATCACAACAACTACCGGAAGTCGAAGCAAATCCAGCGAGGCTGAATGGTAGAAATACCAGTCCACCTGCCCTACTTAACTCGTCGTCTCTCACTCGCTGCTATGTCACTCTACAGCATCCTTATCTCTACAATGCACGCCCACAACACGCTTCCGACGTACGATCCCGATTTCCAGAACCCTCATCCCGACTATCCGCCTCTGCAATCCTATAACGAACCCGCCATGAGGTTTGCGCTGTTCCTTTTTGAGCGACTGCATTGAATGTTGACCTGGCCCTCAGCAACGACCTCGCTCAAGCCGACTATGGCTCGACTAACGACCCCTTCGCGTCCACCTCCCTGCCAGTCTCCAGTCCAGCGCAGTACTTCGATGCAAGTCTGGCACCGGCATGGCCGCAAGGCTACCCACCTTATAGCAGCGATCAGCAAACGCATTTCGTCCAGTCCACACTAATGCCAGGATACCAATGGCAGTCGCATGGCTATCCCGCCGCCCCTACACATAGTCTTCAAGGCTATAACCAGACGTTTATCCCCAATCTTCCAGTGCAACTGTGCGTCATTTGAACGTGCGTTGTGGTGTTCTTGGCTAATAGCCGACCCGCGCTGGCTAGGTCGGCAGCAAACGTGGCGTATCACGGAGCAGCCGGTATGCCTACAGTCCAGGCTGCGACGCCTGCACAATATCATTCGTGAGTCTGGATAAATTTATGCAGAGACAATGGCTAACCACGTACCATACAGAGAGATCGCCATGGGGCAGTCGCATCCTGCGCAATGGAGTGCAAACATGGTGGAACAACCTGGCAGCAATGTGGGGCTACAGTGCGTTGCCTCCGAGACACCGTACGACAGAGCTGGCGTTGACGCAACGCACAGGCAGATGACGCACCCGAGTAGCCTCCAGCAAGGCCCCTTTACGACCGTCCCGGCGAGCAGCCTTCACGGCTCTCGACAGACGGCTTCCTCGGGCCAGCGGCGCCCTTCCCCAACGCAGTCAACCACCCCGAGTAGGCGACGAAGTCCAGCTGGCAGCAATAGGTCCGGACATACGCCAGAGCCCCGCCCGTCTTCGTCTCGCCAGCCGCGGAGCCCGACCCAGACACCGTGCTGCTGGGGCGGCTTTTGCGGGACGTCGCTCGAGACGCTGCCCATCGCCGCCATTTCGCACCATCTCAAGGAGGCGCACATAGATCGCCACACTTGGGACGGTCGCGCACGGGTCGTCTGTCAATGGACGAGTGGAGGCGCCCCATGTGGTATGGAGATGTACTATGACAACATCGGCAAGCACATCGCGGCCGTCCACCTCGGGAGCACCGCGCTGTCATGCCCATATTGCGACAAGACGTTCTCGAGAGGCGACTCCTTGTGTCGTCATGTCCGAGAGGCTTGCCGCCACGCGTCATCATAGTGCCCCCGCTCGTCGTACCAATAGACATCGACGATCCGCCGCGCTCGCTTCGGTATTCCCGCCAGCCAGCGCCTCTACCAGAATGTACTCATCGCCGCGGTGGGGCCCTCTATAGTAATGCCTCGTTTTGGTCTAAGTCCGGGATTTGCTAGGTGATAGTAGTAGATAGTGTGTATACGTACAAGGAGGCATGCCTTCTCGATGGATTCCAACCAATGACGATCGCTTCATCCGGCCACCATAGTGTTCTGAATCGCAACGCCCAGGCGACTTGTCGCCAGCGTCACACCGCCACAGGCCACTATTGACCGAAAATGCCAGTCGTGAAGGCCGCCCGTCCATTCGAAAATCAGCAAAAGCACCTGCCAACTGCAGAGCAGAGGTGTCCGTCATGGCGGATAGACATCCGAGTCGGTACACTGCCAGCAGAACATGCCGAGCTGTGCGTGCAGTGTCAGCCTGGGAGCTCATAACATAGGAACGCCGTTCAAGTTGGAATCGGCCTATATTCACATGCTTTATGGAGCTCAAGATGGACCCTGCGTCAGGGAGCTTATGGGAGAGAAACTTCCATACAACCGCTAGCTCGTGGCTCTCCCGTGAACCATGATACGGATTTGCACCCTGAGAGCATCATGGTGGACGCTGTAGAACTGCGGCAAATGTGAGAACCAGCCGCCCGCTGTCCCTTACCGCCTCGGTCCTCCAGGACAAAGACTTCATAGGGTGCGATATCCGTCGTGGTCGCTTTAGATGTACTCCTGCTCGTGCTCAGCTCACCTTGTACGGCAGGTCGCCCACGGATCAGGGTCCAGCTCCGAAGAAATCGCCATACTAGGCGATGTTCGCCCGAATAAGGTGCCCGTCGAAGCAACCTCGAAGTCGACTCGTAACAAGTCGGGTGCCTTACTTAGCGGCATTGAACTCTTTGACCAATCGATCTCACACATTACATGGGCACCTCCTCACAAGTTCCAGTGTTCTCGACTTGTAAACAGAACCGGGCCCGTTCGTCATCCCCATCGATGTTCACGGCGCTCAATCTGAGTCGCTGACGGGGCGCTGAGTCCACTCTTACCATCCTTGGACGAACCCTCCTCCGGTGCCCCATTACGCCAAATCAGGATGTCTCCTCTTTGTTGGGGCGTGCATGGCTCCAATACTACCTGGAGCGCCTGAGAGCCTCCCGGCCACCGGCTGGCCTTATGTTGGCTGTTGGCGCCAGACCACCCTCTCGCGGAGGAGGTTCTCCGCCGACGCACACCGCCGGTGCCACGCAAGGAGAGAGAGTGCAGATTCTGCAGGATACAGGGATCAGTGGAAGATGAGGTGCATGTGCTACTACGGTACTCAGCCGACAAACCGCGTCAGACGCGCGAACGCTTTCTCAACGCAATACTGCCCGACAGGCCGCTGTGGCGCGTGAGCCGCGAACGGATGGGCCGGAGCGCTTTCTTGCAGATTGCAGCGCAGATAAAGACGTGGTCGCCGTGTTTGCTGAGTACGTGCATGCTATCTTCGAGCTATGTGATACTGTCCCCATGGCGGACGTCCCAATCGGGGAGCAGGTCCAGACCGTGGCCTAGCTTCCGCCCCACAAAGTCGCCCCGCGTGCGACTATATCATCGTTGCAAGTTATGGGACTCACGGAATGGCTACCAACGCAAGCTACTGGCATGCGACTCTACGGTGCCCCCGGTCCCTGCCCACCACGCCAGGCTGCAGAAGGATGTGGCGCGACCCATCCAGACTTCTCAGGCGTTGAGGACAGCCGACGGTTGTCACGAATTGGCCTGGCGCTCTGTGAGTTTCGTCAGACGTCCGGAGAACCGGCACTGACTCCTGGGGGTTTTTTTCGGGTTTTTTCCCACCAGGTTTTAGCAGAGCGACCCGCCCCGCCGGTTGTTGGCGAGAGGGCCGGGGCCGCGAGAGGTGACACCTCTCGGGATGAATGTAGGGCAGGGATCAGGGGGGCCGGGGGTCATGTAGCGAGTAGTAATTGGTAGTCTAGTACGTAGCCCTATGGCCTGCGATGTTGTACCTAGTGAGCGCCGTCGCCGTCAAGAAGTCGAGACGCACGTGCGTTATCGGCCGGTGGCTAAATGGACCCCCCTCCTCCTCCTCCTCCTGCTTCGTGCGCCTTCGTTTATTTGTTCGCACGCATTCGAAACATTGAGCATAAGGCCACAGAGAACCCGAATCGGCAATAGAGAGACGATAAAAGAGTGCAACCGGACCGACCTCCTCAGCCCCGGATACTCCGAGGTTGCATCGTCGTGGTCCGAACAATTGGAAATCGGAAGAAAAGCTTGTCAAGGTAATCTCGCATGTCCACTTGCTGACTAGACTGGAAGCTCACATTTACCTTTTGACGTGAACGCCGCGGATATACTCCAATGGTCCCCAACATACCGGTAACTAAGTCCGATATAGGGAGACCGTCTCATTGGCCCATGCGTACGAGATGAAGCCTGGACATCACAATTCCAGCTTTCGCGGCCACTCAGATCCAAGGCTTGAATCTGCGTATTGAGAGATCCCGCCGGTAGGGAAGCCGTTCATGATCCGAGGCTGTTGGTGAACATTTACCGATTTCATCGGACAGGCGCAAATTTCACCTCAGGCGATCTAGATGTTCAGGATGGGGTTGGATAGGCGATAGGGAGCCAGGGCACACGCAGGAAGAACTAGGCTTCTAGCAGCATGTCATTCATTCCTAGCTCCGTGTTCGACCGCACTGATGCTTCCACTACCTGCACCGAGATACTGTATCAACCAACTGAAGTCACGGATGCAGCGTAGACCCAAGTTACCCCATATGTATGAACCCGTTGGAAGTCTTTGGTCGCCGGACTCCTGACCTTCTAGGCGGTAACATGATAGACTACGTCTTACAAGGCAGAGGCTCGCACCATTCCCAGTCTGAAGGCCGCAGTAGCGACACTCAGAACCGGAGCCAGAAGGCTTCAGGGCCCAACAACTAAGATATGATCCAGAAAGAGCCCCTCGAACTCAAGAGGATATGCCGACGCGTCTTTGACGTACTGTACGGGTGCAAATATGTCATTCAAGAAGCCGATGCCGTGGTATGGAATACTTTTGAGAAGGAATAAGTCATACGTACGGTGCTCCATTGAGCCCGCTACTAGGGAGATTGTTCAGATCGACACAGGGTCTGATAGAATCGCATGTCAAACACACGGTGGCCGAGGCATGGAAACCCCTCGACGACGCTGCGCGAGCAGACCGCCTTCGAGAATGCGGCAATCAACACTGTGTAAGCCCAATGACGCCTCGTCCAATGCCTCCGCCAGACTCCCTGCGCTAGGAGCACCGCTGTACGTCCCAAAGGCGGAGCTCCGAATGCCTTGTGTCTTTGGGACCTCGGCGTGCAGACTTCGCGAACGACCCACGCTCGATCGGCGGCGTGGCAGAAGCACGTCCTGTGAGTGGTCGTGGAATGGGTGTACCGATTGCGGAACAGTTTGCTGCCACTTAATGCCGCTTTCTGGACGTGTGGGCTTCGGTGGTGGCGTAGGCGGGCGAGCGGCGTCGATAGGCGGAGGGGGGACTGGCTGGGCGTCTAGTGCACCGAGTTCGCGGAGCTCGACTTGTTCCCACTGCGGGCAAGCACACGTCTTCCACGGGCTCCCGCAGACGTAGCAGAACTGCATGGCGCAGACGCACGTCATATGATAGCAGCCACTGTGCAGCTCGATCATCTGGTCGCATGCGGGACACCGTGTCCATCCCCTTCTCCGGGCGAGGTCGAGCACCTCACGCTGCGAGCGGTCGGCCTTGCAGACGTGTTGCGGGCCACCCGGGGCAGGGGATACCGTCAACCTACAGCTGCTGCACGTACGCGCGGAGCAAACGGCACAATAGTAATTGATGGCGTCAGGAGCGTCCGTTCGAGGGCCCAGGAAACGGCTGCACGCAAGGTTGGAACAGTAGACACGCCGGACGGTGGAGAACTCTGCAACCTTCTCGCGATAGGTACTTGCGAGAGCAGGTGGCATGTACCGCTTGAATACCCGCTCGCGGATGGGCTGCTGGCAACAGCTCGGAGGAAATAAGGACTGGTCATGGGTTGACGCCTCGACGAGGTGAAGCAAACATTCTACGTGGTAGTAGTGCCCACAGTGGAGACGGATTTCACGGTCATGAATGATGGTTTGGCAGACAATGCAGTCGTGTTTGGTTTTGCTGGTCAAAATGTATAAGCCCATATCCGACTCGATTGAAGTGACAGACCAAGACACACCAGATATACGGCATGGAACGGAGTTTGTGTTTGACACTCGAGCACCTGCGAGTGATCCGAGACGCCGCAGGTGCAAGCAAACCGGGGACTTGTCGTGAGCGTCGTGCGAACCTATGGAGAGGTGAGAAACCGTGCCGAATGGGCGTATTGTTACGACTTACCACCGAGGTAGCTTCAACGGATCATTTACAGACAATAGAGCACTAATCAGACTTGTTGGATTGCCGCAATGCGGGTCTACGAGGACAGAGCACCGCTGCAGTTCGACATCGAAACCGCGTAGTGAAGCAAGTTCATGATCGTCGTCACGTAACGCCGCCGAGAGGCGACTAGGCGGGCGCGGTGCAGAGGTGCGTTGCAGCTTCACGTCCTCCAGACCGCGCCGGGGCGGGAGCAGCGCACCAGCCACGTCGCTCTCGAATTGTTCAGCTAGCAGCCGCGCGACGAGACCGAGGTCCTCAGCGTAGTCGACCGGCGAGGGTGATGGGCGGCGGGTATCTGGCGAACGTGGGAGATGAAGGTGAGGCGTCAGCGTCATGTAGCGTGCAGGCGGGCGGGTGCTCACGTCGAGGCCAGTATTATACTGACCTTATCGTCGCCGCGGACACGTGTTGTCGACCTAGTCAATCTGTGAAGGACGCAAGCTCCGTGCTTATGAACTCGCACAGATGCCGAACATGCTGTTCAGGCGCGTCAGCCCGTCGACCGCATCAACCCACCCACTCGTGCAGCCCTGGCCCACCGGCGAGCCTGTGGGATGTGTGGCGCACGTCGTGCACGAGCTATGAGCAGCACAGAGCCAGATGAAGGGCAGTCTACCGGAGTCGTCTTCTGGATGAGCCACCATCGTCACCCATGAGCAATGTATGGGCATTCGACATCACTTCCGCCGTTTCCCAGCACGCGGTGGAAATTAAACCTTCTCCGTGATGATTGTTGGCGGTCGGCTTTGCTGACGACGACCCCCTATCTACATTTGAAGCTGTGTCGGATCGTCTGCCTGCAATTTGGGAGAGGCTGATTTCCTGCGGTAACGGTGCATCAGTCAGCCAGCCGTGGTACGTGTACAATACGCAGTTCTGCTTGGAGATAGCGAGATAGCGATCGATGAGGAGGTCCTTGCACCGGCTTTGTAGACAGGGATAGTAGATTATATGCGTGTTCCGCGGTCATCACAGGCAAAATCACAGGTCTAGGAGTCGGAGACGCACGGGCGGTGCGCAATCCTGTGTCAACGAAGTCTCCGGGACTCGGGATAACAGCCTGCTACAGGTTTCAGTGACATGTTCAGTGTGCAACCACTGGAAGCAGGGCGAGATGAACGAGCAGGGGGTGATAGTGTGCAAGTCGAGCAATCCCGCGGGCGCCATAGCTTCTACTTATTGAAACGCATATCAGTGCAGTGCAAACGGAAAGTGGATATTGGTTGGGTCCGATCGTTGAGTAGCATCTCAACAGCGGTGGTGTGGAGTACGATGATTCGGACCACTTGGAAGTGGTACTTCCCGCCACTGTCTGTGCCCCGAAAATGAGCCACATCGCCACCCGACGTCGCTCCGGAAGTTCCAGATGGTTGCCCGTAATATCGAGCCAGCAGTGCACATGCCTGGTGTTCCGAATCTGAATGGACGACGTGTACGTCTTTCGTGAGCCACACTGGTAGGCGCGAGAATTGACTGTAGACGCAACTGCGCAGCTACCGCGCGTCATGGCTGCGGATCGAACTATGATCATCCTATAACTTACTAGACAGCCAGCGTCCAGCGTACATTTTTCAAAAGCACTCACTGCGTTCAGCTTGGCCACCCTTTCATGGAGTCGCTCTGCATCACAAGTGCTATGGACACGTCTGGAGGGTGAAAGCCCGAGCTCTATTCAGCCGTCCTATCGCCTTGACACACGAGCAACACATGTCGTGCTTCCGAGTTCATACAAACACTGTTCAGCATGCAAAAAGGCAGGGCCCCGAGACGGCGGCGTCGTGGACGGAGAGACGACAAGGGCGAGGTGGTCCGAAGCCTGTGGTCAGCCACCCGCCACTGGCAGCCATGTGCTCTGCCACGGCTTTGGCCGCGTCGCGTATGGTTGTCTCTCTGCCAAGTCTCGCACGAGTCGCAAGCTCTCCGCTTCCCACCACCTCGACGCCCTCCTCCCCGACGCCCTCGCCGCAGGCCTCAATTCTCTCGCAACCATGAAGTTCTCCACCGCCTTCGCGACCCTTGCAGCGATCGTCAGCGGCGCGGCCGCCCAGCTCACCATCCTCAGTCCCGGTGGACCGGACCTCTGGTGGGGTGCGTTCTTCTTTTTGCCTGGGCCTGCGTGTCGGTCGACTCAGGCGTTGTTGCAGTTGACGGTGAGGTGAACGACGTTACGTGGACCTGCAACTCGTCTCCGTACCAAAACTTCACCGTTCTGTGAGTTGCTCGATCTGTATCTCCGCCGCGCGTGCCTGACGCAACAAATAATGCAGCCTCGGCAGCTCGAACACGAGCATCCTCACGTCTAACTATGCCTTCGTCGCCGAGCAGCCCAACTACCAGTGCTCCGTCGAGATCTACTCGACCCAGCTCACGAAGTTCCCACCCGCGGACGGCTACACCATCATCTTCGCCAACATCCTGAACAGCTCTGATGTACGCCCCCTTTCCATAATTTAACACACGAAGAGACCTTATTTTTGTCGCGCAGATCTACGCTACCAGCCAGCCGTTCGAGATCAAGGCCGAAGGCGCACAATACCCTGCGTCGTCCGCCACCCCGACGGGCACCGCTACCGCAACCTCCTCGGCGGCCTCCGCTTCTGGCTCGAGCTCGTCGGGCTCGAGCACCCAATCGAACGGTGCCGGCGCGCTCGCGGTGCCCATGGGCGGCCTTGCCATGGTCGGCGCCGTCCTCGGGCTCGCGATGGCCTGATCTCCTTGCTCCTATCATCTTGAGCCTTGGACTTGGCATCGGGCTCGTCGGGTTGCATGCTGTCGGCTCATGTGCTCATAGGCCCAACACATCACATCTCTTCCATTTTGGGACATTTGAAAGTCACTCTTGTTGCTTAGGGCTCTGCTTGTACTGCCCACGATCGTTATACCATACCGCTCCTTTAACTGCTCGAACTCCCCGCATGAAAGCCGAAAGAAACGACGAATAATGCAAGTCAGCCAGCTGCTGTAAGTACTGCGCAGCCCAGGCCGTGGCGAGATTACTTCTGTCTCATTATACTTAACTTCATCGTATCCATACCTACAGGAAAGAGCGTAACACATACAGGAGCGTGTACAGGTAAGTAGAGGTCTCCGACGTGCGTATGCAAAAGCGCGAAATTCCGAATAGTAGAAGCAAAGAAAGCAGTCCATCATCGCATCGAACGAAAGCAGATGGGCGATTCACGATCAAAGTCCCATATCCTAGAGTCCGAATGGCATGAGTGAGCCCATCCAAAGTAGTGGTAGTGTGAGTAGTGCTGGGGACGGCGCCGACGGTGTATGCGTCGTGAGTGTGCTCAAGGCATTGAAAGCCAGAGATCGCGCAGTTTGGGGAAGTTCGGCGTGCCCAGGCCTGTGACGGGGTCCCAGCCTGGCTGCGCGGAGAAGCCGTCCGTACCACAGCCGGGGTTGTTGCCCGACGTGATGTCGTTCCACGCGCCAGTGAAGTTGGAGCTGTAGATCTGTACGAGCGAGAACCAGATCGTCAGCACCAGAGTGAAGTGGGAGTGAGTTATTGCGACGTACGGTGGGATTGATGAACCCAATAGGGCTCTTCCCGACAGCGAGTCTGGCGTCGTTCACCCCGGAGAGGATGGCGGCTGCTACAGGCGCCGCGGCGGAGGTCCCCGCGACGAGCTGTGTGCGTCCGTTGGAGACGACAGAGTAGTTCAATCTGTAGCACACGTCAGTAGTCCATACTCCATCTGTGGCTCGAGGGAAGCTCATGACACCCACCCATTGACCGCGATGTCCGGGAACGCGCGAGAGATGCCCGAGGAGTTGTACACGTCCGCGGCGTACGCAGGCGGGTAGTTGTCCAGGAAGCCGTGCACCGCGTCCGCCTGCCACTCCGGGAGCCCGAACACGTTCGAGAACCCACCGCCGGAGTAGATATTCGTGTCGCACGCTACCTCCGGGTCGTTCACCTGGCATATCGACATCAGCGTAGTGAGTTGTCGGTGTCATGCAAGTGAGAAATGAGGTGACGCACAGTGTTACCGGGGGAGATTTGCGTTGCACCGACGCTTGTCACGTAAGGGCACGTCGCGGGGAAACCGGGATTGTACCGCGTACCGCTGTAGGATTCAGCGCCGTTCGCGTCCAAGCACTCGCCGTTACCTGCGACGCCATTGTCGCCCGAGGCGAAGATGAAGGTGACGCCCATGAGCCCAAGCTGTCAGCCTTCGAGTGAGCTGAGAGCATTGCGAGTGTCGAAGCTGCGTACCTTGCCGTACTCGTAGCACTGGCGCTGGATGTATGCCGAGCCGAGGAGGGATTCCGTGTATCCATACGAGGTGGAGATGATGTTAGTGAGAGGGGCCGTGCCGCAGTCATCACCTGTGGGGCACGATGGTTAGTTGACGTCGTAATTTGGCCTGGATATGCGTACTCTTGTATTCAGAGTCAGGGTAGATGCCGTCGAACGAGCTGTTATCACCACCTTCATATGTGCAGTATGATGCGTCCAGAGCATCCAGGAAGTTGTTGAATGATGCACCTGCGAGCTGGTCAATCCGACATGCGTCAGTCTCGCGCTGAGCGGAAACGTACCTTCGACGAGATCGCCAACTTGATACAGGGTAACATTCTGGGTGGCACCCACGAGCGCCATGGCGTACTGTAGATCGAGATTCGCCTCTCCGTTGATACTAAAGCCCTGGAAGCTCGTTTGCTCGTAGCCTGTTACATGGCAATCAGCGTGTCTAGCAACGGTTCGTGTTGGAATGAATGTATGCATACCACCATCAATGCTCACAAGAGCCGGCCGCTGGCCGACCTGACTTGGCGAATAATTCCCGAAGAACATGTCCATGTCCGCAGGCAGATACGCTACGGGCGTATACTCGACTGGCGGATCCGTGCGTCAGTTGCTCCGTTGATCCATAACATACATGTGGGCGCACCTATGCCAATGCTATTCTTGTCCGTCGCAACAGGCGTGTAGTCGAAATCATACAGCGCGCGGAGGCAATCGGGCGTAATCTGCTTGTTGCACCCAGTCAGGTTCGTCAACACCACCTCGATCTCGCCTATGAGCTTCGGGTTGACGATGCCCGCGCCCGGCTGGCCGATGGACTTGTCGACCGACCGCTTCCTGTTCATGTGCACGTCAAAGTGCAGCGTCGGCATGACCAGGTCAATATGCTCCGCGACATGCTCCGGGAGGTGGTACTTGTCGACACAGGCGAGGTGCTCGATCCCGCTCTCGCTGTGCTGGTAGACATGGTATTCCGTACCTAGCAGAATTTCGGCCTCCGCGACAGTCACATTGGCGTGGACCCAGCTTCCGCCCTGGCTGAGCTTCACCCGGCTAGCTGCGAGCCCTTCGTCCTCCAGCCACTCCAGCACGGTATAGATAGACGCAGCGGACGGTCTAAACGTCTCTGCAACCTTCGCGGGGCTCCAGTTTTTGCCATAGTTCAGCGACTCCGGGTGCGACACTTCGAGTAGGTAGTCGTCCAGACTCTCAAGATTGGGCTGCGCGAGACCGATGCGCAAGGGAAGCATGATGTTCGCTTCTGCGCGGCGTACGGGTGCCCATCCAGACGGGGCTACATCCCGCTTCTCGTGGACAATATGAGGAGAAACCGTGGCCGTGGCGACGAGCGAAAACGTGAAGAAAACGAGGGACTGGATAAGGAACGGCATCGTCGTCGACGAGGAAGAGAGGACGTCCTCTGCGCAGCTGGTCGAAGGCTTGCCGACATCTTAAAGTTATGATGCGTCTTCCTCGAGGCTTGCCGCTGGGCTGGTATTATACTTCTAAGTTCTCTCGGGAGATCCGTCCAGGAGAAGTCTTTTACCACTTGAGAATGAAAGTAACGTCCCGATATTGACGATCTCCGGAGTCCCAAAGCGGCTAGCACAACGTCTCAGCGTCGCACGGCTCTCAGTAACGAATGTCAACGAGATGCTCCTGCATTGAATACACATGCAGACAGTACTGTGGTTCGATTCAGAGGGTGTCAGGTACATGCATCTCGAGCCCAGTACTGTACAGTATGATACATGCTGTCGATTAAACGTCTGATGTCAATATCACCAAACGATGAACGTAAAACTATCCTCAGCACCTAAGCGAGGATTTTCAGGAGGCAGGGCCTGGTACGACGGCGTTCGGTTCGGGGACGGTTTCGAACTGCATGAGTCTGTGCAAGACCTTCCACCATAACTCAGATATGGGTGACTCAAGGCTCACCTCATGCTTCGCAGGATCGATGGAAATTTTGCCGTCAATCGTAAGGGATTCATCACTCCGTCAAAAAAAGTACTGTGCATGTCGTAATCGTATCGTCATATTGCATGATAGCGAACAGCAAGTGACATATCCCAGAGTCGACCTTTTTCTTCAGCAGCAACTCCCAAGCCACGATACATACCGGGTCAAAGCATGCGAGCTTAGAACGTCGAGGGGCGGTGAGCGACGAAAGTCGAGCGGCTCTTGCCAACACGGTGAGGCAGAGGGAACTTGAGCCTGGGCGTGAGGAGCTGCTTGATGTAGGGCCGGCGGACATCATCGCCCTTCTCAATCTCGACGACGCGGAGGATCTGAAGCACATTTGGTCAGAAAGACTGGCGGCGTGGGGAGATGCAGACCGTACGTGGATCGACCGGAAACGGGCACGGTGCCTCGCAGCCATGTCCTGGTAGAGAGACTTGACGGCATCGGCGCGGGTGAGCTCACGGAACTCCTTGTACATGTTGTGGGTTCCGGAGCGCGAGTCGTAGCGGATCCAGATACCGAAGTTCTTGACTTTCAGCGGCTTCTTTTCGTGGATCTAAGGGGGCAGCCATACAAGGCGCCGGTCAGCTCCCATTTCGCTTGCCATTTGAACGGCTGCAAGGGACTCTACTAACGACATTGACGCCAATGATCTCGCCACTGGCCTTCTTCACCTTGTCGAGACGCCTGCGCACCAGGTGAGTGAGTGGGATGCGGGATGGCTACAACTGCGTAGCGCGAGGCAAGAATGGGTGCTCACCTCAGGAAGTACCAGAACCGCGACTTGGCGACGACCTCGTTCGGCGCGAAGATGCGCATGCGGTAAATTTTGGGGCTGGGCTCCGACTCAGTCGGGAGATGGCGCCCGACGACCTGGAACTCTTGGAGGGGCATCTGCAGAGGATACATGTGAGTTCTCTGACATCCGGACGAGAGCCATGCCATCCATCCATCCCGCTACAGCATTAGGCTTTGACTAGCACAGGAATGGACATGGGACATGGCTAATGCATAAACTCACCTTCGGTTATGTCTTGCTTCTTGACGTGGGCGTTGTCGACGGCGTTGAGGTCGTTGTGGAGGGCCTCGGTCGGCGGTGGCGGAACAGAGTTGCGGCATTCTCCGACTGAGTGTCAAAAGTCAGGTGCGCCTAAACCTTGTCTGCGGCCTCTGATTGGACAAAGTGAACTCATTCACAACGTTCCCATCGATTAGTGGTCAGATCATCACGTTGTGGACTTGCTCCGGCGAGCGCAAAACCGTGGAGACGGGGGCTCGACTCCCCCTGGGAACATTTTTTTCATGTCAAACCACGCAGTCACTCCGTGGGTTTTCTCTACGCTCTTTGCCCTTTTGGTGGAAACACCACTACATACACGACCATTCCATCATCTCAGTCATTCTGAACCTGTTCTGAACACACCGAACCCTCAAGCTCATCCAGCAGGGTGTCCAAGGGACCAGCCTCGACGCTCCAGTATCGGTACAACAATACCATAATATAGTACTAATTGATACACCACTAATGCAGGATACACTCTATTACAATGCCAGAGAAAGTCTGTTGTTCCTAGTGCACGATCAGCAGTCTGATCCAGTCCTCGCTGTGCTCCGGCGCCTCCGGTAGTCCTGGGGGACCATTTCAATCTCCTCTGGCTGGTCCACTGGCAGCACGTCGTCAGTTATCGTCCCCTCTTCGGTGTCTCGGTGATTGTATGGGGAGACGTCCCTCGCTATCGACATTGTCAGGATATCGCCCTCCTGTATGCCTATGCCAGAGGTGAACAAGAGGGTTGATGAGTTGTCGGTGGAGAGGTTTGTGATGGTCGATGAGCTGATACCTGCGCTCTCGTGCAGGTTGAGCATGAGGCGCGACATCATGGTCACGGATACGCTTTGCTCGATCAGTAAGGAGGCGGGAGTTATTCAGGTGTCAAACTCACCTGCTAGCGAATGTCGACAGAACACCTCTCAGAAGCGGCTACGTGGATTCTCAGAAAGGATTTCGAGCCCAGAAGAGCAGCATCGTTACCTGCAGAAACTGGAGTACTATCAGAGAGCGTGAGGTGCGTGTATGAAGCGGCGTCTCACGTAGAAGGTCAAGGTGTTTGACAAGTTGACGGACGCCATTACACTGCGATAAAATGAAGGTCTGTCCACGCAATCACTTCAGGAGGGCTTGGCCTTACGCGAAGTACATGGCACCTGGAACCGAGTCAGCAAGGAGCGTGTATACATAGATGAGCAAGTTCGTACCATCCCGCGATATGAGGGAAACGAGATCGAGCTTATCGGCAGGTACGAGATACAGCGAACGTTGCTTCCACGTCTTCCACATTGTCAGAGAGAAGATCATGCAGTCAAAGACGAAGAGGCTTTCCCACGCGACTGCGATCCCTGCAGCAAGCGTTTCGTCAGCATGTTTACTATACGAACTCACGATGCATAGAAGACGTACGGATGGCACTTCGTGCCGCCGGTAATCTTAGAGGTCAGCATGCGGAGAAGAATGGAAGGTCGCTGCACGTACGTTATACGGTCAGCGGCGGCGTGGCAGCCTCCATTAACGGAGATGCTCTCATGTTGTCCGATGACAGCGTACTGTGACAAGGGGGAAATGATCAGGCTGCCTGTGCGTTACGGACCAGTGACCATACGCACGATGGAAAGGCCAGCGAGGGACAGGCCAACGATTAAAATCAGACTTCTAACGAATTTGTTGCCATTGTAGAGAGCGGACGTTCTCAGATACAATATGACTACGGATGAGGTGAGCGAGGAATGGATCAGTATACGGGATGAAAGTGAGCCCACAGCAGACGACTACTTGAGCACCGATTAGCAGAGCCTGTCTGTAGAAGGCATATTGACTGCAACTACATAGCGGCAGGACTTAGTCGTGCCACGCTGCAAACATGGAGCGCGTCAAACCTCTATCAGGAACATGCCATGAGCGCGGGCTGACGAAAGTACAACAAGCACACTTACGTGTGTTGTTTTGAAATCATAGAAATTGCCGACGTTGACGGCGACATCCTGCAAAGCATGAACAAGAGCGAGTGCAGACGAATAAATCTGCTCACGCCGAGCAAAGTGAGGTAACGGTTCATAAAGAAGAGATAGTTCCTTGGTGCACGTGTTGCTTGCTGCCTCCAGATTCGTGTATACTCGTCTCCAAATGTCAAGGCGTAGTCGTAATAAAGAATAGCTGACAAACGGCATCAAATCAATGCTGTGGTCCTTCCAGTCAGAACGGTTCAATGTACTCATTCCGACAAGGTGCAGGTAATTGTGGAGGAAACTGCAAATGGATATACGTCAGCTATCGGACGGTTGGCCGGAACACAGGTACAGTCTTACAGACATTTGGTAGCGCTCGGCATCCGGGTCGTCGGGGTATATATCGCTCATCGTCAGGACGGTCAGCCAAGCCTCCTAGATGGTAGCTCGAGCAAGGCAGAGCTTGTCAACATATGGCGTGGACGCGAGTGGGAAGGAAGAGGCACGGCCACGGCTAGTCTTCCTTATAGCCGCGACGTACACCTAGGCTCGTCTCAGATCGAACGCGAGATCGGATGCCGTGAAGGTGCTGATGATACTGTACTCAGCTTGATTGGATCATCCAGCCCTCATGAGCCCCCAGCCTATCGTAGATGGAGAACCTTATGCGGCTCGAGGCAAGGCACGACAGTCGCGACAGGGCTCGGCGAACACAACTTGAACCGCCCCGCACGCGTGATGCCCATTGGCTCAGGCGCGCCCACCGCCGCTGAGTCTCTGTCAGTGACGTGGCCGGCCACCTGTCCGTCGAGAGCTACCATCTGGCTACCATGGCCAACCACCGTGACCGCCCAAGCGAACGTAATATCCCTGTTCGCCCTTTCGTCGAGGGCGTCACCGCCCCAGTCCTCTTGAGACACTCGATGGCGGCGTGTCTAGTGAATCCGTACCGGATCATCCTCGCGATACAGGGCCAGAACCACAAACAAGCTATCGTGCCTAGCTACTAAGCTGGCTGGTACCGGTTCTTGTTGCGGCAACAGCGCGCACCAGCCCTCGTGGGAGGGATGAGCATGTACTACTTAAGTATTATATACAACGGTGTTTGTTGCTCGAGATGCCGATCGCGCTCATCCCGAGATGTCGGACCACCGCAGAGCCTGGTCCGGCCGGTGCATTCCCCCTTCCCCTGCTCCCTCCACCAGGGCGAAAGGCGGTTCGGAGCCAACGACGTTCTGCGAGACCTATGACAGGAAAACTTCGCATGGCTGTAGGGGATCTTGGCAAGTTGTGGCTGTTCCGCGGGGAGCAGCCCGAACCATGGCTCATTAATTAAGAGTAAGTTATAGACACTCGAGATGCATCCTCGATTGCCCTCCTGACAGTGGGTTGACAGCTTCATGACAGACAACCCTAGTGGCCGATCACCGAGATCAGATGGCATCTGCAAGGGGAAGACGTTTCGCATTGACGGTAGTGGACCGCGTAGAGCCGCTGCGTCTTGCAGTTCATCATAAGTACTGCCAGTCCCCCCGGGGGGGACTCGTCGTCGACGAGCCCTGCGCAGACCTTCTCGTGGTCCGGGGGGTAAGTAATCTCCTCTGGAGATGAAACGAACATGCGCTATAAGGTCTGCTACATGCCTTCGCGCATAGCGACCCAGGACCACGGTACATCCAGTCCGATGGACACCAATCCATCCCCTTCCAAAGCCCTATACCACGGCAACTTAGTCTATAACGACTATATAATCCTAGCTACGACAAGATGAGCTGAATCTGACGCGTTCAATCAGCAAAATAGCATGAAAACCAGAGTTCACCCAGCGCTGAGCCCAATACAATAGACGCTCCCTCCGGAACGGCGCCAAAGTTAAAGTTTCAGCCACAGGAGTACACAATCGCTGAATTCAGTGAATTGCCTATCCAAGTAACGAGTGTAAGATCCGGGTAGCACATTGATGCAACCCTGATGGCCGCACTTCGGGCTCATCCTCTGTCCCTCTACCATACCTCCCACCTCCTAAATCTCATGGCTTGAAATGCCTACGCCTACACGACCAATCCTCAGCCATCATACAAGCACCACGACACCTCCATAACACGTACCGTCTTTACGTATGGTTAGACCGATATGATCGTACTCCTGGCCTACTCCCTGCCCCCATGCCTTACATTTTGAACCTTATGGCGTGGGACGCCCACGTCTACCCAATCAACCCTCAGTCATTTCACAAGCATTACGAAATCCCTACAAACACGCACTGTCTTTACGTATTGCCTGAACCGATATTCGCCGAAATATCGCATCAATGTGCAGGAACAAACCGCTCCTCCAGTCTGAGTAAACGCCCATCCCTAATGATAAAACGATGGACAGCTAAAGCACTGAATACACAGAGATGCCCCCTACAAGGGACCCACATACCTCTGTGCACCCAAGACAGGGTAGCAGAAGACGCCAGAAGACAACGGTCAATCGCAACAATCCACCTCCCCTATTCACCAGAGTCAGCCGCCCTCCACCACCGCCATCCCTCCCGATCCTTCGCATCCCCCTCGATCCCGAGCTAGCAACTACGGTCGAGGTCAATGCGACACCAGAGAGAATAGGCACCCGTTTGACGTGGACGGTGGAAAGACGCCCTGAAAGACAGATCGGGAGAGACGACCTCATCATCCTCACAGCCGGCCGGATGCGCTCCGGCATTGGTCGGGCTCTGGAAGTAACCGAGTTCCAGAGGCACTGGATCACATGGTCCGTCTCAGGCGGCCCCGGTCCGTGCTGCATCACCATCCCAACCTCGTGGTCGAGATTCCAGGCCCGCGAGAGAATTCTCCACTTCCAACTCTACCAAACTCTCCCACACACTCCTGAGCCACACCCACTCTTCCGCGACGACCAAACCCTAACTCAGGGCACCGAATATCCGTACGAATTCGAACAAGACCCAGATCCAACAACAGAACCCCCTGCTCCAAACTCGCCGATTGCGAACCTCTACACGAACTCACAGTGGGCCGAGGAGCGCCGACTGCGCTTATAATAGCTAGAAACCTCCTGTCGCGTTCCCCGTGGAAACCAATCCCAATTAGTGTATGGTAGATAAATGATCCCACGTCAATCACATCCCACAGCCACCAGCAAAACTTAATCTAGACGCCTCGGTCCCTGACAGTACACGCGTAGCCACAACCTGAGCACCCCAAAATATCTCATGGCAAGTTGACTGCCCGAACATGCAAACAACCGAAGCCACACCCATTAACTCAAATGCTACATATGAGACTATTGCGGAGGAATAATGGCATGAAAATGAGAATTCCCCTAAGAGATCGCCCACAACCTCAACAAAGGAAGGAACAAATGGACGGACTTAGACGTAAAACAGTCGAGCCCGATCAGACACCGACCGGCGCTTCACCGAAGCCCCGAACATCAACGCCACATCGCCATGATGCGCTCTCCCATCCTCCCGCCCATACCCTCCCCGCCCCATCTATAACCAACATCCCCAGACGATCCTCAGGATCGAACTCACAACCTAACCTACGATGCCCATGACGGACCAAGGCTCCACCGACAAGAACAACCCACAGACGAAGACCAACGTAGAGTACACCGGGACCTCAGAAGAAGTGACGCGGACATTACGGAATGACTTACCCAACGTGCGACGTGAGCGGCCTAACTGAAATTGCACGGGTCCTTTATAACATACACAGCAATAGACCAGCCGTCTACGTACTCCATCGCTGACAGAGAAGTAGCAGCCGCAGAAAGAAGCCCACACCGTCCCTACTTCCTGCAGCCCAGCTGCACAATAAGCGACGACTAAGCGCACCACCACCAAACGGAGAACTCCACTTAGGCGTTGACGAGATTCGACGCCGACAAGGGAAGCCGCCCCCGTATGTCTCCATAAAACATTACTCGTGTAACGCTAAAAATGTTTGAATGGGCGCAGCCTCCCGGACCCTGAGTCTCGCCCCGCCAACCGTTATCACGACACCCACTGCCCATCGAATTAACGTTATTCGGACGGCGTATCACGGACAGCGCAGAAGGGAACGGAAGCCTGCCCAACACAAGGATATAAAACCCCCCGAATGTGAGCCCACCGTTGCCAACCCGTATCCTGAATACACCTCAGTATCCCGAATACTCCTCAGCTTCCCAAAGATGCAACAGAACGTCCTCCCTCTGCCTCACGAGCCGACCTCGCCCCCAGGCGAGAGCACCCCATCACCATCGATCATGCGACTCCGCGACGCGTCGCTCGTCAAAACCGCGGCCAAGCGTATCAACGCCGAGCCTATCGCCCTCCCCTCCGCCAATCCGTGGAAGTCTCCGAGAGCGACCTCGCCTGTGGACAATGGGGGCAAGAGTAAGCACCTTGAACGCTCACACACTCACTGTCTAACCACCATCAGGCTACGCGGACGTCGTAGCGACTGCGGCTAACACGCCGCCGCGCGAAACGACTCCGACCCTAGAACCGGCTACGCCCACCCAGCAACCACAATCGCCCGTGGTGAAGACGGAGCAGGACGAGAACATCATCCTGCAGGTCACAACCGTCGAGCCTCTCGTGCTAACTGACAAGGACGGCGATGACACCGAGGGTGAGACAACCCCGTTGCATAACTATGAACACATCTGACCATAAAGCTCAAGAAATGAACGAACCCCTTGACCCTGACGTGAGCCGCACTCGCTCGGGCAAGGTAATTTCTTCCTCGAAGTCGAAGGCCAAGAAGACGAAAGCAAAGAAGAACGTAAAGAAGACGGAGGACGTCCTAGCCCTCGGCGAAGGCCTCCCCACGTCTCTTCAACACCAGGTCGAGACGCCAATTCAGCAGGCCACGGGACCTTCTCGCATCGTCAGCGAGTCTCGCAAACGCCGCCGAGTCACCACGGACATCGACGATGGAGAGTCCAACACCACTGTGAACCGCACCCAAGACGCCCCTGTCGTCCCACCGCTCACGCCCGCGAAGATCACCGTCCGACGCTCCTCGCCTCTATCTTACCTCGACGACACCCCTCCGAAGGACCGTCACGACCCCCCCGCGATCACCACCTCTGATCTCGAAACGTCAGACATCGAAATGATAGACCTGGACGACGAAGCTGTGAACCGCACGCTCCACCGCCCCAACAGACCCCCAGCGAACCTCTACGCCCACCACGTCACGGGAACCACCGGTCCTAACGCGAGCTCCTCTTCCAAACGAGAAGGAAAGCGTCCCGCTCGTCACGAAGACTTCGACGGGATTACCTCTCAAACAGGGCCAGCTTCTGGAGGACCACCGCACACGCATTATAGCTCGGCAAGCCACAACCGCGCGGCCCAAGGAGACCCAGAGGCCCCTCTTCTCTATATGCACGAGTACGTCGCCCCACACTAAAAGACATCCACAAACGTCCTAACTTTGACAATGTCCCCATAGACGCGGACCACAGCTCGACCATAACCGCCCGCCCACACACCCTCGACCAGTGCACTACGCCCCCGGGCCCTTCCCTCTCCTCCCCGATGAGCAGGCGCAGGCGATGGCGCCCCTACCGACTCTACCTCAGCCGATGGCCCTTACCCGCCCGCCGCCCGATGGCCACGTCCAGATTCAAGGGAACGACCCGTACTTCTTCCTCCATAATATCCTCGTATCTCAACGAAGCTCCTGGTCCACTCTCAAGGACATCTTCCTCTTCATTCAATTCCCCGGTCGCGGCGCGCAGGACAGCGGTAACCACGCGCGAATGAGTTCTGCGGAGACGGTCCTGACAAAGTACCTTGATATCTACGGGTCCTCCTTGATCCAGCCTCTCCCGGAGACCACGCAAACCAAGCCGAACGAACCTCCCCACTGGTATCGTCTCGGCAACCTCACTCAGCAGGGCCGTGACAAACTCATCAAGCGAGTCTGGTGGTCTGCGCCGGAGGGAACCTTCAGCGTTATCGACCCCGATGGCAGACCTCCAACTTACATCGGCACCTGGCGGGACGCGCACCGTCTTGGATCCACCTCAGAAGCTGGAATGGCCATTGGCTTCCGAGCGACGCTATGCGACGACCAGGCGGCCCACTTCATCAAGTCGATCCTGGTCGACGAGTACCGTAGAGGACGTCTAGGGCCCCGTCAACGAACAGACGACACCTTCGACGAGATCATCCGATCCGTCAGGGTGAGGAAGTTTATGTGGAAGGGTCCACGAAACGGTGAGGAAGAACCGGTCGCTTCGCTCTACATAGACTCCCCTACACGAGACGCGGCTGAGTGGGCGGTCTTCAAGACCTACCTGCGTCAACTAACGTACGGAGGCGCTCACGCTGGTCCACCAGAACTCATCGTCGACGCTTTCTTCTGCGCCTATTGCCACAGCATCGATCACCCTACCTACGCGTGCACGGTCCCACTGACTCCTGGATGGCATGGCCCTTCCCTGGAGGCGGCTCGGGAGTCCATCACGAACGAACGTCGCGGCATGGAGGCCGGTAATGGCAGAGGTCGCGGGAGAGGTGGTCGTGGACGGGGAGGCCGAGGACGCGGCCGCGGTGGCCCTCGCGGTCGCGGAGGAGTCTAGAAGTCCTCGTAGGAATCTGACCGCGCTATCATACATTCCATTTGTAACACATCAACGAGTAGCTACACCTACTCTACGTCTACATGCCAATGCATTCTCGTTTTCTTGACTGAATAACTCTATGTGCGAACTAACCCTACCAACGGTCACGGACTAGCAAAGGCCCAAATACACTGACCGTATATCGGGACAGGAAAGCCCCACACTGCCGTGACCGCCCCCACAGATCTCGGGCACTTCTAGACTTGCCCGCACCGAGAGGCGAAAGCTACAGAGTAGCATGTCACCTGAGAGGACCAGGAGCGTCCTCCGCCCCTCGCGGATCGTTGTAGCGAGGAAGTGTAAAGCAACGGCACCAAACGAAACAATAACAACTCACACGGTCGTACTATCGGCAACTGGTCAACCTCTCCTCCGACCTAGAGAGAGTTTCGTGTCCCCCGCCCTCGAGAGTCTTAATGACGGGACGGAGGAATTCGGTGACGGGGCCGCTTCCTGCGACGTCACCCCTGCAAACGATGTTGCAGGAAGCTGCGGTTCGAGGACGCAGGACGAGCCTAATAGGACTCGTGGAGCTAACAATAAGCCCAAACATCAAGCTGGCCAGACGAACGGCCGCAGAACGAAAGCGAATATATACCTGTGTTCTCTCAATATCAGCGGAAAGGGCAGCTTGTCCGGTCCGCGCAATGTCAAATGGAACGCTTTGAATCAGATAATGCGAAACGACCGCATAGGCATACTATGCCTACAAGAAACACACCTAACGGTAGATGATGTCACAGACCTACATCAATTGTACGGCCGACGAATGAGCATCTGGAACTCTGGAGCAACTAACCCTAGCTCCAAACATGGAGTAGCGATAGTCCTGAATAGAGAAATTGTGGACGTCAGTAACGTAGCAACAGAAGAAATCATCCCTGGAAGAGCTATACTCCTCAGGATGCACTGGCACCAAAACACGATGTTAACAATCCTGAACGTTTACGCACCCAACAACATGACTGATAACGCTGCCTTCTGGCGAACACTCAAGAAGAGGGTCGATAATAAGAGTATAACCAAGCCGGATATAATCGCAGGCGACTTCAACATCGTTGAAGAGGCCCTTGATCGACTACCCGCGCATGAAGACAACCAATCGGCCGTAAGGAACCTCAAGGAGCTGATGCAATCCTGTGGACTACAAGACGGCTGGCGTTTATCGGAACCCAACACGAAGAACTATACCTTCCCCCAACGTGCAAGCCCTTCGAGATCACGTCTCGACCGCATATACACAACGGATAAGTTGATCAATTTGTCCCTGGAGTGGACAATAGAAACGCACGGCGTCCCATCCGACCACCGCCTAGCAGGCGTACGCCTATGCGCGGCTAACGCACCATTCATCGGACCAGGACGATGGAGTATGCAACTAAACTTACTAGACGACAAAACCTTCATCGAGTCAATAACCAGAGTTGGCCATAAGGCACTGAAGGAAGTGAGAGACCTAGACTCGAAGGATCGCAACCCAAGCCACACAATCCAACACGTACACATGAAATTCAAACAGGATATCCAACGCATAGCACAACAACGATCACGAGCAAAACGCCCCAGGGCACGCCAAGAAATCGCTGCTCTCTCAGCAAACGTGAGAGAAATTGAATCCGACGATCGATATACAACCTCCCTAGAACTACAGCACGAGTCGGAAGCTATACATGATCGCATACTAGATCTGAAAAGGAGGGAACAGAGAGCAATCAAGCAATCGACGACAACAAGATACATGTTGAACGGCGAACGAATCACCAAGTACTGGTCAGCAATCAACAAGGACAAGAAACCGAGGGACCTGTTGCATCAGGAAAAACGTTCGTGTCTTAAGTGGTCTTGTGGAGAGCCAAAAGTGACATTATGTGTCACTATGTACCACAAGAGCCTTAAGGTAAGTCAATTTCTTAAATTGTCTTACTTAAGTTCCATTAAGTAACCAAAGTAAACACTCATTCCAAGCAAGAATGATGTTTTTTCATCATTACTGGGGTGACTTCTCTCATGATTCTGCTGTGTTTGTGCATATGCTGTCATAACAGGCATCCCAGATGCAAAAATGTCACCCAAAATAATCTGCCATTTCCCAGAATTGAACCCCTGACCTGCTAAACTAATTTCCCACACTCTCAGCACAAACTTGTGACCACTACACCATAGGTCCCTGTGCTTGTTCCCTTCTACAATAACCTATATTGACTATCTTTCTGGACTTAGAGAAATCTGCAATTGCTGCCCCCTGTTAGCCCAGCCCCTGTGCATCCCTGGGCTCTCAGACTGGCCTCATTTCTTCTTGGCACTATCTGTTGCCTTGCAGACCTTGTGTAGACTCATAATTTGCTCAAGGGCAGGCTTCTTGTCTCACTTTGCATGCTTAAGTGTTCTTTTGCTGTCTCTCAACCTTAACAGGTCAAATATGTCCAAATCCCTGACAATATGACTTTGACCACAGCATCTGTTGTAAGTAGGGTAATATACTCATAATCACAGGGAAAAACAAATAATCTTTATTTGTACCCCATTACTGTTGCCAGATATAGTATGTGTTAACTTGTCAGGTGAAATCTTGGTGAAGTCTTCATATTGAGCAATCTGACATCTCATCATGCATATTTTCTAGTTAAGAGGTCATTTTCCAACTAATGTGTACTTATGTGTCTTAATCTGCAGAACTAAAGTTGCATATCTTCCAACTTGGGCACAAGACAAATTTCTCAAAGGTACTATAATTAACTTCAGTAGTCTTCATGCACATGGTGCACTTAATTGAGGAACACAAGTTGTGAAAGATTGAATAAGATCAGGTGTTCTTCATTCAAGACTGCTGAAGTTAGAAGTGTTTTTCCTGATGTGCTCGCCTTACGCATCCCAGGCAGTGACCCGCCCAGATACGAGAAAAGATCAGACGGCATGGCCGAACTGACACGCAAGTACCACAATGACATCCAATATCAAGATAGTCCGGGCTTCACAAAAGAGGCCCAAGAGAGAGCTATAAAGGACGTCCTCCACGAAATACCCACCACCCTGAACACCCAAGAACAGGAAATAATAGGCTCGGATATATCTGAGAAAGACATTGAAGACGCACTGAAGAAGACGCAAACTGGAAAAGCAGCCGGGATCGACGGCATCCCATATGAGTTCTGGACGACATTCATGGATGGAGTCTGCCTAGAGGAGAAACGTGATAAATACGAGTTTAACAGCGTCAAATATCTGACCGCCGTGTTCAACGACATGGAGGCCCACGGGACTATCCCAGAATGTCACTTCACCGACGGATGGCTATGTCCACTCTATAAGAAGGGCGATAGGAGGAATATAGCAAACTACCGCCCTATTACACTACTGAACACGGACTACAAGACGTATACTAGAGCACTCACCTCCAAGTTAGGCCAAGTAGTCGACCGAATAATCCATATCGACCAGGCAGGATTCGTGCCGAAGCGACACATCGAAAACCAGACACAAATGTGCCGCGTACTCGTAGACTACGCGGAAGCAACTGAAGAAGAAGGAGTCATAATAGCCTTAGATCAGGAGAAAGCCTATGATAAAATCGATCACGCCTACCTGTGGAGAACACTAGAAGCCTTCGGCTTCCCGGCGAAGTTCTTAAAGAAGGTCCAAAACCTATATTCCACGGCCCAATCCATAGCGATAGTGAACGGTGAGAAGAGTAAGTTCTTCCCAGTGGTCAGAGGGGTCCGCCAAGGCGACCCCCTCTCTTGCCTCCTTTTTGACCTAGCAATAGAACCCCTAGCAATACAGCTAAGAAGATCAAAGATCGCAGGATTCAACATACCCGGAACATTAGAGCGACTGATAACCTCCTTATTTGCTGACGACACCTCAGCGTTCCTCTCGAAGACAGACCGATGGTCCGAACTATGGGCTGTCCTCCAGAACTGGTGCACCGCCTCGAGAGCAAAATTCAACGATGGCAAAACTGAAGTAGTGCCTGTGGGCCCGCCTGAATATCGTGCCGCCGTCATAGAGAGTAGGCGCATAAACCCAGAGGAAGGTAACTCACCGGAAATACCAACCTCGATTCGCATAGCAGCAGAAGGTGAACCCGTTCGGGTTTTAGGGGCATGGATAGGCAATGGTGTCGACCAGATATCGGTCTGGACACCGGCCATTCACAAGATCAAGGCCTTCCTTGACCGCTGGAACCGATGCCGCCCAACTATGCTGGGCAAACGCCACATAGTTCAGATGGGCCCTGGCGGAATATCTCAGTACCTAACGGTAGTACAAGGTATGCCACGTACAGTAGAAGACGAGTTGTCGAAGATGATCAGACACTTCATGTGGGGATCGAACGCCCCACCACCAATAAGTATGGCAACCCTACATAAGCCAATACGCGAAGGCGGCCTAGGAGTACTAGACATACGAGCGAGAAACGAAGCTATCCAGCTTATGTGGATAAAGAGATACTTGACACTGACGAAGAACAGACCAAAGTGGGCCTTTGCAATGGATGCAATCCTAGCAAAACACGTAGTGAAAAGCATAGGGGCCATCGATAGAAAGGCTCAGTTAAACACCTTTATTCAGAACTGGTCCCCAGCTTATGCGGCCCGATCAAAGCTCCCAAGATACATCAAGGACATGATAAGCATCGCGAAAAAACACAAGACTCAACTGGAAGCCCTAAAGGTTGACTCGGAGACTAAATCTCTTCTTCCCACCTGGTACCATATCGGAGCCACGAAGGCACTCAAACGCCTGAACAATACCGCTGTAAGCAAGTGCCTACGAAATACACACGGTGTGATCCTGATATCGGATCTACTCAAAGTCACTGAAACAACGTGCGGTAACGAACCTACACCAGACAATGACCTAATCAACAACGGATGCCTATGCATCGAATGCCAAGCGATGCGTACCATTGGATGCCGACACCCAGGCTCGTGCAAACTAGGAGCCTTCCGCATCCTAAGTGAGATTCTCCCAAAGTGGAACCCCCTCGTTCCGAATGTACAGGATGGCCTAACCCTAATGGCAAGACGAGTGAAACAGAATGAAAAAGCAGTCCTCAGTGACGGGGATCGCCTCACCTTCGACCCATCTATCACCTCGAGAGGCGGCCTATCCGAGCTCTTCCGCATCTTCGTCAACCAAAGCACTGTAGATCATCCACCGTCAGTACGAATCAAGACAGGTAGACAGGTGGCGGAAGAAGCGATGGAGATCTACGTCCTCGACACATCGAAGAACTTCAAATCAGAAACAAGAGGCAAAATGAGGGAACCCTATAAGCAAGCTGTGTTCTTCGGACGAGGAGATGAACGCAACGCAATCCTCCCACCTGTACGTGACAGGATATCACAAGCGAAGGTTCCAGGATCAATAGTGGCGACCCTGCACGCGGCACGCCATGTCCCGTTGGACGTCCCCCTCCACTTCGTATATCAGGACAACGACATCATATTCGAGGCCCTCTTTAAACACCTCCCGGAATGGGAAGACAGAGGCTGGATAGACGTACCCTTCCACAACCACCTCAAAGCCCTGGTAAGCACCCTACGCAGCCGATGTGCGATAACATCATTCCGGAGGAAGGCCAACGCATCAGGAAAACCCTGATTTACTGAAACAGTCTTCAGCTAACATATTTGCACGCCGGCCAGCATTTGTGACCATCAGTGATCTTCTCACTACACCAGTGACTGGCTCTGACTATCAATGGCCAACTGAAGTAACGCAAAGTGCCAGTTGCATACACTAATGTAGACTCTATATCAACTCGGTCAAGTCATTCAACAGCAAGGCAAAGACTCCTGCGGCGTCCAAGACTGCAGCTGGATCATCGAAGGATGCAGCGAACGCAGAGAGTGGACCGTCACGTCCGTCGCGATCGAAGTCCGGCGCGAAGAAGGCCCAGGAGAGTTCGGGGGAGCAAACTTCCAGCAGCGAGCGTGAGGTCGATGAACTCGGCAATGAGTGGTAAGTCAGTCAGTGTCCAGTGGTTTCTTTGTATCTCACTGCGAGAGGTACATCACCAAGATGTCGTAGTTGTCCTGTCGCATCAAGGCCGTGAACATCATCAACTTTGTCTGTTTCGCGTGGCAGGAGCAGTAGAATCGGTCCATTTCCAAGGCGAGTGTTTCTATGCCCATACCACCTCTATCTACACTTACTCATACGACAATCCTGCAGCTACTATATCTATCATCCTCTGTACTACTACACATCAGACGTGCGTGCCTGCTACGTATCCCACTCTCCCTCTACTACTATTTGCCTGTCTCAGCCGTGGTCGTCATCCCGGCGCTGTCTGACCTCGAGTCTATGCCTATCTGTATCTCTCGTGGACAACATACTTAATCTAACGTGTAGTAGTAGGTACATTCTGAAGAACAAATGTGTCATGCGTCATATGAAGTATGTGTAGGACAGACATATGCTACCATAGGGTTTGATACGCGTACTTGGAGGCAGAGTTGTTCAGTAGGAATCTCTGCGCAAGATCTAATACGGTATTGGTGTTCCAGTCCTCCGGTATACTATCAGGTTTAGTACCATCATTAGACCTAGGAAAGCAAGGCACTAGCTGACAAGATTGGCGTATAATGGAAATGGGTATGATATCGCTGGGGGGCAGACCATTTGCGCGCAACGGGGGCTTGCTTACAGCGTACATCATATGGTAAGGATCCGCCTGAGCCGGTAATTTTGCATACCATTCAACGTACGCAAGGGCCCCTTGCTTCGTCCACTCCAATGGGGTCTGCAAGGTACGCTGCGTACGAGGGTCCTTCATCTCCGGTGGCAACTTGAACACCACCTTCACTCGGCCAATGCGAGTGCCTGGAAGGTGAACAACGGTGAGCGCACTCTGTATGTCAGGCCACAGGTTTACACACCTTGTAGCCCAGTTGCTTCAGCGTCTTCCCCTCGAAGTACGACAACAGTGTCGAACCGCGCTGGCTGAGTTTCTGTGAGCGGCCTAGCTTTCACTCCATCCGTCTCCTGCTTGTCGTCTGTCAAAGACTCAGGCGCGAACTTGAAGCCATGGAATATGTCCACATGCGTGAGTGGCATGTTGTTGACAGCGGTCTGGAGCTGAGAGGAGGTGAGAGCGCGTCCTTCCTTGAGCTCCCAAATGTACTGAGCAAGGGAATGTATGAATCCGGGAGCATCATGTTTGTTGACAACGGCGTGAAGAGACTGGCTAGGAGAGGTAGGGTGCTTGGGTAATTTGATACGAGCATTGTGTCTTGGGGCAGGTATGTTGACGTCTTCTTCGACCACTTCATCCTCAGATACATCACCGTTCCGTACGAGCTGACGGCGAATGGATGCGCCGAGGACTACCATCTTCTCGCGACGCTCCAGCCAGCGCACCATTTGGGGGCGAGCATCGCGATGGTTGGACGCTCTCCACGCGCTCTTCGCAAAGTCGATGTGCAGGCGTTCAAACGCCTCGGTGTTGTAGTTGTCCGTGGTCCCGAGAAGGCGGATTGAGTCGACGTAGTGTAGTAGAGAATGGAATTTGGGTATATTGAGATGTTCGCGTACTCCGAGGTCGACCAGAACGCTTTTGTTCTTGTGAAAGGTCTTGAGAGCGTCGTCCATGTAACTGAGTGTCGTGTCGTCGTGCGTAGTGTACTGTGCAAGGTAAATGAAGTCCAGGATTGAGCGAAAGGCAAGGATCGCCTTCTTGGGGACCTTGCCTACCAAACACGCGAGGAGAATTCTTGCAATGTGCTTGCGCTCGGTGCCGGAGACCTGCGACAACGATGATATTCCGTTCTTGAAATGGCGGGTACCGAAAGCTGGAGGGAGAGAGCGAATGCGTGCGTCAAGTTCGCGTTCGTCAACGAGTTCCGAGGTCCATTCGATGATATGTTTGAAGACGCCCTGGTAGAGCTGGTGGAGAACATCCGGCGTGATGCATGAGTGAATGTCGGTGTAGGGAAGATCGCGCCAGAAGGGGCGTACGACATAACCAGAGACGTTCAGCTCCTGACATGCCTTCTCAAAAGCATTGGAGCCGACCTTTCCCCCGCTATTCTTGGCTGCGCGACGTAGGACATCTAGCGTCCACAGCGAGTTGCGAGGCATCCCTGCCTGAGGATCTTCAAGGCCGGCTTCTGGCACCTGGCACTTGGGACAAGTGCCGTACTTGGAGCAGGTCACCAGACACTGCTCCGGGTAGTCCGCAACGTAGGCGGCAAGGACGGGATGAACGCGGCGGACTGAACCGTCAGCTGCGGTCACTTCGATTCCATGCTTGCCCGCTTCTATCAAGGGCTCCAGTATGGTGCTGACGGAAGCGTGGAATAACTGTTGGACGAGGGCGCGTTGTTTGCGCTGGGTGATGCCCTCTCCGCTCACCTTGTCGGTGGAGAGATAGCCTATAAGGATACAGGCGTGTTCCGAGGGTTTGCGACGAAGATCCCTAGGTATGTTGCCAAGCGTCATATAGACCGGGTAGGCGGACTTGCCACCAGAAAACTGGGTCAGCTGCGTTTTGTCCGTCGCTATGATAACTGGCGCGACCGCAGAGCCGATAGGTAAAAGACTCTGTGAAGGTCAACGCACAGTGAGAAACCCGCGTAGTACATCGCACTGAATCTGTACTTACCTGGACGGCATGCCACCACTTCCCTGTCCACATCTCGTTGTAAATTCTTCGAGTACGTGAGCCATCTGAGAAAATACGTCGAGGTCGGTATACAATTCGTTCCGCGTGTTCCGGATTCCCCAACAATGTGAGTATCGCCTGTATGATGTCACGATATTGAAGCAGATGCTTCTCGTTTGGGCGGTCCTTGAACGAGAGCCAACGCTCCTTCCATTCGGCTCGCTCAGGTAGGGAGTCAACGCGCTGTAGCAGCGCACGCGTGTTGTGGTATGTCAGTCCCAGACGCTCCTTGAACTAACAAACGTTAATACAGAGAGTTAGTGTCAATAAATACTGCGCTGCGCTCTCACGTTTGGTATGTCCAACGCTCGGTCAAGCGAGCTCAACTTAATTCCTTCTTCGATGGCCCAGTTTGCAAACCGCCAGTCCATCTCTGTATCAAACGGGTCCCAAGGGTTCTTAGTATCGTCTTCAGCTTCGCCTTGGAAGGCTTGTCAGACTATCTGAAGAGGAGACGAGCAACTGTGCTACTCACCGACATGCGTCCGACTTTCTCTGGCCTGTCGCCACCTCCTGCGCACCGCTTTATCCACTCGTAGAATCTTGGCAGCCTCTTCATTCTCTTCCTCCACCCGTTCGTCGTCGTTGTCATCGTCAAGTGCCAATGCCGTACGTCTTGTACCTGTGGATGCTGATGGCCTAGACGGACCTGCCTCGCCTCCTCCCCCGCTGTTGGATCCCAGAGGTGGGCACACTTCAATGAAATCGTAGAGTGACGATAGATCGTCCTCGTCATCAGACTGCTCCGAGTCCCCATCTTGGTCGGTGTTTCCATCTCCTCCACGCTGGTGATATTCAGCTTCTAATTCTGCATCTTCTACGTCCACATCTGAGCCGCTCGCCTCGGCCTGTTCAGAGTTGCGTATTGGGCTATCAAATTGGACCAGTGAGTCCTGAATCCCAGTAATATTGGGACAGATCACCGACGGTTTGTTCTCAATCTGAACGTTATCCTCCATGTCTTCTAGGTCTGGGACCTCATGCCCTTGCCTTCGGAACGCGAACACTTCCTTCAGTTTGCCTTTCTTGTACCAGGCACATTTACGGCTTGTGCTCTGGTGTGCTGCTAGGCCTTGCACCGTCTTGAAGGTTTTATGACATGCCCCACATGTCACATCCATAATTTGCTGCAGGGTGCGCTTCTTCCCGAGTCCGGCCAGCTTGGGTCTGGTCATCTTCTGCTGCCAGAATATGTGAGTAGCTGCCTTTGCAGACGGAAGAGCGATAAAGCTTACTATCCAGTACACAAAAGTCGTAGGAAACCTGCAACATTCATAGTTGTCAGCGCACTGTCACTTCAGCGGTGCTTACGTCTCTTCAGCGCTACCCGGCGCTACTTATGGGCGCGTAGGCCTACGTCCCGGCTTGCCTCCTACCTTCACACTCCTTCAACATAGTTCAGTTGGTAGTTGGTAGTTGGTACGTACCTTTGTGCCCGGGTTCCTTGTTATTTGCTCTCACCATCTTACAGGTTTCAGCCCTCTATCTGTTGTAGAGCGCCACGGTACTCTAGAGTCTAAGGTGAGTACTTTGTCTCCTGCTCTTTTTCCTAGAAGGTTCGGCGGCGCATCCGGTGGCGTGGGAGCGAGCCGCCTCGCGGAGGCGGCTCGCTCCCACGCCACACGCTCTCGCCGGACGAGCGACTCAGTGTCGGCAGGGACAGCGTTGTGGGCCCCCGAGTCTGAGGGGCGTTGAAGGAGCGCAACCCATTCGGGCGTCGACAAGCTAAGGCGAAATTAGCGCAACGGGACCGAGAACTCTTGCGTACGACCGCACGATGAGAGATAGAGCGGGATAGAACGGCTGGCGAAGGGGCGTGAAGCGCGTGGAGGGCTTAATTGAAGCCGTCGGCAGTGCAGGTGGCTGGTGGCAACCTGGGCCCGTCACACCCGTCCCTTTATGTGGTGCTCCGCTTGCTCGTCTTGCGCCCGTCTAT